CACGAGAAAAACCACTGGACTGTTTGCCACCTCGCCTCAATGGATTCCCATCCGGGTCCTTGTATATTTGGATAACCTGAAGAAGACAAAAAAAGAACGCGATTGTAAAGTAATTTCTAGGAACCATATCACACTCTCCACAATTTCAACCTCCCAACTGCGATCCAACTGAATTTAGTTTGGTTTAAGTTAAGTGAGTTCCTGAATAAGCATTTTTTACTGGCGCCCCAGGGGGAAATGTCGTTACAACTTCAGTTTTTTTTACCAAACTTCAATAAAAAGCTCGCTGACCGTTGCCAATTCTTTGTGTTTGCTTTTTACGACACTTAATGGCAATACACTCAATTTAAAATGTACCCTAGAGCATCAAAATATTTAAGAGAGTTTTTATTCCATTACCTTGGGTACAAACAGAATTCCGAGTGTCAGTGTGGTGCAGAACAAAATAACGGCACAAATAAGTGAAAAGCTGACAGTGGGATGACTGTTCGTGAAGAAAGACACAGGAACACCAACCGCGCAAAGTAGGACCACATTATACACGCTGATACCGATGAAACGAGAATCATTCAGTGCTGGAATCGAAACTTTGCGTGTTTCAAATGCAAGGAACAAACCGAAGATGAGCTGAAGGCTGTGAAAAGTATAGAATACAATAATCCACACTGTGAAATGGGGCCCCTCGCATTCCTCACGGCAAAGAACAGTCTTGTGATCGCGATCGTAAGAAATCTGTAAATTTAAATCACAAGGTATGGATATTGCATTAGCTGACGAGAGTTAATTCAGATAAGCTTTAAATTATACTTCTGATCATTCACTTTTTGCGTCAAAATTAATTTCCAATTTATGATTATGGCTCAGCTAGGTATTTAACTGTTTAAGAACATCCTTATTAAGAGAGTTGGATGTTATTTGTACAGTCAACGAGAAAAGAAACTGGGAGAGAAATAGAATTATCTGAGAGAAAAGGAAAGCTTGATAAGAGTAAATGAGAGAGAAAAGAGTTAAGGAAGGAAAAAGCTTTAAATGAACATGAAGATCAAAGAACATTCACCATGACAAAAGAACTGACTTCATTGTATGTACGATTAACGAAGCTACCCATCGTTCTTTTCAGTCGCACTTCCGCTTGCAGTTGTTGCTGTTGTTACTTGTTTAACGTAAGTTAACCACAAACACCCTTACATCAATATGCATATTCTCCATACTGTTCTACATACATTACTTAAGGTGCTGACAAGGAGAATTTGTTTTAACAATCAATAGCTTCTTAAGCTGGTGATCATTTCCTTTATTCTCGTGACCCTAATGTGTGATTCAGGGATGATGTTATAAGGAGAAACTAGATGTCAATCACTCTCATGGGTCAAAGGGTTTAAATAATGTAAAAATGACCTCTGTGTTTGCTCACCTTTCTTAGAATTCAAAAATTAACTTTGGAAATAAACAGAAAAAATCGCCCTTTTTACTGCTGATACAAATGTTGTAATATCAACGCAAATTTTCCATTTGCTTAACTTCTTTCTAATCGTACCCAGACCTCAACCCTTACCAGATTTATAAGATCGTGGAAAGTCTGGAACCAACACTACTAAAAGTAACGACTTTTGTTACTTCAGTAGTGTTGGTTCCAGACTTCCCACCGACTAAATGGGCTACTACTGAGAGGTCATTTCAGTTGGGAATTCTACTTTCGTCGTTTACCTGAGCTCCTTCATTCACGATTACTTTCCTATTTGGTGGATGCAAAGACATCCAGGTGGCAAGTAACAGAACATCTACAAACACTAGCGCTCCTAACAAGCGGAACAGGTCGGAATCACGGACTACCTGTGGGGGACAGAAAAAAAATGCTATTAAATCGGTTAATTAGCAGGCACTTCCTACACTATGTACGCACTGCGGATCTATGAAATATGTATCTCACACCCTGCTATCACAGTAATCCTATGGGATTGATTAAAAGTGTCTTTTGTAGGGGTTTAATTGGATTTATATCTGGGAGCTTAGAAAAATTTTGTTGTTGTTGTTGTTGTTGTTTTGCTTGTCGTTGTTGTTTTGCTCGTCGTTGTTGTTGTCTTTTTTTCACCTTTCTGATTTTCTTGATGTTCGTGAAAATCTGGTGGACACGCCAAGTCTTGGAGAACATGGCACCAAATCCTACGGTAAATCCAAGAGACAGCAAACAGAATCGTGCCTATGAAAAAAGAAAATTAGAACAGATTATCAAATTGACACTAAATTCGCTAAATGAATGAATTAACTACCGAATGCATGAATTATCAAATGTTTGATCGAATGGATAAGCTGTTTGACTACTCGACTGAGTGGTTGATTGACTGACTGACTGACTGACTAATCAGTAGACCAACCGACTGAATGAACCATGACTGATAAACTCATCCACTCATTTACTGATTAACTCACTTATTACCTGACCCACTTACTGACTCACTCACTCACTCGCTAACTGAAACCCTGGCTTACTAACTAACCAACAAACTAAAACCGAAGAAACGAACTAATTTTAGATTGAAAAAACGAAAAGAGCGAATCAACGTTTAAATGAAGGGGGAAAATGAACAATAAACTGACTAACGAACAAAGGGAGCAAGTTTCTAAAGAAACTTTAGTGCTGCGTCGGTGGGAGAGTATAACAGGGTAATTTAGCATTATCAACTGAGTTGTTAATACTAAATTGACTGAAGAACAGACGAGCTGGCTGCCTCTCTGACTAGGATTTTTTTTTTACGAAAAATAAATTTAGAGTAATTATTCACGGTATTCAGCGAGTTTGACAATACTCACTCTACAAACGTAGGTATAAGAAAGGGGCGAAAGTCTTCCATCAAACCCGTACAAAAACACTGTTATGTACATTAGAATGCCACCAAGCAATATGACATTATTGAGGTTTGGACTCGACAGTTTTATATACCTGCATGGAATAAACAGAATAGAAAATCAAGGCAAATCCTAGCTTGTCCCAGATAGTAAAACTAAGCGCCATGGTAAAAGGCATGACATTGGCGGAGGAGTAAAGAAACGAGGGGGTCTGGGTCGAGTTGCGTAATGGACTACGCTACCCGACATGCAAAAGCCTCCTTCTTTTTCGCTCTGAAGCTTCTAACGTGCCGTTTGTTATTTCGCTCCGTTTTATTACTGGAACGCCTGGAACAGGCTAGGTGAATTAGTACAGCCTAAAAAAATTGTTTAGAACTGAAGGTAGTTCTTAATATATTACAAACGGAATGAAGGTAAGTAATATGACTTCTGAGACGAAAGAAAAAAAAAACATTGAAAAGGCACGAATCGTTTTAGCTGTCTTCACACTTTTTCTCCAAGGAATGAAGAAAATAATTAAATTTCTCCCCACAATATCAAAATCAAGCAGAAAAATGATGAGAAGAAAGATGAATATCGCCAAAGGAATATTGTCTGATTACATACAAATTTCTTAGAACTTACAAGAAGAGTTACAAGAAATATATACAAGAAATGGGTCAAAATGGATCTAAGACTCTAGAATAGGTGTTTTTTCGGTCAGTATCGGATGCTAGAACGCCTACTAACGACAAGAACTCGATTTCAAACTTATTTTTGTTCAGCCCACAGGACCAGGCCGGTTGCACGAAAAGCTCAACTGATGAAGAAGCCCTAATTCAGGTTATTTCCCAGAAATCATCCGGCACTTAAACAACATTGTAGGGAGTCACATCTGTGTGACACTACCCCCTTGTAAGAGAAGCAAGTTTTAAAATCAGTTTAGCGTACTTAGACACTAACCTTTTCTTGCGGTAGCGCAAATTAAAGCCCAGAAAAAACAGCGCCAATACAATTCCCAGAGAGCTCAGTACACTTTTTAATACGATTAACCACACGGGAATTTGCACAAATTCTGTGACGGTGATAGTTTTGTCAAGAGGAATTTTACCGTCTGTGAATGCAAAAATAAATATGTAAGGGTAATCTTTACTTATTTCATGTAATCACAGTCATATATGGCTCTTAATGACTATTCAGGGAGAGAAGATAACAGTTATTTTTACTAACTCTTACCTAGAAGGCTAGAACTTCGGGATCACTAAGAATTGGAATTTCATTTTGAAGACTTAAAAAACGTGATGAAACCCAAGCTTCAACATAAAAAAGAACACTCCTGATCAAAAACTTCTCACCCAGTTCCAAGCTTCTCTCTTGTCTCCTTATTCGGAAAAGGGTAGACGATCGAACTTTTCCCGAGTCTCATTTGACATTTTGACCGAGTAGAGAATGTATTAGAATAGATTTGGAGGGGCGAAGGAAATAGACTTTTATCTCTTTTATCATTGGTAAAAAAAATCAGAAAAAGCTGGTTGAAGTTGACCGAGGCTATATGCTCAGATAAAATTTAAATTCTTTCTAACACGGTTACCTGGCCACAGATTTCCCTTTCCCACCAGTTGTAGTTTTTTGGCGAATGCATCATAACAACCGACACGTACAGCATGACCATCTGCAAATAAATAGTGCACGCTGAGGACGTGTTTGACGCTTTGAAGCGATGCAGAGATAAATTCTCTGTAACGTGGTTAGGCCACTGTTTTGAAAATAGTCTTAAACTATAGCTTAATACTTTTTCTTTGCGTTTACCGATAAAATCAAGCGCGCGGAAAGTTTGGAGAGACCTCAAGAAGCATGAGTAGAACATTTTTCGTGCTTTTTTCGCGCTGATGCATGAAGCAGTAAACACTTTGGCGGCGGCAGTACTAAACGAAAATTACCTGGATGTTGCTGAAGTATTTCCACCAAACCATCATATCGGTCACCATCAGAGAAAAAAGCAACTTCTCCCTGAGGATGGACGGATATAGAGAAGAATGCAAGTGAAAAAGGGAGAGCAAATCTGTTGCCTTTTTAATTACGACGCGAAGCAGGTTGGTTTAGGACACATCCAAACCCCCCCCCTCCCTTCTTCGGAATGAGACATAAATAATTCATAACAGTACAACACCCTGGCGAGCCGCTAAATTCTCATGAGATGTCGGCCAAAATAACCCTCTCCCCTTTGTTAAAAGACCCCTGCCCACCGACCCGAAAGAAAACATGAAGCGAGGACAAGCTTTCAAGGAGATGCGGTGCTTATGTCAAGAGGAAGGGTTAATTTACAGAAAAAAGTAGAGCTGTTGCTTTGAGCTGGAGAGCTTGCTTTAAAGGAAAAGAATGGAGATGGATAAGTTGTGCTCTTCTTTGAATAACTTCGAAGGATTTAAATAATCAGAATACCTTTCATCGGGTGGGAAAACAAGTTATGACAAGAAAAGGAGTTATTGTAAGATGTCTTACATTAACAAATACAATAAGTGACGAATACAGACTGGAGCAGACCTACCGTTACCCCAAGGAAGTGAATATCTTGAAGTGTTCGTACAAATAACTTTGTCATTTCAGTTTTATTTTTGTAAAAGTCTTGTAACCCCAGACCCATTTTTTCCAGTTTAGGAATGGATTTATTCAGTGCGACAGCCACCGTCCACAGAGCATCATATGTGTAGGCAGTGATGTTAGGCGCGGAAGACACGTTCAGCTTCTGTAAAACATCTCTGTATTGTTTGTAGAATTGGGCGGTTGTCTGAGCAGTGGAAATAAATAGATGATAAACTGCTAGAAACATGCAGAAGAGTATTTAACAATTAGATCAGTTCTAAGATCAAGATTTCTATCGCGTGATAGTTCAAAAGGAAGCCTGAGAGCGAAAAATCTAATTGTTTTCGAATAAATGATCGTCATTTTATTTTATGTACAACCACGCAGTGTTATAGGCAACTCACGTTACTCACTATCTACCCCTTAATAGGTTTTAGCCACGGGATCTAAGCCAGTACCTGGGGGATTATAGTTGTTGATAGCATCTTAGCATCTCAGAAGAACTCCACTTCTTCCTCTTACAACTTTGCAACTGTGGCTTCGGTTTTTTGTGGGGTAGAGGCAAGACTCGGATTTTTGAAAAAAAGTTGTGTGGTTACTTAAAAGATATCTGGGTTAATATTAGTCAGATACTCACCAATTTCGAGAGAGTTTTACTCTGTGCTTCTGTTTTGTCTTCACTCGCGAATATCTGGTTATTAAAAATAAAAGTGTAGGCCACAGCTTTCCTCATCTCATCTTTAGTGCAGAGCAGGGAGGGGTCTGGGACTGACCACCAGCGGTGAGAATATGTACCAATCAGAATCCAGACATAGCGTGCTCCGTACAGGTCTGACTTGTAAGCCTGAAATAAATTCTTTTTTTAACTTGCTGAGACAGAACCTCAAAAAAATGAATAAAAATAAAAGAAAAATAGTTCCCATAAAGCTATTTTCAGTCGAGTGTCGAAAGTAATCTAGGATTGTATCGGTTTTGCTTTACTTCACCCTATGATTGGTCCAGAAAACTCGCGCTACTTTCTTAACCAATCAAATGTAAAACTAAAACCAATCATGACTTGGTCACCCGCGTTCTCCCACGCTATAGGCAGTCTGGTTGTTTTTACTATGAGTTCTTATTGGCTTTGAAAGTTTTTTTCTTTGTTCAGATTTACCATTGTGATTACTTTGGTTTTGGTTTTATGACACTCGATGGAAAAGTGCACTAGTTGTGAAAAGTTTCTTAATCAATCAGACGCTAAACTCAGTCACTCACTTTTCCCAGCTCCTGTGGCCGATTACATGTTCTTACTTGGAGGTCTCGAACTGATGTGTTCCTTACCATAATGGGAGTCACGTCGGTTGTTTTGTTTACCGTTTTATATTTTCTCACTAAACACGAGGAATTTTTTCAGTATACCCTACCTGACAGAAGACGTGCCGCGCCTTGGCCTCATAAAATGTTCCGACAATGATTCTGGCGTCGTTTTTCTAAAACACAATATGAAATGATAGATAACGGTGAAACAATCTCACACTTATGAGCGGTACCAGACGCAAACCGTGATTTTACTTTAATCTATGAGCGGGAAGGAAACTAAGACTCAAATTAATTTGATGGAGCTATTTTCTAGCGAGGGTCCAAAGTAATCTGGGATTGCATTGGCTTTGCTTTACTTCGCTCTACGATTGGTCTAAAAAAAACTTTCGCCGATTTGTCGACCAATCAGATGCAAAACAATAACCAGTCACGACTTGGTCGCCCGCGTTTTCCCGCGCTTTAGGCAGTCTGGTTGTTTCTACTTTGAGTTTTCATTGACTCTTAAGAGGCTCCTTTCTTCTGATTGGCTGCGGCGATCTCTTTAGTTTTGATTTTGTGACATTTTATCGAAAAAGGCTCCAATCAACCAACAGACTTACCGCAAGATTAACTATGTCAAGCTCAATGTGCTGTCCTGTGATTTCTTCAGACTGAAGAATTGTTCGATTTATCTCCTTCAATTCCCTGATGACTTGGCTATTGGATTGCGATGCCTTAAAGAAGAAAGACACTTTAAGGCATTTCAGCTAACAGGTAAATGTCCTACCATTCAAGTTATTTAGTAGGTTCCTCGGTGCAACGGAAGAACTACTGCTGTCGTATCATAAACACACCTGTTACAAAAATCTAACCTGCGCTCCAGAATGCACGGAACTAATCAAATAAACTGAAGACGATGGGCGACTTTCCAAAACCTTTCAATTATTTATCTCTTACCAGATCAGTGCTTGTCTTTTCAAACATGGTGGCAATCCTCTCCCAGCCGAAGTGTTTTATCCAAGCCACTCGAGCCAGGTTCCGCGCGGACTCGGACGGAAGAGCGCGAAACAAAGTGGGAAACTCCTCACGATTTGATAAGGCCAGCGATCTGGAGGCATAAGATATCTGCAATGGGAGTATTTAAAAGAGATTAGATATGACCTGTGTCATACCTTTTCCAGCCATCGAACAGTTTTGAACTGCTTGTGCGAGTAGTTTTATTACGGAGATCTCTCCTGTCATTTTAGAATACACATATTGAGGTTTGTTCACAATTCTAAAAAAACATTGTTTTGCATCGTTTCCGTCGCATTGGCAAATACAAGAAAATCATCGTTTGCATTTTTGAACAAAAACCAGCGTCCCATGGGGTACTTTCTATAATTTGTAGAAGTGATTAGATTCAAGATTGTGTCTTGATATTTTTAAATGAGGTGCTTTTGATCTTATGCTTCTTAGACTATTTTCTGCTTAAAAAATACCCGCAAAGACCAATAAGGGCCCCGAAATTGGACGAAAACGACTGAAATTCGACGGAGCCTTCCGAAATTCGACCGAAGTGCCTAAAATTAGAATGAGATGTTCCTTGATGAAATGGTAGGTTTAATAATAGACCTGTGCCAAATGCCTGTATGCTGACATCTTTGCTAATATTTCAGTGACATCCGAGCACGCTCCTCCAAATGTCATCAAGCAGTTTGGCTGCTCTGACAGCAAATCCATGAACATGTTGGCTGTGTAAGCAGGGTCACACTGACGAGAAATTTCAACATGATCAGCATTAAAACAATCGGACAATAATGCAAGGAAATACTGAGCTGAAACGAGGCGTACTGCAGAAGACTCGCATGTTACAATGTCAGGATGCAAGAAGTCTTGTTTCGAGTTCCCAGAATTTATTGCCTACTAACAGCTCCCTCCTCCCCCCCCCCTCCCCTTCATCCACCCTTTGGCGAACGAGAAAAGACCAGGTACATGGATGATACAAAAACTGATGCACACGAGGTATATTTAGTCTTAGATCAAGGAAAATGCACAAGAAGTTCAAGAATTGGGCTTATTTTTTCGTGCCCTAAGAATCCTTTATAATTTTATATGTAAAAACGTATTGAAACTTGGGTTCGAATGAGATCTGTTGCCCACATAAGAAAAAATTGACTTTTCAACACAACATTTTGGTGCAATGAAGATGTCAGGAGTTTCGATTACCAGCCGCTGTTCGGGAATATGAGCTCGCGCTTCTCCCCCCTAACCCATGGGTAGGAGAGAAGACTGGACTCGAGGAAGCGGCGGAAATCGAGCCTTAGATGTCACACGCAGAAAGAAGACTGTCTATAAGATTATACTGAACTGAACGAGATACCTTTGAGTCTTTGACAATCATGCGCAGCTCATAACCGCGTAATATGTCAGACTTGTTCACGTGATCTAGTGCCACTTCTGCTGCGGCCAGAAGTGCCCGTCCTGGTACTGAAGCTTTGTTAGGACTTAGAGGAAAGAAGCCTCCAAAGTAGACAGGTGTCCGCTGAAAGTTGGGCCGAGTTAGGCACGGCAGCAATAATAAGATCAAGGACGACAAAAGCTTCATCTGATCCGCTCCCTCGGGAAAGAAATCACCCTGGCTCCAATTTCTCTTCACTATCCTTTATGAATCGAAGCTTGTAGAGTGGTAGTTCGTTTTCTGTTCGTTTAAAACACCGAGGGCATATGTATAGTTAAAAATTGATTCGTTACTCATGAAATTAGACTATACATTCTCTAACTATCATGGAAAATCCTGAAAGGATCCCGACAACATCTTGAAAATTTCCCGGTGAGATCTCGGTTGGATCCCTTCGGGTTCCCGACAACATGCCGTCGACATTCCGGCTGGTTCCCAGAAAGATTGCGGCTGGGTTCTAGGGGAGTTCCTCGCACGTTCACGACTGGATTGCATATATCTTCTGTTTTGTTTTTCATCTCTTCTTCGGCCTTTAAAACCTGTTTTTTTCGCATATTGAAGCGACGGCTGCTCAGCTCAAACATTAGAAAATTCTCAGCAAGATTTTCTGCGATAATTATCATCCCAGGCAGAGTTCAGCTGGCGAGGCGATTTGGCCTATGGAGCGATCTTTTCAAGAATTAACTTTTCGAGTACACCTTAAAGGTATGCTCCCTTTTTGGCCTCTCCTTGGCCAATTTTTACGCCATGCTTATGTGGAATTTCTTTTAGAACCACGTGTGTTTTTAGAGATCTGTACGTTTCTCACATTGTCGAATTACCAATCATTTTCCAATACACTAGTTTTCTTTGTGTAGCATTAATAAAACTCAGTAACGATTGCATTAAATATAATCCAACTGAACTAACAGAAGAGTAGATCTTTTGTGTTGTTTCTTTTTAAGGAAAGGAGGAAACTGGAAAAGAAACAGATCACACAGCTGTTGGTTTTTCCACGCTGATTAATTGTTGGTTTGATTTTTTTGCTATTTCCATGCGGTGAGTTTGGTCCGATGAAAAATGTAAACACGGAGTCTCGATTTTGCATGAGACAGACACATAAACCAAAACTTGGAGAATTTCGTATCTTATTGTGTAAAAATCTTTTAACTGATGGCCATTAGGCATTTCGCGTTATCTAAACGAAACCAAATCAATAAAAATGTTTTTTTCTGCATGATCATTAGGGAAACTGTGATTTTCTCTGAAGATTTTATCGATAAAGAAAGCCATCAGAAAGCATCAGCCAGAAGGCTGGTTTTCTCTCGAACATTCTATTTGACATTCAGCTTTTCTCACAAGTGAAATTTTCAAAGTTTGGCAATACCAACTTCGAGCAAATGACCAAAACGATAACATTACAGTCATTAAATAGTGATTTGTTTTGAGTTGACCATGTTTAAATCATTTGATTGAAATGACTGCAACAATCTATTCTATGAATTATCTGAGAGATAGTTTGTCCCGCAGCTAGTCTAAGAGATCAAATTTTTTCGCTTTAAAATTAGTTTTCAATCTCTGATTGACAATGTAAGTTTTAAAGCACTACTAATGAATTTCAACGCATTGGATGACAAGCTCGAAAAGAAATTTCTTTCGCCGTAAAAGTCTGAATTTTAGTCACTCACCTGACAGGAGTTACTTGGCAAATTTATGGTGGTGAAAGGTGAGTTTGTTTTTCAGTTTGTTATTTATAGAGAAAATCTTAACCAATAACAGTGAAACAGAACGGCTTAAAACAAAGAAGTTTGTTTTCTTTTAATTACCCCGCTCTTGTGTGAAGGCAGCCTATGAAAATCACAGAAAAACAGCATTTGGGAAAAACAACGCTGTTTTGATAACATCTGGTTCGACCAATGAGAATTCAAGATCATGTTGCAAGCTCCCTTTCTGATGTTTTTTAGCTGCTGAAAATCCCGGTTGTAAAATGAAATACTGACGTGTGACGAAAAGATTTACGCCAAGTTTACAGATCTGTAATCTTTGTTGAAAGACGCTTTTAAAGGTGCATTGGCCAATTAGTAATGAAAATTCAGAAAAATGTATTTTGTTTTTGCTTTGCAGTCTCCAAGTCAGAGTCATGGTGAAGGAACTATGCAGGGGTCGACTGAGTTTTATATTCATTTTAACAAGTCAACTCATCATCACTTTCCTGGCGACTCCGATAGAGGTAATGGTTCGAATGACGTACAGGCCTCATTTTTTTCACGCTTTATTTTTAGTACTGCTTTAAGTGGTGTTCATTACTACGAAAATTGTTTTCATATTCATTTCTAAACCCGCGGTTCACTTATAATTTTCATGTTTTCTCAGTCAGTGACACCGTCTTTGTGTTTCGTCTAGAAAAAGTAATGTTTTTCTAGTCCTGCGAGATGATCTGACAGTTTCAATCAATTATTAATTGAAACTTACGTAACTTGCAAAACAACACGCAACATAATAACTCAGCCGGTAAATAACATAACACGCAATGCGTTGTCGCACTCTCAAAGTTTCATACCCGTATTTCACAATAGGATTGCTCGATCATATGTAAAAATTATCATAGCTTGGAAGCTCACTCAGAGAGTTGGAAGCAAATTTCAAGCTATTATCCAAAGAAGAAAATGCAGAAAGAACAATTAAAACACGCCGCAATATCAGGCTAACTAGTTTTCTTACATATTATTGTTTACAAATGAGCCTTCATTTCAAAAGGGATATTATTTAGCCATGCACATTAAACTCCAAAGTCTTATTATTATCATCTGTCTTCAAAGTAATGTCAAAAGAGGCCGCAATTTTACCGAGAAATTTTCAAGCGGGGAAAATGATGATTTAGTCGGTAAGTTTTTCCTACCTTCCTAACATGAATGTTGCTCTTCGCTGTAAGTTCCAATCAATTTTATCTGTCACTTCTAATCTTTAATTAGATGTACCAGGGATCCGGTTTAACTAATCGATTTCATTTACAACTATACAAAACGACCATAGAAAGCAAACTGATCACTGTTTTGTATGCTCCAAATATAAACTGTATTTTCAATTTGAATTCAATTGATGTGTTAAATAACCCGTCATTACAAAGGCGAGACACAGGACATTCGCGACAAAAAAAAACCTTTAACGCACAATTAGTTTTTCGTTTCCTTTAGCTACAGCAATACTCAATCAGGGAAATTGCGTGACGGCCACCTGCCTTCAAATACATTTTAGAGTACAAAGTAATTAGGTTGGAATTATCAAGAAAGCCTTCTTATGGTAAAAATGTAAAGAAACTTCTGAAATTTGCTTGGCCTGCACTCGTTTAACTTGAATATTCCTAGGTCCGCGTTGATCAAAAGCTTCTAGATAAACAATAAAAGTATTTATTTATTTATTTATTCATTTACATCATTCAACTGAACTTAAACCCGTCTAGATTTTTAGTTTTTTTTTTCGATTTTGCAGACCTTTCTACGTGGCGTTTTTTCTTGTGGTGTTTTTTTTTTAACAACGATAGTAACGATTTAAAAATCTGTATTTAACTTTCAAACGCTGAACTTTGCTGGAAAGCATTTCCGTGAGAAAAGAGTTTTGTCAAAATAAGATTGAGTGTTATTTCTGTCATTTGCTATTTATTCGTCTTCATACCCCTGTTATGATCATGTGCAGTGTCTAAGGCAGTCCTCAGGCAGTCTAACGATTCGGTGAGGATTGGTGTGAGAATTCTTGCGAGGACCCTGTCGGCTATGAGAGTCGTTCGGCTTTATTTCCGAGGTCTAAAAGCACTCACTTTCAAAGGGAGGCTGAAAGTAACACCTTTGTTGTGAAACGAATTGTATTTGAGCGAGTAAAAAATATATATTATCGAACGCCTCGCACCCACTCTCGTTAATTTCACAGTAGAGGCACTGAACGTTTCGCAAATGGCTCACTCCACGGATGAAAATCATAAACCTGCTGTATCTTTCACAATTTCACCACCCAAACCTAACTCAGTCCTAAATCGCAAGGATCTTGTTTATGTTTCCTACAATCTCCTACCCTTTTTCGCGATAATGGCCAACATGCGAGAGACTTCTGACAATACATTTGCATACTTTGTCAAACACACACAAAACCATCACTTTTACTGGGTCGCAATTTGTACCCTAAACATGTAAATTTTGATCACATAATAACCTTTTTGCCACAGCCGACAAATACATCAATATTTTAACTAAAAATTAATGGATGTCGGTAGGCCAATCGACTAAAAACAGGAAGCAAATCAGCCGAAGATCCTACCTTCTAATACGAGATTATTGTCAAATGGGTTATACTCACTACCCTGCTGATTACAATTTAAATTGTGCTTGTAAGCAAACAGGATTACGATAAAAATAACGTGCTTTCAATTTGATCAATTTAAAAGGAAACGTATACAAGACATTTCTTATCATAATCGACAGAGTACTCGCCTGCATGAGAGATCACCCTATGGTTTCAAGAAAAACAAAATAAACCACCTTTTTCAGGTCAGAGAAATCAACTAACCCATGCGATATTTTAAGAGCATGATCAGAGAGGAGTTGTTTATAAACTGGCAGTAAAGAATTTGATTTAGATTTTCCGTATTCAAAAGTTTGTTTCAAGGATATCACAATTGATGCTTCATCATATCAGGTATCAGGCCAATGAAACGCAAGAAAAACTTAAAAATGTATCAGATAAAAAAGATTTGTGAGATTGCACTAAATAGAGATCAATCAATTTCTTTAATGAATGCTAGTGATAAAACACAAGGTGGTTTCCATAAAATTCGAAGAAGAATGGTAAATACACGTTCCTCTATAAACTTTCACATCGGTGACTCTTGATCATTGACTGTGCCCCTAGTAAATTTGGATGCGCACAGTTGTTATCTTAAACTGTCCATGGGGTGAATTTCACGTGCCACAAGATCAAGTCAACTCTTCGACGTTAAAGACCATCAAAAATTAGCTTCTGAATTTGAATATTAGTGACATCCTAAAAAAGTCTTATTTCATCATATGCCATTTCCTTTACTTTCATTAATGCGGTTTTCAATAGATACATATTAGATGCAAACACAATGAAAGATACAAATGATACTGAACACTTCCAAACGCGAGTAATACATTATAAAGTTCGGGCAGTGAGTGAAGATATGAAATTTTTTAATTCGGTTTTTTCTCATGATAAATCTGTTGAAAGTAGGGTCAAAGAGGAAAATAATAGTGAGTTTCTATCAGATCGAATAATAAATTGATAATCTTCTGTCTTTTTGCGACATACACTTGCGCTTAATTTTGATGAGCTGATCAATCAAAGAAAACTTTTCAGCTACATTCACACCTGCGAATTTTCCATCACTTTTTTCCTTTGACAAGCTTTTCTTGTCAGTTTTGATAGCAACATTTGACAAGTTTTTTCTTGGCCCGGAAGCCTTCCTGTTTGAGAGCCGACATGACATGACAAAAACCCAAGAACCGGCAAATCTGCCGGTGTGGGGTCTTATCAAGGTAATCACTTGTCAAGTAGATTTTAAGGTTTGCTCGTTTGTTTACTCACCTTTTTTTTGACAAGTGAAATTGCCTGATGACTGATCCAAATGCCTCTTAATACAAGATTGTTAAACAACATCTCTGTCTCTCAGTAACGAAAAAAAAAACAATAGACATACAGTTTTTCTTAAAAGAAATACATATTTACCAGTTTATCGGTGAAATCTTGAAGTGGACGAGAGCGCAACGTCACATTCTTTTTCAATGCTGTTAGAAAGTCACCGCAAATAATTTTTGGAAGTCAATCAAACGATCGACACCAACTGTCAAAAGGTATTCTCTTAACAAAAAGATCTTGAAATATAAACAAATATGTAACATACGCCAAGAACAGACATCCGGTAAATGTAACAAAACAATGGCTCATTTAAGATATAATCTTGCTGCGGCGAGTGAACAAAACGAATCAAAACGTTCCAAAAAGCCCCCACCCCTTCATGTGAACTGATAAAGATCTCAACAGAGATATAGAAAAACATTAGAGACCTTCTAGAAAACCTTTCGGAAAAGAAATGTGCTGGTTTAGCACTAAATCAGAATAATGATGACCTATCAAAGAAGACTTCTTAAACAGTTGCAAATTTAATATATGCAAATTCTGAATCTTAGGATATTCACTGTCTCTACAAAAAACATACACAACTTTACGAAATGATTGATCATTCAAAAGGACTGAATAGTCTTTTTCTCCTTATTCAACACTGGAGTGGTCAAATGTACGTTTGGGAAATCTTCCTTCCCACGAAAAGGGCTGTCGTTTTGTATATCTTTAAATATCGAAGGGATTTTTGTGTTAATTTCATATTTATAACAAAAATCTCCCCTCCCAAAATAAAGGAAAACAAAAAGATTGAGTTAAGCGAAAAATTATTTTTGTACTCACGAAATATCCTGAAGTTCTGGCTGGGACATGAGCTATGCTTCGAAAAAGAATGAAATGGTTCCAAGGCTAAAACTGAGAAATAATGCCCGACAACGCTTTTTCTTCGGCCGTGGTTTGAACAGATTCAATTAAAAGCTTTCTTTCGACAAACCAATCAACGATCTGACGAATGATTTTTCATTGATTGAGTAATGTTTTCGAGAAGAAAGCATGTCAAAAGAGCTTAGTGTACATCACTATACTATTTTCACCAATTTAGTTTGATATGATAATTACTAGACATTTAATCACGTCGCACGATCGTTAATTAAGTGATGTACACTAGTGTGTGTACTATGGCAAATATCAGTTATAAGATGTTTCAAAACGTAGGCAAACAGCGCGGTGCAAAGAGTTCGAACAAATATGTACACGGAAATGAAAGCGCCCGATTTCATAATGTTCCTGTCGATACTTTAAATACTTTCAATCATTTCCTGTTCTGCGAGAAATTCTGGAAAACTCTCTGCCAAGGAGGAGAGATTTTTTTAAAGTTGACGATTTGCAAGGTATAAGTGGTATTTGAAAAAAGAATTGAGCCTTTCAGGTGTCGAAACTTACTTTCACACTTTCCGCTGACACGCCGAACAAGGCGCGCAAAAAAATCTGACTGAAATGTGACTGACATGTGACTGAAAATCTGACTGAAATATGCACTACACAAAGCTAATGTAATCTCGCGGTTTGAAATTACACCGTGATTATGTTTAAGTAATCTTTCATATTCAGATTGGTGATAAAAAAAATGCAAGTTCACAGCTTGACTGCTTGTAAATTTTTTTATGAATGTAGCTTAGTACCTGTTTCGTGTCCTTTCTGAAAGTAACATAGGCAAAGATTCAGATTTAAAGACAATTCTGATGTTGCTTGTGAACCACAATAACAAGCTATGAATACATGATGTGAAATCACGACGCCTTTATTTGATTTTGTCAATATGAACACGTCTAACGTTAGGAACAGAATCTCGTGATCTAGATATCCTAACTACGAATCTTACAATTACATATTACAAATACGATTCAAATCTCGCAGATCTCAAAGTGATCACTGTTCTGTCATTGCAACTGATCAAAGTTCATGAAATTTTCTGATATTTCTAATACAAAGCTGCCAAAAACTTTTACAAACAATTTCTACAAATTTATGACAACTTTGACAATGGGCTTCATACAAAGCATGAAGGACATTGAAGTGAACATGTTTGACGCGTTCCTTAAGTTCGGTAATCTGTTCCCGTCGTTAGCAATTACGAAACAAATTATACAGAACCGTAAAATAAGCACTTTAACTCTTTACACCCTAACATCAGTCTGCAAGTTCTCTGCACTGTCTCTTTACATTTCTTATGGCACCTAGAAGGACAATTTGTCTATTAATCAAGAGATTGTTGAATTTGTGGTCATTTCCTTTATTCTCACGACCGTAATATTTGACCCAAGGGTAGTATTGTTGGAAGAAATTAGATGCCTATCACTCTCAGGGGTTAAGGTAGAATCTCATTTTATGTTACCAGAAACTTGCAGGAAATGTCCAAAACTATGTCTCGTGGTTCAAGATGGCTGATCAGAACCGTGAACTGGCGACCACAGCTACAGAATTACGACTCTAGATTACTTACAACACAACCGAAGCATATCACAGCCCTGGTTGGCAACAAATCAAATATCATTGAATGGATAATAAATGAGGCCAACAAAACAAGCAACTCAGCAAAAAACGAGGACAGTTCAACTGACGTTCGTCTTTGATTGTTTCAGGATTTGTTTGAAGATTCCATTGTCGCTATTGCTGTCATCAGAGGATCTGCCATTTAATTCTGTGTTGCATAGTGGTGGGAATGTAGTATCAGAGGCCGGACTTGTCGGGGCTTTGTTATTTTCACCAGATATTTCCTTTGCCAGGTCTTGGAATTTCTTCACAAAGTCCACACTATTTTCATCCATTATGGCTTGAAAAGCTGTCTCCGGCTGAAATGAAATGACATTGAAGATATTGCAAGATTAGAATTACTTCACTGTAACGCTTTCATGCTAAAAGATTCTATAAGTATATAAAACTTCGTAATAAGATTACCTTATGTCAGTCTTTTTTAGGTTAATGTTCATAAAATCAACAGTGTAAATAAGTTGAAACGGTGGCGGGGAATCTCACGAGAAACCAAACAGCATTTTAATCCAAACATCAGTATGCATATTCTCCATACTGTACTCTGTACATTTCCTAAGGTGCTGATAAGGAGAATTTGTTTAAAAAATCAAGAGCCTTTTTCGGCTGGCGATTATGTCTTTAATTCTCATGACCACAATTTTTGATTTAGGGGTGATATTGTAAGGAGAAACTAGACGCTTGATACCTTTGGGGGTTAATAAAGGATTAGTAGTGGGCTTCCTTAATTTTATTTCGTTTACAGTTTTAAAGTAGATTAACATTAAAGTCAGCCAGTAACTTAATCTAAAATCAGTTGTGTGTTTAAAGCATAATTAGGTTGTAAATTAATTGAAAATTAAAAAGTGAAAGAAGAAAGTATAGGTTATGAAAGGGATTCTCTCAGTTTCAAAGAAAAGGACAAAACCAAAGTTGTTGTTTAGGGGAGGGGAGGGGGAGTGTGAAAATGCTTATCAAAGAAAGGGGCTATTTTGAAACCTGAAATTATGAGCTTCACGGAGAGGTGGGACTTACTTGAGTATTAACAGTATAAAGCATTCCTTTTATGCCCAACATTTCAGTGAGCCACAAAATTACTTATGGTTCACCACAGTATACTCACCAGAAAATGAGAACTTTCCTCAGATGAAAAAATATCGATATTCATAAAGCAGAGCTACTTAATAACAATGGGTTGGACTTACATCTAGTAAATGGTGAGCACTAGGAAGGATTTCCTGAGATGGTTCCTGAGATGGTTCCTGAGGTGGTTCCTTAGATGCACTTCCTCCAGATGATGACTCCTGTATAAGGAAATAAATACAACAATTTAAAATTCAAGAAAAATAAGAATTTTGTTTGCTTGGTTTACATACAAGCGGTGGTTTTAAACTAAGAGGCTACCATTGCTGTTCCACTTTTAATTTGAATCTCAAATTCTGGCAGTGAATTTGATTCGAGCAAACATCAAATCTGTTTTTCTGCTGACAAATGACACACCCAGAAAACATGTGCCTAATGGGTTCCAGTGCCTTCACAAAAGTGGACACCTTTTTAAGAGTTGGAATTGCAAAGGAGAGACTAGGACACTCAATTAGTTTAAAGAAAGTAAGTTCTTACCCCCATGCTAGGGAGCCTTTCATCTTTCTTAGGCGAGGTGGATAGTTTATCTGTGAACAAAAACAGCATATTAGTACATTCATCATTCTTGAGAAAAAAAATTAAATTTCTTAAAATCTGAGCACTGCCTTGTAACCCCAACATGTCCACAATCTTATTAATGACACCCTCCAACCCGATCAAGGAAAAAAAAAACATGATAGCCTTACAGTCAATGTAGTGGATGCTATGAAAAAAAAGTGGATCACTCTCGTTATCTAATAAACTGCACACCTACCCCTCCCCCTAAAAGTTTGTCTTTGGACCCTGGCATTGAGCTCTTGGGAAAGGCACCCTAATCTCATAGTGTCTAGCACTACTCAGAAGTATAAATGGGTCCCAATTAACTCCCAGGGAGCCTTTATGCTTGGGAGGGAGGGGGGGGGTGTTACGTGCCTTGGACTGGCATTCCATTCAGGCAAAGTAGCAATTCTTTTTTCCTCCAGGAGTTCCACCAGCTACTTGATAACATGTTACTCTGCTCAAAATCATTTTCTTTTGGCCCTTAATGAACTCTTCATAGTCCCCTACTTTTGCTGAGTCCAATGTCCACTTCAAAAACATTTTGAAACCCCTGTAAAACATGGGCAGGCTATAACCAAACTAATAATTATGCTTGTAAGCCAAATTTTAACCTAACTCTGCCTAACAATATTTCATGAGAGTGACTGGAATTATATGCTAACTAAGTGACAAAATCTTACCAAGAAGGCTGCCAATGGAAAAGTTAGAATTCTGAAACAAGAAGGACACAAATAGTCATTAAAAACAAATTGCTTTGAAATTTGTACTTAAAAAGACACAGTGGTAAGAAATATGCAAGTTAAAAGAAGTAGGAAATGCCAAAAAAAATGATTAATGTTCACTTTTATTTCTGTACCTCTCCATTAAACCAGGGAGTCTGAAATGAAGCCTGAAGAGAACTTTCTGAATTTGGAGATAAAATTAAGGATGATGCAGCCATGTTGTCTTTATCTATCAGTGCTTCTTGTTGACTTTGTGAATCAACAATGCTGCAAATAGGTCCTGCACCATTGAAAAACACATTACATGAAGTCAAAGTAGGAGACTGTGCGATTGAGTTTGTCGAGTTTAGAATATTCTCCAAGGTTGGGCTTGTAGCGCTTGATGGCATGCTGCCACCAGCCACACCAGAATTAAGTTCCTCAATATGAACATTAGAAGGGGTGTCTGAACCAATTCTCTGCACCACCTGTGTTGCTAAGTCTAAATTTGAAGTTTTTAAACTTGTAAGAGAAGCTAAAAATGCCGAGTTGGAATCTTCACTCATTCCTGCAATGGATGTAGGTGTTGCATTCTCATCCAATGCAGTTCCCAGAGCAAGACCGATGATAGAGTCTACAGAATGGGATGTGGTTACAACACTGTCAGCTATTGACTTTGTGCTGCCAACAAAATGGTCCACAACTGCAAGAAGGTCTGTGTCTGAAAATCCTGACATTTCCAAACTTAAGTCTGTTGAGTTTACATTGATAAATCCATTGTCTGCCACAACTGCTGATGGTGAAGGCCTTTCCACAAGGCTTGAAACAGTTGTTGATGTAGAGCTACTAGATGTTCCTACCAAAAATTTTTAACACATTAAGCATTAATGAGATGTAGTTGTCTGGAATTATATTCAAAACAGCTACACAAGACAAGTAAATTAGACAATTAATTTAAGTAACATTCTTGAAAGAACAAGAAATTGGAAATGGTTGGGGAATGAGTCCTCATGATTACACACTTGTCGCCCCCAACCCCGCAAGGAATGACCAACAAGGAATTTATCTTTTTATGTCAACATAAAACACTTGTCAAGACGACAGGTGAAGAGAATTAGGAATATCAACTAGGGGGTACCATTTCATTTAAAAATAAAATTACTGAAATAATATAAGAAGAAATGCATGGGAGGTAATTCAGAGAATATTGTCATCTTCAGAGTGGAAAGCTTATCATCTTTCTCAATTCACCTACCAAACTCAAATCCTACTAGCTTTCTCTTGTAGTAAAGGACCTTTTCAATATTGCAGACCTTAGAAGTAGTCAAGATATTTATTAATTTTAACACTGGTACCTTTGTATACATGTACCTCAAAAACACAAATGAGCTATTTATGACTCAGTTAACAGAGCATTTGGCTGTGGTCAAAGGCTGGATACACTATCTACCAGATAAATATTTCTCCAGTGGATAATGCAGTAGGTTTTGTTAAGGGACTCAGAATATTATTTGCCTCATACTAGTGACAAATACTGGTGACATCTTTCTTTCAGGGGTGCCTAATATTTTGCAAAAAACCAGTCTGCAGACATTCAACTCACTCTATGAAGAGAATGCTTACAAACATGTACACAAGACCAAAAGTAACAAAATTTTGAAAACAAACCTGAAAGTGATTTAGAAGAAACAACTGTCTTAGACTGAGTTGTTCCTGATGTGGTTGTTGTGGACACACCAGATGCAAGAATGGTGCCAACTGTTTGCCCTGGTTGAGGAATAAAAGACACTGCCACTGCTCCAGGTGGGACAGAACTTGGACTGCCAACTGGTCGTGGTAATAAAGTTCTGTGTATATTTGGTCTCTGTGGCCTTTTACGAACCCTGGCCATGGGACGAGTTTGAGGTGGGAGATCAGAAATAATGCTTTTAGAAGTTGATGTTTGTGTGGCTGGTGCAACCACAGATGGAAGAATAAATGGAAGTCTGTCAATTGTTTTAGAGGCAGGACGTGTAGATTTAGAAGCAACTTTATCTTTTGAAACACTCATAGTGGTTACTTTGTCTTTGGATGAAGAGTATAAGCTGTTCTTACCAGTTGATGTATCTGATGACTTTGATGTTGTTTTGGATTCATCACTGCTTTCTTTTACTTTGGTAAATTCTGCTGCTGCAATATCAACAAGTCTTGTCAGAGAAACGGCAGTGTGTGAAGGTGCAAGGTTGTGTTCAATACCATTCCATGTATACTCCAGTTTTAATTTTGGAGGTCTTCTGAGTTTGCAATAAATTTCTCCAAAAGTAATATTCCCACATGTGTTTAATGTCCAAAGAGAGGGATAGTTTTTGTTGCTACAAGATTCAACCTTGTCCTGTTGAACAGGTTCTGAAGTACAGCATGGTTCCAATGCTACTTCAGCATATCTCTGAGATGAACCTTCCATACCCAGTAAGGTATCCATTGTTTTATCAGTTTGACTAGAATTTTCAGCACAACCACTGCCTGGTGTATTTGGTTCAGATGACAAATTATTACACCCATTGCAAGCCACATTGTTAGAGGAACTCTCTAGGTGTCCATTTAAAATGACCTCTGAAGATTTCTCTTCCAAAGAGAAAGAAGGAGAGCATGATTTTGTTAACTCTTCCAGAGGTTCAAGAGACATTGAATCTGTAGCAAGGCTGTTTTCAACCAAACCAAGTGCACCTGATGATATTTTGCTCACTGCAGAATTGGTTTGCTTTTCCATAATGTCTGAGCTGAAGTGAAACTTTGGTGGCACAACAATACACATTTGCAATGGTTCTAAAGTCTTTCTGGACAGAATCTGCCACTTCTTCATAAGGAAATGAAGCATCCCACTTAAAGGTTTCTTTGCTGGCACAGATGTTCTCAACCTTGGGTTTTTTGACAGTTGCTGAACTGCAGCCCAAGCTAAATGATCATGTGGCATGAGTTCTAATACCAGTTTATTTGGCATGGCAAGAGGTTGAGCATCACCATCTTCCTTGCCTTGTCCGACTAATTGCAGCCGTTTAAGGGCCCGACATACAGGGGCCTTAATTTTGAAATTCCGCCCTTTGCTGCGGATAGAGATTGTTCCATGATTTAGTAATTCTTCCAGTTTCTTTCCATGTTTGTCATTCCAGCCGCATATTTTTTTGCGAAGTTCTCCATAGCAAATCAAACCTTTTAATTCAATAATCATCTTCTGTTGGGTGTCACTTCCCCTTTGGTATTCAGCAGGAAGATATTTGTTAATCTTGTTCAGTGAACGATAATAAAAATGTCTAACTTGGTCTTTGTTTTTAATCAGAGCAGGAGGATCACCCCTTCTTTTATGTTTTGCTGCAATGAAGTTGCAGATCTTATCAAAGTCTTTACCATATTCATGAAGAGCCTCAAAAAAGGTGTCCTTTTCTGCCTTTCCCCAAGACTCCCATTGCCTTTTGGGTTGTTTTTTCCTTCTGTTTGTCTGTGGTGATGATGATGACGAGGTCACTAACTCACAACCAGTACTATTTTCTGTACAGAAACCAAAACAAAACAGAAAACAAAAGATGCAGTTTTTTCAGTGACATCAATTTTCTATGAAAAGAAAACACTGATTTCCTATCATTATCCCTTAATTGCTACATGCAGTTCTGAGTTAACACTCAACTACAAGAGTATCACATAGAGTCAAAGAAGTCCCCATACAATAGGTTTACTGTCTCAACTGGAAACTCTACTGACAAAACTTCCCAGATTTGAGTTTCAAGTTGTCTCAATTAACATGAATCAAGTTTCGAGAGTCCACTTTCAGGAACAGAGTCTCGAGATTCAAGTTTCATGAATTGAGTTTCAAAATGCTTCCAGAACTTTCTGTGGAAATTAAGTTATCCTCTTACTTAAAAAAGGAAAGGGAAATGTGTTTGAAAAGCAACTTCCTTGAAAAACAAGTAGCTCTGTTATTTGACAGGCAATTTGCACCTGATTTTTGCTTTACAGCAAGTGGCAATTTGAGTGCGTCTTTAAATTTTGTGCACAAAAAGAATTATTTTTGTAAAATTTGAAATTCATTCCTTAGGTTAATGTGAAGGCTTCTAAAGAATTTTATCAACAAATGTAGCAATGCGAGATTTCTTTAAGGTAGCATTTTGCTTTGAAACAAGAGTGAAAACTTAGCTTCCATGAATTAAATAGGACAGTTGCTGCAAAATCACAAGTGTAAATATGCATTATTATCCTTATCCTCATTCGGGAAAACAAATACATTTCTTTTTTCATGAAACACTATGTGAAAATTTGTTGGTACAATACTCAAGGAAACAAGTTGGTATAACAATGTTTTTTGCATGACAAGGCAAAGTTTTGTGAAATATTTCTTCCTGCAAAAAGATTTTGCCAGACAAAATCTGGAAGATTGATTCCATGATCACAGCAAGATTTTGAATCTCAAGAGCTTATGGCTACTATATCATCAGGTTTCCTTGCAAAATTTTTAAGTCAAACTTAAACTGCTGTGAGTAACAATTAATACATGTAAATGGCAAGCTATCTATTGGGTGTGAGATTGTTCAGAAGCTAACCAACTTAGCAAAGCTCTTTTAGCCAAAATTGCAGATAGTGAGGGAGCTCTGCATAATGCTTACTAAACAGTCATAATAACCAAGGTATCGCAAAGTTCTGAGAATTATAATATATATTTTTTATAATGTTCTTACTCAAAAATTTCAAGAACTAACAATATTTCATGTTAGCATCTGTACAGAATGTAAAATAAATTTTCAGCAATTAAAAATTACGTTAGACGAGAGGAGATTTCGTTTTGCGTGATTGCTGACATGGTGAGACGTGTCACTTAGCCGACATACTGTAAACATGTTTGAAGCAGACCAAAACTACAACTGAAGTTGGTCGTTTTGAGACGATAATTTTACAAATGTTTCTGTTCAAATGCGAATAAAAAAAATATAATCCACGAAGAACGCAAAATTACACTGGTTTATTTCCACCAATATCTCAAAATAAATGGTAGCTGAATCTCATGTTTTGAATCCGCTTCTCCTGTAGCTCAAAATGGCGGTCTGATATGAAAAGTTCGTTCGTGCCAAAAAAATTATAACAAACGCATACATACCTTGATTTCCAACTTTGTTAGATTGAGGAACAGACAATTTTATTCTTTTATTAGGTCTTGTACTGCTCCTAGTCGCAACACCAACAGAGCTATTGGTTGTTTCAGATGTTGCAGTAAAACTGGACTCCTTTGTTAAAATTTCCGCATGGTCTTCGTGAAGACGTTTCTTCGAAGCCTGTTTTTGAGATCGTGTTTCGTGCAAAACCTGTGAGTCTTTACCAGCTATCTCGTCTGTCAATTCGCCACCTTTTTCAATATCTTTGATCGTGCTTTCTTGCTTGGATGGAGGCAAGCCGCCGGCGGTCATCCTGAGCGAAGAAGCAAACATAATAATGGCGATTATCATCGAGCAGTACCTCAAATATTAATATAAGTACTTCCTGTCAACACAACCTTGCTTCAAACCTGAAGTTTTGGCCCATAAAATAGCACTGAAAAAGCCCGACATAGAGTATCAGTGGTTTAAGAGGATGCATACTAGATAATGTACAAAAATATAAGCTAATAAAGGCAGTCAGTCGCCTTCACTTTTCGATAGCTTCTTGACAAAGCGAAAACGAGAGCGAAGTTTTACCAAGAATTCCTACCTTTGCCTTCTCCCATAATTTCGACAGCGAGTTTTCATGAGTCTTAAGAGTAATACTGTTTGTCTTCAGTATAAAATCGAGCCTCGTGACGGTCATAAATTCACGCAAAAATGCGAGCTTCTCCCGCCTGGCTCCAAACATTGATCGCAACCGTGAGCTTTAAGAGGACAGGAGGGGCTAAGGTTTAGAGAGTGGCTAAGCACATTTACGTCCAAAAAAAACCAAAATCAAACTTTCACACACGTTTTCTTCTGATCAGCTTAAAAAATTTGCAAAATTGCTAGCAAGGTAATTCAGCTTCTAGAGTATGTGAAAACAAGGCATTTTCGTCCAGCTATCGTAAGAAATAGTTTTAAAGCCGAAGGGGTTATGAAGAAAAACTTTGGTGGACTAATTACTATTGAATATTTGTAAAAAATTCTTTGAAATTACATACATGGCTTCAACAGCCACAGTTACATTTGTCAGGGATAAGTTATAAAATTTAAGATTTTAAGTCTTCTGTGAGTTATTACTGGCTTGTATGAGTGATCACAATTTTTTACAACTTTTGGTAAACTGACTTGGATTGCAAATGAGATAGCTGAAGTGCACTTACGCTAACGTGTAAGAGTTGAATGCAATCAGAAATAAAGAGTTACTTCTAACATCACGAAAATAAGCGAGCAATCTTAAATTAAATAATCTGAGGTGAAACAAGGAGATGAAAATCAGGGGGAAGGCAACTTGAATTTTAACGAGACAAGTTCCATCAGATTGTTAACAGTAATAAATTATACAATCAAACATTGCTAGCAACAAGTGAAGGTTTTCTACATAAAATACGTAGACAGACAGCACAGCAACACATTCCCCTTTCAAAAATATGGATAGTAAATTTACAAATCGCAGTAGTTATTGGAAAGGGTCCTAGAAATTCTATGGAAAATATTCACGTTGCTTACATTCTATGACCAGCACGTCCAGGGCAGATCTTTCACTTATCAGCATCGGTCTTCCAACATTCGCTGCTTCGGTGGAAAAGACACGAGCTCTGGTAGAATTCCAGGATTTTTCAAACAGATCCAAGAAATAACCAGAGAGGATTCCTAGCATCTAAGATGTAAACAAACCCGTAATTCGTGGAATAACGACGTAAACATGGTTTATATTTGGTTTTTGGCGCGAGCCTCTCATGGGCCCACGGCGCGAACAAATGGTGGAGAGTGTTATCACGTGATTTGTTATTGTAAGCTTCACCCGCAAGGAAATCTGGGGGATTTTTAGCTTTTGAAAAATCGTTCACCATGAGTAGATACATTTCTTCGAATTAATTTTTAAAAATCAGCCATTTTTGGCTGTGAAATGAAATATATTTCTCGCATCAAGCCTTTGAAAATTTTAATGTTGTAATACTGTTTCATTCATTGTTTCAAGCTCTGATACTTTTCAGATAAAAGGAAAAAAAGGAAATATTTGAGACAAATACTTCAGATTTAATCGAGGCTTGTTAACCCTTTAACTTCCTGATCAAATTTGAAATTCTCCTTTCTATCAACCATACAATTTTTATCATGTTAGTTCAGAGAATTTAGTATTGAATCAACTAATTACCTCCAAATTGATATTTTCCTTAATTCTCATCACTTATCTGGTTGATATTGTATTGATATTGTAAGGAGAAATTCTCTCTTGGTCATTCATGGGAGTGAAAGGGTTAAATAAACACAAATTAAAAAAATAAGAAATAAAACATATTAAAACAAACTTTACAACTGAAAAAAAAGTTCAATGTATATTTTTTTGAAAGAAAAAAAAGAATATGTGTTCATAAGAAATTTCTATTCATCTTTTAGCCTTGCTGTTCATGTTATTTTTGTATCAGATGGAGACAAACAAGTCTGAAGTGTGTTATCAAATGCATGAAGCATGAGTGTATTAAAAAAATAGGGTTTATTTTAGAGCACAGCTTTATGGAATTTCTGAAATGTGAAAGGAATGCCTTATAAAACTCACATCTAGTCATCAATAGGCGTGCAAAATTGTGCCCAAGGATAACTTTTTGTTAAAGAACTATTTTCTTGTTCCCTATGTATTCAAAAACATAACTGACAACAAAATTGATATGAGCTGCTATGAGCTACTATGACCCTTTAAAGTCTCAACTGCATTTGACTTCTTTGTTTTCAGTTACCTCTACAAAAAAAATCAAACACCCTTTGGGGAACTCCATGCAAGCAACAGAGAGACACAGTTGCACTTGAGCTTTAATTGCACTCAATCATCAGATACTCTGCCTTAAACAAGATCTCACAGTTGATAAATAAGGCAGGCACTTGGGAAAACAAGCCTACTAAGGCTGCCTTGATTATTATTTTGTTTCATGTGATAGCACATTTCCTCCATATTTGGCAGTTCACATTCACTTTAAAAACAGTCTCCCTTAAATACATAGAAATCAGTCACACAATTTATACATAACTAGAAGAATTCTTGGAGTGATAAAATATTAACCCTTTAACTACCATGAGTGACCAGAACAGAATTTCTCCTTACAATATCAATACAATATCCAGCAGACAAGTGATGAGAATAAAGAAAAATATCAATCAGGGGATTATAAGTTGATTCAATACCAAATTCTCCAAACTAACATCACAAGAACTGTGTGGCAGACAGTAAGGAGAATTGCTAATGAGATCTTGGGAGTTAAAGGGTTAAGCAACCATACAAGCTTGGTAACAGTCTAGGGTTAATCATCATCCTTAGAATTTCTTCATTTACATTGTGGACTGGATTGATAAAACATTACATGCGAGTAACCATAAAAATGGAGAGATAATCATTAACTCCCTGAAGTGATTAGATGTAACTTCTCCCTAAAATATCCATACATCATCCAACAACCAGGTAATGAGAACTCTCAAACCTATTGGGTTTAAGTTTGTTATCTTGATCTAACAACAATTTCTCGTGACTTGTGTACAAGGAAATCTGTAACAGCTTGAGTGGAGAATATTAACTATCAGATCTTGGGAGTTAAAGTGTTAATGGTCTAAAGTTAATCATCATCCTCAGAATCTTCATCGTCGTCCATATCTCTTCTGCTCCGGATTGATTTCTTTAATATCGTTGTGGAACTTTTCTTGTTAGCCTGATCAGGTGGTACACTCAGATCCCCAGAGTAATTAATAACACCAGAGCGCGCTATTCTCCATTCCATCATCGCGGTGCTGAATTCATCATGACCTCCTAACTCATCGAACCCCACGATACGATCGAGGAATTTACCATCTTTGATAAGCAGAATGGTCGGCAGGACTTTAATATTTAATCTTTCTACAAGGAAATGACACCGTTCAGCGTCCACTTTGACAAATTTTGCTTCGATGTGTTTCGGTGCCAAAAGTGCCAAATGCTTGTCAACTATCTTGCAACGAAAAGTGCTGTCGCGAAAGAAATGGCACACGATTCTGGGACTGTCTTTTGTTTCCTTGAAAAATTCTTTGTCTCCCGGAATCTCGTTGTATTGGCCGTGTCCTTTGTGAAGCCACTCCTGTTTTTGCTGCTCTTGTTTTTTCAGTTGCTCTAACCGTTTTTCACGAAGCTCTTCCATTTCGTCCGAAGTCATACGGTCCAGTTTTTCAATCTCTGAATCGATCTGCTCTTCCATTACCTTTGTTGCTTGTAGCAAGGTATTTTGGATATGGTGCTCAATATTTCCAGCCATTTCACACACTAAAATGTATACGTTCAAATGAAGTAAGATCTAAAGTTAAGTCAAAGAGACGGGTTTGTGGGTTTGTGTAGTGTAGTTTTGAAAGTTCGTTACCAGGCGCCAAAATTTATTCAGAGCTCTCCTGGAAACGAACGAGCTTTCTAAGAATTCTGGGACATTTTAAAGATGGCCGACGCGTTGCAAGGAGAACGTGAAACACCGCTTTCATGTATATTATCGCGTTAATTTAAGCAGCCAACCTCAAGAGCAAAAGTTTTACGGTTATATTTATGACCAGTGACATACTGCTCTCACTTCCAAGACGTAGTCAGGTTTTAAACATGGAGGGCGGTGTAGAGGAATCGAAGGACATTGATCAATCAACAATGTCAAAGCGACAGAGAAAAAGGCTTCAAAAGCGTCAATTTTTCGTGGAACATAGGAAAATTAAAAGAAAAGAAAAAAAGGAGAGGAAGAAGGCGGAAAAGAGAAAACTACAGGAGGAGAAGGAGACAGAGGATGGGAAGGAAGGCGTGAGTTCTGCAAGCGATAATCTGACTAACAACAAAGAGAAACTTTCTTTTGAGAAGAAGAAGAAATTTAGGTCGATGAACTCTGAACATGCTTCTTCTCTTCGTGTCGCAATAGACCTGAGTTTCGACGATTTAATGACCGATCGCGATATTCATAAACTCTTGAAACAAATCCAAAGAACGTACTCCATCAACAGACGAGCCGACCGACCTATTCAGTTGTACCTCACAAGCTTTGGCGGCAGGTCCAAGACAATACTGGATGAAATTCACTGTAAATATACAAGTTGGGATGTTCACATAAAGGAAGAAAGTTACGGCGATGTTTTCTCGCACGAGGACGTAGTGTATCTAACTTCGGATTCACCCAATGTTTTGAGCGAAGTCGATGAATCTAAGGCATACATAATTGGTGGCCTTGTTGACCATAATCATCACAAAGGACTGTGCTACAGGCTTGCTGTCGAGCGTGGAATCGCGCATGCGCGGTTACCGATTAGTGAGTGTGTGAAGTTGAAATCCAGAACTGTGATTACCGTAAATCATGTGTTTGAGATTATGTTGCTGTACTCACAGACAAAGGACTGGAAAGAGTCTCTTGTCCAAGTCCTCCCAGCTAGGAAAATGGAAGGCGCTACAGAAAATGGAGGCCACAAAAAAACGGGAAATGGTGCTCAGAAAGATGAGATTGCTAAGGAAGAGACTGATAAATCAGTAGAAGGAAATGATGAACATTATAGCCTGCAAGACTTAAATTAGGATTTTCATTTATTAAGCCATGCTCATTTGATGTTTTGTTCCTCGTTGCCCTCCCTTTCGGGAGACTGGGTCTGTCGATCGATCGGACAAAGAACAGTTTCACGTAATTAACAATTAAAGAAAAGTAAAGAAGTAATTGATCGATGGAGCTTGGGTTCTGGAAAAACTTAGTTGTGCGCATTGCCCTGTTAACCTTTTTTGTAACTCAGACATTTACGATATAAAAGACAAGCTAGAAAACACGGTAAACACGATTCCCATTCAAAATAAAGTCTTGATGATCTGCTTTTTAATAAAATTGAGAGAGAATGGAATTCGGTTACCTCTCTGAATAACATCAAAACAACAAGAAAATAGGTTGCATTGGTTGGGCGATGGGAATCGAAACACTGTGGGGATTGCCTGAGTGTTACCTGCACGTGAACTTAAAACAAAAGGAAATTCTATCAGATTAAAAGAGAACTTTTTACTACTAGGTTGATTGAGCTCATAAGTTAATAAGCCTGCTTCTTCAGTAACTTTTTTTCCAACAAATATCAACTCTGACGTGGTGATTCCGCAAAGCTTAGCGCATCTCACTCTCGTCAACTACTGGCCGAGAGTCGTCACGCATAGCAAGCGTTGTGTGACGCCAAAGACGGTGAGCGATCAAAGCTCCATGGCCTGGTGGTAAGCGCGTGGGACTGGGTTGAAAGCTTGAAGGTGGGATACTTGTCAAAAGAAAAGAAACTCAAGTCATCCATAAAAATTTGTTTATCTACATATGAATTCTCACGACCAGAGTCATAAGACTTGTAACGAGACCATTAGAAGAATTTCAACCTTGACATCTAGTTCTTAAATTATGGGCAATAAGATCGTAATCTTTTCCGGAAATCTCACTGCATATCACTATAGATCCATTAACTCTACAAATCACCACTGTCTCAGATAACCGCACTATGTCCTTTGTCTTCAAAACTTTTTCGCCAAGTTTTCTACGCTTTATTTGTCAGCGAAAGATGATGATCTCTACACCTTTCTCACTTAAGCCGGGCAATCAACAAAGCGCAATAATCAAGTTCCCAAAAATCAAGCTAAGCATATTTTGTCTAGACCTTCAAGAAATGAAATTTCTTTTTGCGTCAAAAGTTACGTTCATATAAATTTATATTTTTGAGAACGTTAATGATTTTAAGTCAGATTGAGTAAGCTACTTTCTTCGTCTCTTAAGTGCGAGATTTTCCTTCAGACATTCAATCATGAGAGAATTATCTGTCTTGGGCCATAAACAGGTAGGTGTTGCAAAAAGTATCCTTGTTGCATGGGTTCTCAACCCAACCACGCTCGTTGCAGTGCCCAACTCCGTTCAACTGTCAATCTCTTTCACTTCATCGTCCGGTATTTCTCTCTTCTTTTCTGTCGATCACTTTTCTTTCTTGTTTCCAAATAAACATTCATATCTTGAAGTTGTTAGTCGTAAGACTGTTATTTAGTGCAGATGCAGAGTGAGGGCCCAACAAACCGATTCGTTGTCTCTGCTTGCGATGTTCAGTCATCTGTTTAAAATACCAAAAGCAAAGGCAGTAGATTTTAAATTTTTAAATTAAGGCGAAGCAACTGGGAGGCAGATAGGGCTGGATGGGGGTGAGAAGGAGGCAAGGCAGGGTTGGATGGGGGAGGGGGGGGGGGGTAGGGGGGAAGAAGAAGAAGAAAAGCGAGGTTGGAGACGATGAGGTGGGCAGAATGGAGGGAGGAAGACGAAAAGGCAGGTAAGGTTGAAAAGTAGGAGACAAGGACAGGAAGGAGGCAGGCAAACAAGGAGGTGAACAAGGAAAGAGGAAGGGAGATAAGGAAGCCAGACAGATATAAGGGGTCTGACAAAAAGGAAGGCAGATCAGGAGGGGGCGACGAAGAGGTAAGACAAGGTTTAAGGGAAGCAGAAAAAGCAGTGAGGTAAGGTTACAGGAGAGAAGATTAGGTGGCATGGGGTGGAGACAGAGAGGTGCAATAGGGTCTGATCTGCAAGCCCTACCTGCTCCTTTAGATCTGTGAGTTGTTGCGACAAAGTGTATACCAGTCTTGTGGTGCTTTCCAGCTTTTCCTGAAGATTCTTAATTTCACTTTGCTCACTTTCTCCTTCGTCAATGGCCAGGCTCATAGCACGCATGCGTGGGAACCAATCCAGATCGTGTTCCTAAAACAAGGACGAAACGCCGCGTAGGTTAGCTTACGATGTGTCGCTACAAGTAGCTTAAAAATGGTTGTCATCCCACCTTCGGTGAGCAATTTAAGCCCAAGGACTCGTTCAAACTTCATTGAAACCCTCCCCCTCCCACCCTCCCCTTGTCTCACTTCATGAAGCGTTTTCCATATTCATGATGTACCTTGACCATTAGACTGACGTAACTCTCGGGTCCAGTAAACTCGGTCGTGTCCTTGACTTTGAGCAAGACTATGAAGTACAGGTAATGCCACATGTTATGTTCTGAGTTGATGTGTTCATCAAATGATACCACTTTGTTGTCGAAGGCCGACCGATCAAGACCTAACAGTAACAATGTAGGAAAGAATCAATGTAAGAGTAAGGTAAGGGAATTCCAATTTTCAATGACAACTACCGAAAAAAAAAATATCGGGAACCAATGGGATCTCAAACCGCAAGTAAACAAACTGCTCAGCGTGCTACTTGAAGCGCGGGAAAATGCGAGTGACCAGGTCGTGATTGACGCCAGTCTTGATTCTGATTGGTTGAGAGGATGGTGTGAATTTTCTGGACCAATCAACGAGAGAAGCGAAGCAAAAGCGGCGTAAGTTATTCGGATTAAAATCGACACTCGTTCAAAATTTTTCCTCAAGAACACACGCAAAAATTCATGATCACCTACCGCAAATAAAACACGTGTTCTTGAGCACCTCCTCTTTGTTCTGCTTCTCGCTCCTCAGATCAGCAAACGTATCAATAATGACGCCAAATATCAAGTTAAGAACAATAATGATGACCACAAAGAAGAAGAGCAAATCGTATACAACACGTCCCACGAACATGTTCTCTTTCATGGAGGGCCGTCTGAGGACGTCTCCGATTCCCCCTCCATTTCTGAGCCCCTGGTTCAGAGTAGTGATGATGCACATTATTAGGGTCTCACAGGCACGTTCCTTTATTGAGTCATCTCCTTCTGAGCTTGTTTCCGAGAGTGAAATGGAACCTTCGCAGCTCTTATCAGCATCGCAGGTAGCTGAGGATGCTGTCGAATACAAGAAAAAGAAAGTGAAGACATGCGCACAGTTGAAAGAAGCAGCTAGATGAGTAGAAAACAAAATTCAGTAACTTTCATGGCGTACAGCTACTATGAGGGGTAATTCACTCACCGAGCTTAAGAGAAGGCGTTGGATCCGTCTCTACTAAGAAATCGTCTTTGAGAAACAGGAAACCAATGATGGAGAACATGTAGACGAGTATGAGAGCCAAGACAGCAGTTAAGATAATTGACCGGCCATTACGGGTTACGCTCTTTATCACGTTTAACAGCGTGTCCTCACGGAAGATAACGTCCAAGAGCTGAAAAGAAAAATAACCTAAGTTACAGACGATTGTTGTCACAGCTTCAAGAAGTGCTGATTAGGGGCGGGGTGGTGTGGGGACAGGGGTGGAACCTCTCTTCAGGGCACTTCTCGGGAGAGGAAAAGGCGTTTTCCTCATTGAAGGCTAGAGATATACAGGCTTCGAAAGTATTCTCACGGGTTATTTCCCAGCCCAAAATATTGTCTGTGTGTGACTGTAAGGTTAACTTATGTAGGATAATTTAGATTCTCGCTTATTCGAGGCGCATCATGTATTTTCTTGCTACATAATAATCACTTTGAAAAAAATTTAAACGAAGAATAAAACATTTTATTCAACTCAGCAGACAAAAGAAAAGAAGATTAAAACAGTAACGCATTGGAGCTGGAAGTTCCAGAATATTGTCGAAATTGCGCCTAAATGATCTCAAAGTAGGTCGCTCCAGTTTACTCTGGGAAACAACAGTTTTAATTGATGGTCAAATTCTTCATTCTCCTTAACTAACTAGGTGAAATCATCACAAAAGATAACGAGAAAGTGATACTTAATCACGACACTGACCAAAATACTGTAGAAGAACGTGTGCAGTGTTAACCCGAGGAAGCCAAACGTGAAGTACATCAGATGAAGAACGAGATTCCTGTCCGAAAGAAGCCGGCGCACATTGTGGTCAAAAGTTCCCCGATTTCCAACATAACTTACAATGAATATTGCTTTCAGAACGACCTGAAAAATAACAATGGCTGTAAGTTTTTTGGGCAAAAGGGAACGCTAAAATTTCAATACTTAAGACCCGTCATTATTTATTGCGGGGGAGGGGTTAGTCCTCCCCCCCCCCTTCACGCTATGTTAGGGACGACTGATCCCTTTTCAGTTCTCATCGCCGTCTGTTTAGCCTGCGAGTAACACAGTGATCAAACGTCTGCGCATGTGTGAACGTTGTAGAGGGTAGGTGGCGTGCTTTCTTTTGCTTATTTTGCGAGAAAGCGGTTGTTTCCTACGTTTCGGCGGGAAATTGGCGCGTAGCCGGCCAGATCCCCACGCGCATGCCCGACGTTTGACAGCTACGCTCCTAAGAGCAGGCCTCAGGTTTTATGCGTCTCTCCTTACGCACAAACATTTTTCACACCATCAGCAGCCGCTTATGTAAACATTATTGAAGCCCCTAAAACCTGTTGAATTAAAGGCTATCTAAAAGGATATTTAAATTAATCTGGATTTTTGTACACGGAAAAGTCTAAAAACTAAACCAGTTTTATTTATGAGTCGTTTTCTTTTGTCATTGTTACTTACGGTTGCCAGTCCTAGTATTTTAAGAGTAGGCTCAAGTCCAACGGAAAATATCAGCCTCAGTATCGTTGAGCCTACAAACGTCCTGATCCCAGACGGCCGAGGAAAGGTAACAATTATAACAAAAGAGACAATCATGGCCAGCCACACCAGTACGGACAGACGTCCGTCAAGTTCTACAAACGAAGGAAAAAAGGAAAACAAAAGTAAAAATACTCTCACCCTAATTTCATTGAACAGTTCCTTAAGAAAGCAATGAGAGGTATTTCTGTCCCTACAGATTCACTTCCTTACGTTTTCAGGCGCGCGCAGTCACTCACGTGACTCGCCTCGCGTACGAGCCACCCCCGAAACGAACAAAAATTCTGTCAGGATATTTTAAAATAACACAAAGCTGAGTATCTGTCCGGGAACATAAAAGATAACAAAACCACAGCATGACACTCACCACCTGGCCCGTCGGAAAACGGATAAAAGAACGCCACGAGCAAATTGATTAGGATTGCTAAATTGATGGAAATCTGTTCCCACAGAGTCATTCGGCTGCTTACTCCGAATAAAAATCGACTTTCTGTAACAAAGAAAAAAGCCACCAGTCTCAATAGGTTGGTTGAATTAACATAACTTGTCGCGCAATCTTAAGGTAGTTTCATAGTAGTTTCTTTCCACAAGAGTGCGTCAGGTCTAATTTGTACATTTTCGGACTCAGTGAAGCCGCGACAAAGACGACCCGTTTCCCTCCCCCTATGGAGAATGTAGATAACGTTACGCGAGAGGGAAGGAGGGAGGGACGTCAATTTACATATCTTACAATTACAGGGTTTTCATCCAGAAATGTGGCAGCTAGGAAAAAAGTGTATACCAACCAAAAAAAAAAACATTCTCAACTCCTGAATGAAAAATAATCAGAATTTCTAACTAGTTACCTCGCAGTTTCTTCTGCCATTGCATCTCCCTAAAAAGTTCCTCGGTTCTATCGAAGAAATCTGAAATCTGCACAGATAGAAAAAAAATTGAAATTATATTCAACATCTCGTTTGCGTCATAAGAAGAGAATTCTTTTGGCCAAAACAGAACTTCAATCGCTAATTAGAAATTTTTAAGCGTTCAAAAACTCGCCAATTTTTAAAATTATATTAAATACTTGTAAATACCCGTGTACTACAAAGGGAGAAACTTTTAAAAGATTACATTAATTCTGAAGCTAATAAACTTTGGACCCCTTAGAGTGACTAGCATCTAAATTCTCCTCCTCAACCCTGAATCACACTGAAGTCACGAGAGTAAAGGACATGATCACTAACTTAGGAAGCTCTTGATTGTCAAACAGATGCTAATGGTCTGCACCTTAGACGATGTACGGAAAACAGCATAGAGGATATGCATACTGATCTTACAGTGCAAAGAGTTAAACGTCGTTTAAAAAAAAAAATGATGAAAGGATAATCAGTCAGACGGGACATCGAACGTGATATTCTCTTCAGGTATCGTTATGCAGTTCTTTAGGTTCCTTGGGAGAATTTAGTGTTGGAACTGACGTTAAGGCAAAATTATTCACTAATGTCATAACAATATCTGACTAACAATGTTCTGACAAGTGAGGAGAAGTTGGAAGCAGATCACTAACCTTGCTGTTCTGATCGTCTCTCTCACACGTCTGATACGCGTCTATTTTGCTTTCAGGGGTCAGAAACTCGCAAATGTTTGGTACTGGAAAGACAATTTGTTCCATTGTACGATCGCGACGAACAATCTTAAACAAAAGCAGGGCGAAATCAGTTTGAAAAGCGACGAGAAATAATTAAGCTAACACGCATAGTGTTTATTTAGAAACATCTGGCGCGCAATCTTCAATCCGTTTGTAATCCTCACCAGCCGCATAAAGGCTCAAAATAACAGCCAGCCAACGGACATTGTCCAGTCAAATACTAGCTTTGTTCAATCAATACAGAATCGGATAGTAGTGTCTGAAATCGGACAGTAATGTCTAAAATCGGATTAAAACGTCAAAAATCGGACACTAGAAAAAATAATCAGACACTAGTGTCAAACAAAGGACACTACTGCCTACAATCGGAACTGGTTTCTAAAATCGGATGCTGGTGTCAAAATTAGACACTAGTGGCCAACATCAAAATCAGCGACACGTGGCTAAAATCTATAATCGGACACTAGTGTCCAAAACAGAAAATCGGACACCAGTGGCCACAACAAAAAATCGGACACTAGTGTCCAAAATAAAAAATCAGACACTAATGGCCAAAATCACGAATCGGACACTAGCGGCTAAAATCATAAACTGGACGCTGGTGTTCAGAATGACAAGGTTAACGCAAGTGGCCAAAATAAAAACTCGGACACTAGTGTCTAAAATCGGGCGGGCGACGAAGTCATGATTGGTTTAAGTTTTGCGTCTGATTGGTTGAGAAAGTGGTGAGAGTTCAGAGGACCAATCAAAAAAGTTAAAGCAAAAGCAATGCATTCCTAGATCACTTTTGACGTTTTACTGAAAATTTCTTTGTAGGTAAAATAAAACAGTCTTGCTGTATTTCTTTAGGGTTGTTTACCTCGATTTGCGCCGTATGTTTTGCGTAATACTCCAGAGCGCTGTCACCGTGCATCTCATCCGATTCTGCTGACGCACTTGGTTTGAGTAAACTCGCCAGATCTTTATTCTGATGTGAAAGCTGCAAATCAGATAAGGTATGAGTGAAGTTCTGTTTAAAAAAAATAATAAACTTAGAGCAGATACAGCAGAAACATCCCAAGAACTGGTTCAATGCTTACTGTACCCTTCAAATCCCATGAGTGACCAAAACAGAATTTCTCCTTATAATATCAAAACAATACCATGCAGAAAAGTGATGAGAATAACGACAAATATCAATAAGGGGATTATTGGTTGATCCAATAGTGAATTCTCCAAGATAACATCACAAGAATTGTATAGCAGAGAGTAAAGACCTGAGAGTTAAAGGGTTAACGCAACGGGATTTGAGTACGAATACGAATCCTTACCCCAGCCATCTGTGTCGAGTTCTTGGACAAGACGCTCACCTGTCTTACTATCTCTCTTCACTCAGGGGTTTGAATAAGAACTGCATGCTTTATTTCTAACACAATTTCCAGTTTTAAATTTTAAGAACTTTCCGTTACAAATTGAAATTAACAGTTTCTATCAAGACTGAAGTCCCAGACTCCACTACAATAAATCACCATTCAGATTTCTCTCATAACAGTTTTGTGCAATTCAGTTACTTTGAACTTATTTCAGTACCTGATGAGCGAGTATGAAAATGTTATGTCCGACATCGCGACAAGAAACTTCACATTCATTCTCATCTTCAAGGTCCTCCTGGTTATACGCTTGTTTACAAACATCCACCTAAGATGTTAAAATCCAAGATACTGAAACAACAAAAACCTTAAAATACAAACAAACAGAGAAGGTAAAAACACACAAACGGCCGCAGTTGTCCCCAAAAGTTATCTATCCACTTGGTTTTGCTTTGATTTTCAGCCCTTTGACCCCTGAGGATGACTAACATCTAATTTCTACTTACAATGTTTTTCCTAAATCACATGCACGTAAAGGTCATGAGAACAGAAGAAATGATCACCAACAAAAGAAGTTCTTGATTGTTAAACAAACCGGCTTTCGTTGAAAGCACCTTAATAAATGTATTGAGAACAGCATGGATAATATGCATACTGATGCAAGTAAATCCAAACCCAATTTAACTTTAAATCCGAGATAAGCACCAACCTCCTTTCGAAAAAGCGAGCATTACAAAGCCTTATGCAACCTCGTTCCCAGGGTCTCTCCTCTTCCTTTGAGGGGAGAGAGAGACCTTGGTTTTTCTCTCTCTTCCTCACGCCCTAAAGGAAGTGAAGAAGAGAGACCCTGCGAACGAGGTTGAGCCTTATAGGCTTTGCTTGGACTTCCCTTCTACATTACAAGGAGACATTCCCCTCTCCGTGGCTCTAGACTTTGTACATCAGTTGTTCAGATACTCAGCTCTAGAGCAGTTTTTAACTGAGCCAAAACCAAAGTAATCACCTATCCAATCGTCATAATGTTCATTGGTTAACGATGACTAAGTCATCATTAACGACTACGTCATCTTTAACGACTACGTCATCATTAATGACTACGTCATTATTAACCAATGAGAACTCAAACTAAAAACATGCAACCTGCTCGAAGCGCGGGAAAACGCGGGTTACCAAGTTGGGATTGGTTGTAGTTTTGCATTTGATTGGTTGTAATGGTGGCGCGGGTTTTCTAGAACAATCGCAGAGCAAAGTTAAGCAAAGCAATCCAGATCACTTTTGATGAATGAAAACTGCTCTATTTGAGTAAGAAACAATAATGTTCGTGACAAGACTTTACCAGTTGTTGAGGTGTCATGTTGTACAGAATCCTCTCGGCATTTTCTGTATCGAGACGGCTTTCCATAACGGCCAGAAGGGTTTTTGATGCGTTATTCTACAAGAAATATGCATTGATTAATAAAGTTTAATCATCTTTAGTCCAAACGCAAAGGGAAAAATTTATTATGCTCTTAGGCTGAACGAAAAAAATCCGCCAAACATGACTCGAAGTTCGATTCAGTAAGTTCCAAGGTATTGTTTTGAATCCACCAAAACCGGAAACCACGGAAACGTCCGAACTCGGGCAAGATCTTACGAAATCATAGGGAACCGTCAAAAGTCCGACGGAAATTTTTTTAAAGACATGATCCAGCTAGGAGACGTCTTTGGTTTAAGTGGAAGCGATGATCTGAGACTTGCCCTTTACGACGGACAATTGTCATCTGACATCATTCAATAGCGGGTTCAAGCGCCAGTTGGCGAAATTTGCACAAACCTTAAGTTCCAGCACCAAGTCCATCCGTTGTCTTCCTAGCGGGTTGATGTCGTTCAGTACTAAAGCTATGACAATATCAATACCATTTGATTCGTGGAGGGCGATGGCGGTCTGGAAAAAAGATAGGAAGAAAAATAATACCAACTATGCATAAAACCATTCTTTGCTAATATTACAAAGAAACAACACTTCAAGACTAAAACAGAACAACATACAAGACAGAACATGGTGTGTTTCCAAAACCGTAAATCCAGAAAGAGGCGTTTCAGAATGTGGCTCCTTCTTTAAAAGGGAGTAATGCATAAAGTATGTCTCCCATGACAATTTTTACGACCCACAAACTACTTGACCCGAGAGTGACGACCTATTGCGTGACAACAAGTTACACAAGATGTCACGCACCTGATTTTCATGACACGGTCCCTGACAGTACTCTGTTAAACTCTCCAGGCATTGGTTAATTAGTCCCACGTTACTTTCGTTGATGTATAGACCGAGCAGGCCCAGTCCCCCTGACGTGCTGCCGCAGATACAGTCTAGAAATTGAAGAGTCTCGTGTACCAAGTTGTAGTTGGTCTTACTGTGATCTTGTTTACGGATGTAATTCTGGTGGAAGAAGAGAAGGAAAAAGTGATATTTGTTCAAGTTTTCATTTTCTGATATTCAAATATTTGCTGATCAAATGATACAAAGGACCCAGAAGGCTCACTAACCTGAAGGTCCCTGTTGTGGTTCTCACAAAGGAGCTGTAGGAACCTGAGGATGGGCTTCATGACAAGCACCTCAGGGGACATGGTCTTGACTTCATGCTTGCCTGAGGCGCTTTGAAGATCGGTCCCAAAAAGTGAACTATTAGGCATGGGCCTCGAAGCCTCCACTTCAGCATCCGGGTCTCGGCCCCTTCTTACGGCCGCGTAGGCCTTTCCCGTGTGCATAGCTGCATCTGATAATTGCTCCTTCACGTCTTCGCTGATACCCATCATAGAGCCTGCAAACAGAGAAATACCAGTCGAAACACTGCCATAATTTACACTTTTAATCATTGTATGTAGAAACAATGACCGAGCCGACAAATAATACTATTCATCCTTTTCAAGGAGCAAATAGCAACGAAATTGACCATTTTAATCTGATGATTCAATAAAAAATTAACCGCGAGAAAAAATTAATTTTTAATTTAATTTTGTTAGCAAGGACTTGATGAGGTTATAATTTTCTGTTCTGACGCTGACCTGCAATTAGGGTGTCTCTTCGTCCACCGAACACAGTACCTCTCCGTCCATCGGCGGTCTTCGCATGGGACACATCTTTATCGCTCTTCTTTGCTACAGATGACTCTGTTGTTTGAACTGTGATTGTCGCCCGGATTTCGGCCTCCGCGTCTCTCATTTTATCGTAGATGTAGCGGAAGAATTCTTCACATTTACCGTTTGTAAACCGATGGAGTAATGATTTCTTCGAAAGAGAAAAATAAGGAAATATACGAAAAATGATTAGACGTAATAAAAAGCGCTGGTTCCTGGAGCACACGCGAGAAAAGAAAGATGCAAGTCGAGAATGATACGGACCACGCACGGACAGCCCGCGCGTGGGCAGCAGGCGCGTTGTAACGTGGTCGCACACGTCTCCTTTCTCGTGTCCAAAATCATAGAAATTCTTGGGAGTCGAGATAATTACCAACCTGAATAGAATTGTTTCCTCCTTCAAGTAGGGCAATCGCTAGTTCGAGTATCTCTAGAAACACTCTGAGGTTGGGCTGCACCATTATAAGATCAATAATCAGATCAGATGCACCGCACTTGTCGAGTCGTCCTTGCATCTCACACAACGTGACGCCCGCGCGTGACAACATCTCGGCCCCAGGCCCCGAGTTGACCATCTGACTAGCGGTCTTCTTGCTGTTGCTGTCAATCACGCTCTTGCTGTTAGCGTCACGGCCAATCCTGAAGTGATAATTTGTGCCAAAGTAGCGGCCTAACAGCGATGAACGCAATCCATCACCCTGGATTAAAAGCAGTAAAACAATAGGAATTAAAAAGTCTGCTGAAATAGCTAAGGGATGATCCTGACATAAAACATGTACAACATGTTTTAATCATCCCTTGCCATTACCTTTTCTCCAAAGTCGATGTCACGTGCCATCATTCCCTTGATCGTCTGTAGCACTCGGACGCATAATGCTTCCTCGTTGTCCTCAAGAAGCTGTTTAGCGTGAGTTATCAACCTGGGTGAAACAATAAATAATAGTAGACTAGTCTATTATATTTTCAGCCAAACCAAGTTTAGGGAAAGGAAAAAAGAGACTGAGACCTTTTATGGCTACAACTTTTACAAATAATGGCCAGACGAAATAGTGTATTCTATCCCTTGCACCTAAGCCGTGTCAATAATACAGAACAAACACAAATATTGTTGTCGAACTCTTCGCTAGACGAGATGAAACCAGGCTTATCTCCATCTCCCTCACCAAGCTATTTTTAACTTCTTTAACCAGTAAAACTTTTCCATCATACCTGGAGACGAACCCTCCTGACTTGGACTTGTGCCAAGCTTCAGACTGCTGAGGAAACATCAATTCTGGCCGATACAGTACATCACCCAGCACGGATAACTCTGATTGAACGAGAGGACGAAGTTGGTCCTCAAGCAGTGAAACAATATCCTGTGATTTGGATAAACAAAAATTCCAAATTTAAAAGCAACAACGACCAATTCCTTCTTTCTCTCAATCAATTCACCAATGATGGATAGAGGCAACGTATGAGAACATATATGAAAACACTGACATGAGAAAGCAACAATAGGCTTTGCCTGCATATTTCAAACCCCTATTAAAATGATGACATTGTTCGATATCTTTTAAACATTTTCACCCCCAAGGATGACCGGATCAATATCAGTATCTGGGCAACTGCCTAACTACCCCTCCCCTAACCCACCATTAACCTTAACTTGTTGTCAATTGATTGTTGTTGGGCTGATGGTGGTGGCAAGAAAAAAAAATTCATCAACTACCAAATATTATTTGATTTAATACCAAATTTTCAGAGCTAAAATCACAAGAAATATAAGGCAGACAGTGTGAAGAATTGATCTTTAGTTCTCGGGAGTGACAGGTTTACAAATAACGCTGTGATAAGGAACTATTAGGTTATCAGATGACGTTCGTGCGCAGTTATCTCCGTGGCTCTTTTTCGCTTCGGTGTTGGTAAATAACACAAGTAAAGAACCCTCACCTGCAACCCCTCAATAATGCTCCTATAGTCTCTAGAGAGGTTCATAATTGAGTCCCTTCGACCCTTTCCGTGGCTGAGCCAGTGCCGAGTATGTTTCATCACCAACTGAGACCGAGTGAACAACGCTTGGATCTGGCTCTCAAGGTCTGCTGGTATGGCAATCCCGCGATTCCTTGCTGCAAACGAAAAAATAAGTCTTATAAAGTAAATATAGTTTATGGAAGCTTCTTTTCTTTGAAATGTAATATTTTGCAAAAGTTTGCAAGAAATGAAAACCCTTCACAATAATGACGGACAGGAAATTGTCACCATGTTGAGCAGAGATGTGGGGGGAGAGACATACTTCCATCCTGTAGGGGTGAGGGGGGAGTATAAAACGTCTAGTGAAACTTCAAATCTCGACTGAAACCTGACAACACCTTTATTTTTTGGATGTCAGAGGACACCCATAAATTTACACTTAACCCTTTACCTCCCATGAGTGACTAAGAGAGAATTTCTCCTCACAATATCTAGACAATATCAAGTATAGAAGTGACGAGAATAAAGTAAAATATGAATTAGGGGATTATTAGCTGATCCAAAATCAAATTCTCCAAATTGACATCATAAGAATTGTATGGCAGACAATAAGAAGAATTACTAATGATATCTTGGGAGTTAAAGGTTGGTGGTGTCACTGACAAACTTTCACACTCACCAACATCAGATAAAGGTCTTGATACAAGTCTCCACGTGGTATTTCTGCGAGCCACTCATCCATGAACACTGTGAAAGTCGGAAGGCACCGCGGAGGAGACGAACGAACACGGGTTGCCGAGACTGAAAAAAAAAAAAAAAAAACGCAAACAGTTTAGGAAAACCTATCACCCAATACTGCTCATTTCTGTATCTTGAATACCTTCGCATCTTGAATTGCGAAACGAAGTACTATTCAAATTTCTTCAAAACAAGGCGAGAAGTCTCTTAGAAAGTTATGGCTGACAGGATTTAAGGTCTAGAAAAATTCTCTTTTTTGGAACGGACCAGGAACAAAGAGAAGAAAAAGAAGAAGAGAAACAAACATTCACCAAACCAATAAAAATGACAAGTCCCCAGACCTCTGGATTCTAGTGGTGCTGTGCTCTACAGAAAACTCTATGATGGGCGACGCCATCACAAGTTTCATTAGTGAAAAAAGTATTCAACTTCCATTCAAAGTACCTTTATTGTAGTGCTCGAGTCAGAGAAAGGAGAATTGAAGAAAAAGGTTAACAAGTTCATGATGGTTTCTGTAGCGTATTTTTCTAACATGGTGTCCGTGTGAAGTCGGTCAGAAGTGTTGTTACAAACCTGTAAAATAGAAAAAAAAGTACGCCTTTCGTCATTTTATGATAGAATACCTCGAGGAAACACCGTTGATAAGAATGCGTTAAGCTGAAATCAAATTAGTAAACACGAAAATCATAACTCCCTCCTTTTACCAAAACCATCTCCGAGTTCCGGGTGGGGTTCATGACGAAATAAGATAAAATTGCAGATAATTTATTTTTTTACAAATTATTCATAAGATTCTACTTTCTAAAATAAGGCCACAATTCTTCCGGTAAATTCCATGCTATATTAACCAAGAGCAGCCGTAAATAGATTTTAGACCTACATTTTACGTTCACTAACGCAATCGGCAAATTTCTCTTCTGATTCGCTATCTACCTTCAAATCTTTAAACACACCCAACAAATGAAAAGACAAACCCCTCGATTCCAAAAAAAACCGGAAAAGCTCCCACAAATTATTACACAAACAAGAAGAAGGCTAAAAATAAAGTTAAATCACTCTTATCTTCTCAAATTACACCGACAGTTCACAGAAAACGAACGAGAGAAGCCAACGAGCGTCCCAGTGATTTCCACGATCCCACCTTTGTTTCATCCCAACTTATTTTATGCGCTCACCCGAGCCATGTCGACTAAAAAGTCCTCAAACAGAGTCCAGATGTGATTGCTGGTGTATATCTCCTTCATTTCCACCTCCGTGTCAACATAGCAATGATTCAAAAAGTTTACATAGGCATTCTTCACCTAAAGAAAAAAAAATTAACTATAAGTTCCAAATCACTTACTATAAACAATGCGAAAGCCTGTTCGCGAAGACTCAAAAAAGGGTTCCGACAACAACCATGGAGAAGAAAAGTTTTGCAGAGTTCTCTAAACCTTTGGACAAACATTCAATCACCTTTTAAACCTCCTACGTACGACGCGCTAACCCTTACAGGTGACATTATTCCCAGTCTCTCTCACCTCCGAGATGCAATCCGGATGAGTGACAACTCGCACGATATCATCCAGCGGAAGTAAACTGTGACACTTGATTTCCGTGTACACGTTTTTGCCCTCGGTACAACAGGCCAGCAGTTCCACCAAATTGATATGATACAACAGAGGGCCAGCTTCGTCCAGTCTCTCTCGTTCTCCCTGCATCATGTCCACGAGTGAGTTAAAGGACTGAGGATCACTGTAGAAGACCAGAACATCCTCACCCACGTTTACTAACTAGAAAAAAAAGATAGTATTGATTGTTAGATGCATTCTCCTTACTTCCAATGAGTTCCTGGCCCACGTAATGATAACTAAGGTTTTAATATACTCGGCCAAAATCAGACGGACCCGCCCGAAATCGCACGGATCCATCCGAAATTGCATCAACCTTCCGAACTCGATTCTAACTGTCCGAAAAGAGACAGAAAGGTTCTGAATGGGGTAAAAAGCGAATCAACGTCGGCATTCAGTAACAAACTTTAAAATTAAGTCACGAAGCAGTATACCGGCCTCATTAACAAAGAGTTCAGTTGAGCGTACTAAAATATAAGCAGCACAAACCAAAGAAAAACTAACCTCAGCCATAACCATGTCCTGTGTTTTTCTAATTGACTGTCCTTCCGCCTTTACTAGGGTTTGTAAAGCTCTCAGATATTCAACATGGCGGCCCTGTGTCTCAACACAGTGGACGATATGTTGCACAACTTTCTCAGTGACCTCGTAACACAGCCCTGAGTTTTCCATGAAGATGTACCTCAATGTGTGAGCCTCTTTTAGCTGAGGACATAGATGGATAAGTCCTTGAGAGTTAAAAGGTTAAGACTGTACTGGAGCCAAGTGGCCCTGCCAGCAGGAGCTTATCCCGGTTTCCTTTGCATGAAACAACTAAGAGTATCACCAATCCCCCCCTTGATGGGATGCTCGTCCATCGCAAGGTCCCCCCCGCATTTCATCAGGCTCTAACCATTAGGCCCCAGTGTCTCCCGCTTCATACTCTTTGAGAGCTAAATAATTATTATAGCTGACCACCAGCAACTCGCTCGTTAGCCGGCTAGCTATCGCTCCGATATCCACAAATATCTTACCCCTGGGGTGAGGAATAAATCCAGATGCTTGTGGAGAAGAGACTGGTTCTGTGGATTGCTCAGAGAGAAGTTTCGTAAGAACTCGTGGGCTTGCCTCATGATATCTTCCATCCTCAAGTCCTCATTCTGAAAAAACAAAACAGAGCAAAACAAAAATACAAAAAAAATACAGAAATTCAATCTTCAGTTAATTTGAAAAAGAATGACCTCAGTTGTCACTCTGAGAGGGCGCTACGATCAATTAATAACTACTGTCTAAACAAGGTATATGCTTTTCACTTTCTTGAGCCTTCCATAGGGCTAAAATAGTTATTTGGACTTTTCAGGGGATATACAAACAAAAAAAAACAAATTTCAAAAGATTACACAATATAATACACAATACTTCATTTAGAGCAATTTCCAATTGAATGCCAAACATAAATCGGAATTGCTTTGTTTTTGTCTCACTTCGTCATGTGATCTCAACCAATCAGATTCAAAACTAAAACCAATCGCCACTTAGTCTCTCGCGTTTTCCCGCGCTTTATGCAAATTGCATCCGGGCTTTTTACTTCGAGTTCTTATTGGCTCCTCGTGACATTTTTCTTTCTCCTGATTGGCTGTTGTGATTGCTCTAGTTTTTTTTGGGACACTAAATCGAAAGTTGATCTGAGCTTTCGAGTTTGCAGTTTACCTTTTCATACGGTATTTGTAGTAACTCTAGGACTACAGTGTGAGCCCCCATGTTTCTCAATAATCTTTGCTCGTGTTTACGATTTTTCACACTGGGAGTCCCATAAGAAGAAACACAAAGATTGCTGAGGCGTTCCAAAATCTGTTGGTTAAAAGAAATAAAAAGTAAGTTTTGAGACATGTCACTACGCTCAAAAAGGTGTGCCTTAAGCCCACAAGCTTCCATGCTACCGCGCCTTCCGCTAAACTCGCCAAATGAAAAGTCTCTTACCGCCTCAGTTTTCTTGTAGTTCTTTAGCGAAACAGTGTCTGATTGTTCGACCTCTAGCTCAATGGAACCATCGCTAACCATCCTTTGACGCTCTACCTGGAAAGTGAAAAGAAAATTCCCGTCTTTTCTCGTCCTGGCTCAAGAGAGCTGATTGTTTAAGTAAACGGCACAAGAATAAAAAAGAAAAAAACAACGAAAATAATGACGCCTGTTTCGCAAGTGACTTTTCACAGAACCCACCTTTGGACCGCCTCCCTCGCTATCACTACTAGCAGGGTCCTGAGCATGTGAAAAAAAAAAATACCGTTATAAAATAAAACAGCTACAAAAACAGCTCAAAATAACCTTCAGTCAAATTTAAAGTTCCTCAGAGGCTTTTCCGTAATTACTAAAGAGTTCAGTTTTGAAGCCAATGACATTTATGTACGAGATTTCAAGACAGTTTTTAAGACTCACATGCTGGAGAAGCAAGTTCGCCATCACCGATTTTTTTTCCCTGTAACTCGTTCTTTTTTTTTTTTATCTTTTTTTTTTTTCGCCTCAAGCTTAGCCTTTCTACCAATTTCACCGCCTTTGTTCCCTTTTTCCAGCATGACCATTTCTTCTGATGGACGAAGTCACATGACAAACTTATACAAAGACCCTATTACTCATTTCCCACCTGTGTCGTGTTCAAACTGACAACTTCCAGATCCTGTTGTTCCAGGCTATCTTTCCTCTCCTCCGGCTCCTTACTGCTGCTGCCTCCCTCCATCCTCAGCCCGACCAGCCCGGGTGTTATCTTCCTGACTCTGCTCTCGGTAGGAAGATCCTTCTTGCTCTTGTACACCCACAGCTCAGATTTTTCCACTAACAACCGAAGCTCGTCTAAATCAGACTTGATCTGTTTGTAGTTCTCCACATCACTATTGGACACCAGTAGCTGAACCTGTGCCGTTGAGATAGTAGACATTAACAACGCAGCGTTCAAACGACTGCGCATGGTAACGCTCGGTGTTGTGCTCTCAGGATGTCAAAATCAAATTGTCTCACAGGAGTTATAAATAACAACATAAGCTTGTACTTCACGGTGTTTTAAAAGCGTCTGACCTTGTGTTTATAAAGCTCAAATCAAAATTGTAAATCAATAAGATAACCGTGATTTAATAGGCTTCTGGGCGGATGTTCCAAATCATCGCTTCCCTGAACAGGGGCAGGATACGCTACTGGCACGCTAGTTGGCCACCACCCCCCCCCCCCCCCCAACCCCGTCCCAACAACCCCTCCTTCCGCCCCTTAATTATTTTGTGGAGTTTTACTGACCTGTTTAAAAGCTTGTAACACCTCCTGCCTCTGACTAAAATGTCTGAAAAGAAGCTGTAAAGCTCCTGTCACCAGGGGAGGATAATCGTGCATACATAGGTAAAGCAGGACACGGAGAAAGGTGCGGCCCCCCTGACCATCAAGGTCAAGGTCAATTTCGTTAAGTCCCCTGAAACGAAAAAACATACAAATAAAAAGAAAAAAGAACTAGTCAGGTTTAGTGTCCAAAACGTCGCAATTACATGAAATCGTATTTATATGTCAGCCGTCAGATAGACTCATTCTAGAAAACAATAGATTTCCCTCTTTTTTTTACATCGACGTTAACATGGATTGTAAAACGAGACTGACACAAACGGGTTAAAAAAAACCTTTTGATATTTTCAAGAAATAAACTAAGGAAAACTTACGTGGAGCCTCCAAATATAGCTTCAGCTTGCTGACTGATGTTTTCCAAATCAATCCCTAAAAATAAAATATCAATCAATAGAAAGTAAACCATTCTGTCACGGGTGTCCAGTTGGTAAAACGAAGCGAAGGAGGAAAAAACCAGGGAGATTTGGATCGATGCGTACAATGAACTATGCGACGCGACCCAGTCCTCCCTCGTTTTCGCTCTGCCATCATGCTGTTTACTATTTCGCCATGTTTTATTAACTGAACGCCTGGAACAGAAAAAGAACGAGGAAAAGAATCATACAAAGAAAATTGCATCACTCTTTCAGACGCATGCTTCACATCAGTACAGGTGAAGTTTTAATGCATTGGGCTTTAAAATAATTGATATATTTCAAAAATAAAATATCTTAAGACGATTCAACAGGTTTACTATTTTATTTAAACAAAATTCATACTTTTCTGTGCAGAAACGGTTAAAGTTTTAAATAGAAATAACAAAAACCTGTTTTAATCATATAGAAACTTTTTTAAAAGTCATTATGGAAGGCAAAACATTTTCATGATACAATAATTTCAATATTTCTCTTAGCGTTAAAAATTTAGCCATGAGTTTAGGTCGTTTTAGATTTTTCCCGATGTTTACTGTGCAGGATTATTAAAGCATCTAACAAGTAAGCCTCTTCCGGTTACATCAAAAGCGCACCCGCGAAATGTTCAGTAAATATTTAACCCTAAATTCCCTTACATCAGTATGAATATTCTCCATACTGTTCTCCACTCATTTCCTAAGGTGCTGACAAGGAGAATTTGTTTAACAACCAAGAGCTTTCTTAGTTGGTGATCATTTCCTAAATTCTCATGACCTTAATGTGTGATTCAGGGGTGATATTGTAAGGAGAAGTTAGATGTAAGTCACTGTTAGGGCTCGAAGGGCTAAGAAGAAGTTAAGTGTTTCTTGATGTTTAAATCATTTTAACGTTATGACGTACAGTTAGGAGGTCCAAGGTAATGAGGTACACCATCTTTATCGATTTTACAGCGTCGTTTATTTCCTGGAAATAAAATGTATAGATCAGCCAGTCAATAATTCAGCCCGTAAAATGACTTTGCCACCGTCCACACCAGACTGGCTAAGTTTTAAAATGGATCGCTGTTTCAGCCCCTGATGAATGTTGGAACATGCGCGTGTGATGCTCCAAGTATTCGTGTCCATTGAATGTCACTGTTTTCGCAAAGCTCCGGTTATACCACGTGATCAAAGAGGCATTTTCAAATTCTTTTACTACAAAGACCGTTTTTAAAAGAGATCTCTTCCCGCTGACTAAAAATGCCCCTTGAGTAAAGACGGTAAGCCAAACTGAACTAAGAAAAGATAAAATTTACCCTATTAAGTTTACATGACGAGTAGATCAAAGTTAAATTGATAAGGATAGTTTTAAGAAATATGTGTGCGTACTTGTGTACGTGTGCATGCGCGTGTATGTGTACGTGTGCGTGTTCGTATGCGTGTACGTGTAAGTTTAAGTGTACGTGTACGTGTACGTGTACGTGTACTTTTACGAGTGCATATTTTATAAGCGGCAAAAAAAGGTTGTACCATTCTCTCCTCCCATATCAGCCAAGCCTGCGTTACTTTCATCAAAATCTTTTTTGAAGATTGTCAGCAGACTGGAAATGCGATAATCAAGTCGAACGTTCATTATAAACTCCAGAATTTCAATTATCTTGGCCTTGGTCTCCATGACAACGTGGTCAATCTCGGTCTCGGGCTTGGGGCCTCCTTCAGGTTGCTGTGTGAGCCCCCATGGATCTTGGTTCCCTCCTAACGCCATACGTGTCATAATTGCGCCCAAATTGTGAATACTTCGCATCACATTGATCTTCTCACCAATCCCACCAACTGGAAAAAAAAAAAAAAAAAAGACGAAGAGGTCAACATCGGATAAGTTCCCCATCGGAATTCAACGGCTATGTGAGACCAAACAAAGTTTCCTCTTATGGTTTCACTAGCTCTGTCTGAATTTCCTCTCGGACTTCGTTAAAACAACAGCCCGAAAATGAAGAGCATCTTTTTTTACGCCTTATCTCCCCAATGCTTTCCCCAGAAATATTACCAGTATCACTTGATTTTTGCCCAGATTTCCAGGCGCTCGTCCAATCATAATAATGTACCGAGAACACCTTACCTATCAAACTTTAACACCACTTTGCACGGTAAAATCGAAATAAATTATAACAATAATACGATTTTGACGATACGTTACTGCGACTTTATGATGATAGCAGTTGGAAATAACCTATTTTTCTCATGAGGCAGAGTTACCTTTGCCACGAAGCTACCTAAAGACAACACAAAAAAATCTATCTTACCTGTTGGTTTTTCTGAGGTTCTGATGCCGCCATGAGCTCGCTGCTCACAATCTACGATTGACAGCACTGTTTGAGTCAGACGAAGTAATTCACTGAAGCCATAGAAACCAAAGTAGATCAGATTCCTTGCGATCTGCACAACCTACGACGAGTATAGCAAAACAAACATGAGGTGTAACTCCACAGAGAAATATAGACCAGCGACGGTCCAAGAATTTCTTATTTTAGGGTCCAAACTATGATACAGCAAACTTTTTTTTTATCCACACTAAAGCCAAAATGAGATGAGAAAGATTTCGAGACAAGTAAATTCTGCTGGTGCGCAAATTTTGGTGTCAACAAAATTTGAGCACCTCAAGCCTGATATGGGAGAGAATGGGTCCCAAGATTTATGACTCTCCAATCAGCGAAGAAAAAAACTTAAACAACGATCTTGACCAATCAGAATCAAGGCAAAAACCAACCGCGAAGTGGTTCGTTTTCTACGCTTAGTGCAGATAAGGTGTTTTGGCCTCGACTTCTGTTTGGCTGTGTTTTGTTTTCAACTTCTGTTTGAAATACTTCAAGATGGTGTTAAGTTACGGCCCTAACCTCAAAAGTAAGTTTATTTTGTTCCTTATCGCTGAAAGACCAAATGTTGCTGCTGATATTTTGAAGGTAATTCTCCACAAATGAAATAACTCCTGAAAATCTCAGTCTGTTCTCTTCCCTCTCCTCTCCAACCGCAAGATGCTGATCATACCTGAAGCCGAAATAAATACCTGTATTAACCTCGTTTTTCAATTCCCTAGTGATTCTGGCGACCTGATTGGTCGCTCGCTCGCAACCGCACCTTTTTACAAGCCACAAGAATGGAACAAAACAACCAATCAGATTTTAAGTGCTTGTAAATTGTACCAAATACAATTGCGGAGAAATGAAATAAATACGAATTTTCCCTGTAGAAAGACAAAAAAATAAAGAAATAGCAAATCAGATTTTACTTGTGGCGGTCTACTCACATTTCAATGCTCATCTCAGTTGGGATCTCAGACCACAGTCTGGCGTACTTAACAGGTGTAACTGGTTCTTGAGGATCCCGATCTATGTGCATGTGGAGCATCAACCGACAAAAAGCCGCCCTTAGGTCACAAGACAGATCTTTGTCTGCCATGCATCTAAAGACATCACACACAAAAAAAATATCATCGTAAGCTTCCTTAACACCCAGTTGTGCAAATACTGGTGTCCAAACCGACAGTGGGATCGGCTAACGAAGTATATGGTCCCTCAAGGGGGGAAGCTGTTAGCACGCCACCGAGCTTTGCTGTTGTTGGAGTAAAGCTTCTGTTTTACCGAACTAAAATTTTTTGTTTTCTTCTTAAAGCTGAGGGTATATTTTGGCGGTGCAAACAATAAGTCAAATACTCCTAGAAAGGCTCCCTTGCAGAAAATAAAGAACACCACGAAAATTTATTGAAAATGGAAATTATTCGACACAAACCTAAGTATGAGGTCCACATCTAACTGCTTGCTGATGCTGTTGATAGCAAGATACTGTCTGTCCAGACACATCCGCGAAAACAGGTTTAACTGGTACCTAGCCAAAAAAGGACGGTAAATTTAATTCAGTTCACTTAACTACACAGCCCAAATGTATGTCTGTTGGTCGCCATCTAGTGAATGCATGAACTTTGTCAACAGTGAAAAGTTTGGTTCGTTTTTTTTTAGTAATACTTGCTGACGAAATACGACTTCACCGTCGGCTTACATAAAGCAACAAGACAACATTGCCTAAGAATTATTATGTGTCAAATGTAATCCGGGACTTCATTAATTATTCCTTTTTTACGGTGATTTGTCCACAAAACTCAGACCACTCTCTCGTCCAATCAAATGTTTAAACTAAAACCAAGCGCGTCTTGATCACTCACTTTTTCCCGCGCTTCAAATATTCACCTTAGTTTTACTCGGCCGTTGTGATTAATTTGGTTTTGGTTTCATTACACTTCATCGAAAAGCCCTCTGGGAAAAAAGTTAACGAACCTATAGTAATCCAGGATTTTGACGTCATCTTTGACTCCAATCTTAGCACCTCGTGCCAAGTCTCTTTGCGATTTTTTTTTGTTACCACTATCCCATACAAGGAACACTTCTCCGTCAATTATTCTGAAAACAAAACATTGAATTAAATGGCATAAAAGCATAAACTTGACTAATGAAAGTTTTGCCATTCTCATTATGTTGTTTAAGTTTTCAAAATGCGTATACACTGCAGAGGTTGCAATAAAGGCCGATTACCGGTTGTCGGTAAGACCTATTACCGCCGTCTGTTCACCCCTGCATGCAGGCCTCGTGTTTGGGTTTCGCCTTTCAGTATAAAATCGCCAATTACACCATAGGCAGCCGCGTATGGAAAAAAGTTATTGAAATCCCTGTACACTACATGTATACTGACATCAACATCACTCGTTACTCGTGACTCATGTTATAAAAAAAACTAAATCACCACATAATTTAGTGTTAACAACTGAGTTGAAAACGTAAATTGACCACCGTAAAGAGTTAAAAGGCTGACGTTTCGAGCGGTAGCCCTTCGCCAGAGCGACGACGTTTTCAACTCAATTGTTAACACTAGATTACCTGCTATACTCTCCCACCGACGCAGCACCACAGTTTTTTTAGAAACTTACCCCCCTTGAATCACCACGTAACTTAGAAAGAAATCAATAAACGCTCTAAAGTTATACAACCTATATACAATTTCTTACTGATTTACAAAATCAACCAGATTGCATATTCCTGAAAAGAAAAATTTTGTAGAACTAACAATGTATTTTCCTCTGTCCTTTTGTTAAATTTTTCTCTCATATTACAACTATTACAAGCACTATCAAACATTCACTTATCCAATTATTTATCCACTGATTAATCTATGTATTTCAAATATTATATCCTATGTTGAATGTCGGCTCCTACCTGGTTTCAATGAGCAGGTCTGAATTACTGGAGTAGAGCACGGTCTTACAGATTAGTTCCTGTGTTGCTGGGATGGCTGTGTTATTAGAGACACACAGGTCGGACAAGTAATCAAGAAACCTGTAAATTAGATAAAACCTCAGTCCACAAGTATGTTAAGTCTGGAAAAGACACTAATCCGTACATTCTCAAAAGTTCTTTCCAGTTTCTGTGACACGAGGACTGGATGGGAAGTAAGATCACTGCAGGTTAACCACAGAATTCTTTCCCCTTTTTTCAGGTTTACCCTGACAGATCAATCATGCGTAATTTTATCCACGGGATACACAAGGGAACTATGAGGGGTAAGTGTCGAGCCCACGATCAACATATCACAATGATCCGGCCGGGGACCGACCCCAGAGCACTCGATAGGAAGTATTGGGTGCTAATTGGTAAGTTGGTGCGTCTCAACAGGTCTACAAGTCAATACCGAAATTCATAAAACTTTGCCATAAGTAGCATGACACGCTTTCATAGCATTAAGAGCCATAAAACTATTCTTTGGAAACTTTTCTACTTGCCTGCATTCTTTCTTCTTTCGAACTAAACTGACAAACGTTTCTATTTCTGTGCGAGTGATGTGTTTTTCCAACAGCTTTCTGTTGTTGTGGACCAGATCAGTTATGGTGTCTTCGGCCAGAATGTCATAGCCAATCTGGGCTTGCATGAAGCCAAACTGCTTGGCAATATACTCCTAAAACAAACATTACAATTCATCGTAAAAAGGATTGTGGTTCCTCGCTCTGGTGACGTACAAAAAGGACGATTTTAAAGTGAGTGTCGAAAGTAAATTCGGGAATGTTTTGGTTTTGCGTTACTTCGCTCTGTGATTGGTCTAGAAAACTCACGCCATCCTCCCAACCAATCAGACGCACAACTAAAACCAATCTTGACTCGGATACCCACATTTTCCCGCGCATTTAGCAGCTGGCATGTTTTGATTTGAGTTCTCACTGGCCAATTATGATGTTAACCTTTGTGAATAGTTGATCAAAGCGAATCATAGTGTCATTCGCTTTGACGAGGGGCTAACGCTCGAAACGTCAGCTTAGAAACTCTTCATAGTGGCCAATTTACATTATCAACTCAATGATAATAATGTCGATTGTTTTATTATCATACCTGGTTCTTGCGGTAATCTTGTTGCGAGTGTCTCAGCACCCTGTAACAGAGTCTGAATATGTGTCGGAGAGGGGCGTGTCTTGCATCCGAAAGTTCCTCAATCCCCATAAGAGGACCTAAACCTTTGTCAGTGAAAGGAGCTTTTAGAAGATGAAAAACCTACCGAGGAAATGGTCATAATTTTAGTCAGCCTCTTACAGGTGAGCAGAATGAGGTGAAAAAAGAAAAAAAGATTCAGTCTGTACTTGAGGCAAGTAGCTCATCCAGCCGGAGCTTACCCCCCCCCCCCCTCCCCCCCCAACCAGAATTTCATCAGGCTTCCCTGACAATTTGCTGGAACCCCCTTTATACTCCTGGGTGGAGAGAGGCTGTGAGAGCAAATTGTTTCGCACGAGGAAACAACACATTGTCCCTGCCAGGCCAACTCTCGAACCAGGACTTCTCGACTGGGAGTCCAGTGTATTGACCATCAGGCCACCAACTACCATTTTGACAAAAATTAAATTAGTAAAATGAAAAAATCGTAAAATACTTGTGAAAAATTCGTGGCTGGTATGACGCGGCGTTTCGTTCACGAGTTACAATATATACATGAGGTCGAGAACATACAGTTGGGAATCCTTCTGTGATAGAGGGCCAGACTACTAGCATCTTGCCTTCGCGAACGGAACTTTGAGCGCGATGCGCGAAGTATCTGACAAGTCTGTTGGCTGAGATGAAACGTTGCGTCATCCCAGCTACGAATTTTTCCCACGTTAGTAAAAATGCTTAGTAAAAAAATGCCGATCTATCAAGCTAACCTCTTTCAATATGTACTGTTCCCTCATCAACTTCTGTCTGTCTCTATTTGGATTTTGAACAGAAATATTAAGGACGTCTTCTCTTCCAGTGTCATGTTCCGTCACGAAGTAAACAAGATCAGATAACAGCTGTGTCACAAATCTAAAAAAAAAAGATAAAATTCATGTATTTGTCATCAATAAGTTTTTCAAACTAAATGAAGGTTTATATCAAAGAGTCTTTTCCCAAAATACGTAAAGCATTTGTTTTAAAACGAGACCATGGAGCAAACAAAACTCGTTTTTACAAGAAAAGTTTGGCATTCGGCTTCATTTTGAAAGTGAGACCGCTTAGAACTTGGAAGAGCCTATGTGGGGAAAAGGGATGCGGCAAGAGCGCCTGCTTCCTACTGCTGTAGCCTGGGTTCCATTCCGGTCTTGGCGTCATAAGTGGGTAAAGTTTGAGATTTTTTCAGAGTTCCTTAGTTTTTACCCCTTCACAAAAACAAACACTCAAAATCCTAATTATCACATTTACCGTCTTTCATGCTGAGTGTAATTTGCTGTTTCCATTTTGTTTGCAAAAGAGCCCAATACTTTACTGGCATCATTGGCAAAATCCAAATCTCTCACTTCAGCTGGAGGGACTGGAACAATTGCAAACGCTTCTTTGTCTTCTTTGATACTTGCTGTACCAATCTGAATAAGTGCATGAGACATGTAAACCGCATGAGGCAAAGTTAATTAAGCCGTCATTGTCCCACAGCCTAACTGTCAGTTCAAACAGCATGTTTTTCTTTTTTACAATTTCTCGATTCTGCCTCCAGGTGAAAAACTTTCACTTTCGAGCATCGACGGCAATTAGTGACTGAACACAAATAAAACCTGAACTTTAAACCCAGGCCTCCGATGAAACACCCGAGTTATAAAACGGATCAAAACAGAAGGGATAGCAAACACCTCAAAGGCTTTTAATGAAAAGAAGAACTATAATTTAGAACATGATGTTTGTAATGAAATTTTTACCTTAAGCATGACAGGTCGTTCTTCACTCTTGTCAATAGGTATTGAAGTGGAATGCACCCAGGTGTTTGTGCAGAGATGTCTCAGACGAACATAAGATGACCTTCATAAACGAAAAAATGAAAAAAAGGTAAGTAAAAGGAAACACTCACCTGAAAAAATCGAACTGAATTTAATTCAGATCGGTTAAGAGTTAATTAATTTGCAATACAAATTTCACAGTAAGCCTTTGATTATCACCTTGGCACTAATGAGTCTGCTCTTGTCAGTGTTGTAGGATCCAGCTCAAAAATTGAGGCTACATCGTTTCCATGTGGGACAGGAGTAAGGTGACACACAGCTCCATTGCCTTTCAGTTTTTGTCTCGTTGTGTCTTTCGTAGGGTCATCATCAGTCTAAAAAAAAAAAAAGTCAATCATAATCTTTCCACTAAATCTCTAATTATTAGATCCTTTCAAAAAGATCCTCTATTATCATCAAATATTATTATCAGATTGTTCCATCATTTTCCCTTTTCCCTCTGGGATATCAATTAGGAGATTATAAGTTGATCCAATACCATATTTTCCAAACTAACATCACAAGAACTGTATGGCAGACAGTAAGGAGAATTACTACAGAGATCTTGGGAGTTCAAGAGATAAAAGTATTTTCCCTTTTACTGATTGGTTGCTGAGATTACTTTGCTTTTGGTTTTTGCGATACTCAATCACAAAGTGCTCCACAATGAAAGAGAAAATGGAAATAAAAGAAAAGAAACATCATGAAAAGGGTATTCTTCACCTCTGCTGCCAAGTAATCTCCAGTGGCCAGATGTTTGAATCTGAACAAACCATTCCAATGCCCAGCCCCTCCCCGGCAAGGATCATGTTGGACAACCTGTTAAATTAATTATCAGTCAGTACATATTCAACATTAGAAAACATTTCTTTCCTCTGATACAGAGCTCAAATCTGTTTATGCTCTTCCTTAAAACATGAAGGTCTTCTGAATCACCTCTACTTCCCACAGTGCTTTGGAACTTGTGGCTGATGTGGCTGTCTGTCTTGCTGTAGTTCTCAAAAACACATATGACTTCTTTTTGTAATCATCTGCTGTCAAAAACTTCTCCTGCTCTGCATGAAACAATCTGACTACATCACCCTGTCAAGGAGAAAAACACAACACTTTTTCCAATGAGCCACGAAGCAAAATCGAACATTCACTACTACCAGTTTCTGCAGTGACCCCACAACAACATACTTTATCATACAGCTAGCTTTATGACTGTGCAAGACAAAGAAAATCTTGTCCTCTGATTGGCTACTGTAGCCTGCCTTTGCCCCTTTGGGATTGCAAACTTTGCTTGCACAAAAACAAGAAATCCAGCAGAATCACACTCACCCCTTTCAAGACCTCATCACTGTTGTCTTCATAGGCAAGAAAGAGTGATATCTTCCAACTTGTATTGCAGTTAACAGAGTTAACCTGAAGGAGGAACAGATACACATGGATAAAATGAACTATTATGCCTAGGAAAACTGCAGCTACTTGTCAAATGAAAGCACTGCCTCTTTTGTTACAAATGTTATCCTAGCTTGAAAAATTCACATGTCACATTGTACTTTAAACAGTGTTTCATGAATCATAAAAAATTTAAAAGGGAAAACTTAAAACCTCACTTTAACTTGCCTTTCTGCAAAATCCCCCATCACATGTTAATTTTGGGCTTGATCATATGTCACATTTAAACCTTTCACCACCCTCTTAGATCAGTATTCAGAGGATGTCTAATAACTGGAGAATTTTTAGCACCTTCCTGGCTACTTTCTTAGTGAATTTTACCCTATTCAACTTGAACTCTTGAGAACTCAAACTTTTTTCTGGATGTTCCTTAAAGATTTACATTAATGAAAGTCTAGCAACAAACAGAAATGTTTTTAAGCTAACCTCCTTACACCCTGGATTGTCGATAAGTTCTTGGTTGCTTGCATGAAGTGGTTGACCTGCATTGACTGGGTTTAATATAACTTTGTCTCCGATGACAACCTACAGAAGAGGACATTGTATGTTTCAATCTATTTAACAGAACCTTGATTCTCAAAAATGTCGACACCTAAATACAAAAACCTGTATTCTACCAACCTTGTCTCCAGAAGATCTCAGCTTGTAAAATGGAACAACATAAAACCAAGATCCCTAATAAAAAAATTCAAGGTCATTGTATGAAAATTGTGATAGTCTAAATAGATCATATTAGCTGAGCCCTGAATGCTCTATCCAATGAGATTTAACCCAAGATCTGATTGTTAACTCTCCCCTCTGACTATTACAAATTTCCTTGTAAATTAGTTTCAAGAATTTGGTATTTGATCCTTATAACAACTTCTACCTGATAAGTTTGATTACTCTCATTAATATTGTAGGGGAAAGTTACATGATATTAAAAAATTCTGGGTGTTTTTGAAAGGTTTAAAACCTTATGTTGGAAGCATGAATGTACTACTGATCTTTCTTTCAGATAGTAGTCTATAGATTGCCTGGCAGTTGAACATCGCATGCAGGTAAAACAGAAATTGTTACAATACTCAAATCATAGCTTAGGGGCAAAGGTCACAAGCTTCCTAGATTAGTTTTAAAGAGAAAAAGTTTGACTCTATGCCGTGCTCTCAACATCATGCTTTTCTGAGCCAAAACACCTTCTCCATTTTGGTGTGATAATTTATTCAATAACTGCATCATTCTGTATTTTCTTGGAAATTTCTTAAAATGCTACTGAGAGAGAATTATTCGGCAGAATTTTTTTACCTCATTTCCATTGGTGTCCAATGTAACCCGCATGGCATTTTTCTCCCTCAAGGCTGGAAGTCGTTTGTTTACTGTCAGAAACTTGTTACTCTTCACGTGTAGCAGCTTTAAGTGTTGATGTTGGACAAATAATTTCAAAAGTTAGCTCTGTACCATTCATGAAGATCTCAAATATTCAAGAATTTTTTTTGTGTCCTTCCCAATTGCATTGGGGATCAGATCACACAAAGAAACCATAAACTCATAATTACAGCATATAGTTTCACTCAGTTATTTCATCTGCAATTCAATCCATTAGTTGTGTCATCTTCTCAAACTACTACTACTACTACTACTACTACTACAAACATTTTCAGAATTAGTTAAACCACTTTCTGAATTTGATATTTGGTAATAATCAAGTTTGCTGTTTAGAGTTATGACTTAAGACAAAACGGTTTTTGGTCTATCCACAGCCAGCATAATATTTTTCAGGAAAAAAATCAGTTTGCTGACTAACGGTATAATAAAAAATAACAAATACTTTTGGTTATAAAGCTTTGAACTCAAAAATCATGGCTGCAGTATACCTGAATGACTCCTCCATATTCTACCACACTTCCCAAACACTTCTTGTATTCAGAATCATTCTGTTTCTTTTCCAACTCTGCAGCATGCTGAAATAACATTCAGAACACCTTAGTCCAGTGCTCAAGTTGTCTTACAGTGTGTAAACATTATATTTGATAGTCAGGTTATGACTTTCACTATAAAATGACAGTGTTGGATGGAAGTAAATCCCTGGCAGTGGAACAAATAACAAAGCTTTTGCAGGGCCATTAATAATATTTCTGTTTAAACTGTATATTAGGTAGTTATTCATAGTTGTTAATCTTTTTCCTCGTACAAGTGACTAACATCTTATTTCTCCTTACAATATCACCCCTGAATCACTCATCAAGGTCATGAGAATATAGGAAATGATCACCAATGAAAGAAGCTTTTGATTGGGTAAACAAATTCTCCTTGTCAGCAACTTTAAAAATGTATCAAGAACAGTATGGAGAATATGCATACTGATGTTAGGGTGTAAAGGGTTAATGAGCCTGAGTGTCAAATCATGTGTCTGGTAAATGTTGTGGGTTAAAATGAAATTCAGGAAAAGAATGATATCAAACTTAGATTGATTTGTAATTTCCTCTGCTAAAGGAATATAGTGCAGCATCAGAAGTACTACTCGTCAAGTTGTAGAATTGACTCCTACTGGGAGTACTTCGCGTTTTTGTTTTTGAGTTAATGCCTGTGTCAGTCAATGATAAGAATAACATCACCATTCACAGAAATATGATAATTTATCTGGAACAAAGGAAATATAGAACTTAGTCCATTTAATATCGTTTTGACCTTTGCATCGCAAAGCCCAATATAAGGCTTAAGTGTTGAATTTCCTTTTGGATCAATATCTCAAAAGTCAGACTGCTTCTACATCATAACCATAAATACAGTTAAAACATGTCAAATATAAACTGATTTTAAATTTACTTCAGCATTCTTTTAATTTAAATTTACCCAAGTAAAACCAGTATTTTTATATAAAGCTCTCTAATTCTGGGCTAAATTTCTACAAATGGACCAATTTACAGCCTCATGCTCACTAATTACCAGTATTTGACAAAGAGGCATTCATGGGACACAGAGCCGACAGTGTAAGTCTAGTTAACACTTCAACTAATTAACATTTCCCTAATTTATTCAAGTCAAATTATTACATCACACTGTATAATTCCAAGAAAAGAAGGAAAAAAACTAGCCCTGTTTGTAAAGCGCAAGTTTCTGTATATTGATTGTGTTTAGTAAAGATGTAACAAAATATCAAACTTCCACTTCTCCCTTTTAAAACCCATCTTTTTTCAGGGCTTTGTCCTCTTCTTTGGAAGATCCAATATCACTAATTACTGCTATTGATTTCTTAAAATATCTGCAGCCACAATTTTCTAATTCTGTTAGTTGCTACCAAGACATGGAATAAAATTCGAAAAAAAAAAAAAAAAGGAAATCTAGTTTAAGTTATGTTTCTGTCTCATCAGGTATTAAAACTAGTGATACTTCTTTAATTATTTATTGTGGGTGTCACACATCATGTAAAGACAGGTCAGCTGGACTGACGTAGTAGTTCACAAGAGCAAGTTATTCATACAGTAGTCAACAATGAATCATTTTTATGACAATCTGAGGATCACTGGCAGCGTTCAACCCTTGAACGACTTCATAAATTCTGTGACAACTCGCATAAGGAAGAAGTTGTAATGAGCAATTACTGTCTGTCAGTCGCTGGAACAACTGCAACTTTGTGCAAAACCATTAGAACAAAAACCCCATCTTAAAATTCAAACCATATTATTATCAAAATGGCACAAGTTAACTGTAAGTTCATATTCATAAATAATCAACAGTTGCCTTCAATGGTTTCATACATGGCTCAAGTGTTACATATATTAAAAATTCATGGTTTGGAATGAAATTAAGGAGATAATTACTTAGGTTACAATTGTATTTATTACTTGTTTGGGGGGAGGACAAATGCATAAATATTCACAGATTCAAACTACAATACCAGTTGAAGCCTATTTCCATTAAAAAAAAAAGCTGCCAAATAATCTTAAAGAGTATATTCAATTATGATTCTGAAATGTGAGTTGAAAATTTAACCTGATGTAACTGGCAGTTCTTGCCAACAGCTGTTTTCAGTTTTGGCATAATTAACCAAATAAATAAACAGCCAAGCTTCAAGTTTTTAAATTAGCCGATTTAAATTAATGCTATTGTTTGAAAGCTGCCAATTACATTGTTACACAAAAGCTAAATGATTATGCCATGTGTAGGACATTTAAATAAAAAAAAAAATGTTACTATCAAATGCTACACTTGGGTTGACATAAGTCATAGCAATAATTCTCTTAGCTCTTTAATCCCATAATTCAGGCTCACAGATTAACAATGTTCAAATATTAGCAAATTAATCATGTTGGCTTATAAAGATCTGTATTAAAACTATCCTGTAAAGATAGCTGGTACAAAGTCACAGGGCATTGAAAAGTGAAACAATTTTCTCCTCAAAAAGCTTGAGAGTAACAGACTATGATTCCCAAAGAAGTATTTTGGTCGATACTGTCCAACCAAACAATTGAAATTGAACAATTGCCAATAGGCTAGGAAAGCCAATTAGCATTCAAGTTTAATAAAAATGTCCTGTTTCTTGACTGTATAAGGGAAAATGTTTTCCCCTGTAATAAAATTACCTTCGCAACAAAATTATAATTGTAAACTTATCGTTCTTCCCTTCAATCTCCCAGCTGTATGCTACTGTTATTAAAACTGAAATATTGAGCACAAAACATCGGATAAAGGTGAAAAAAACCAAAACAGCTGTCCTCGATTTCTCAAGGCACAGTTGTACGCTGTCGGAGATCAGAAAACGGCAAAAATACAGTTTATTTCGTAAAAATGTTTCCCTTCCGCGTTGGTTTGTCGGCTCGATCTTAGCGTTAACACCTAACAAACAATGAATTTCTTTGAGCCAACAGAATAATATTTCCTAACAATCTATTATGCAAATTACATGTAAGAAATGCTAGAGTCTTAAATCATCAAGTCAATAAGACTGATATATTTCTCTACGAAAAATACAAACGTTCAATTTTTTTTGATGTTAGTTAATTTCTGATCGCGAAGCATACCGTTTGTTTAATACCAACTTACGACTAGTCCAAAAAATCCAAGCTTTACTGCTGTCCTTATTATTTTCAATAGGCTCTCAGACCAGCCGAAGTTTCCCCCCGAGTTATGTACACAGTTGATCGAGATCGAATACACTTTAGACAAGGAACTTCTTTGAAAATAAACATGACCTCTAAGCATTGAATATTAGTCACAAAACCACGACATACTCCTAGACTTGGCTACCAGGGGTCGATAATAAAACACCTGAGTGAAAGACGTGAAAAAAAAAATAAATGTCTAATTAGGCGCTACGTTAATTTCCATGCACTTCTCTACAATACAAAAACATGCTTTTGAAATTGAGTCCGAGTTTTATCGGAGACACGGATGTAATTGATGATATGAAGTCGCAGAGAATAATATGTTTTAAAAATTCCTTCGTCAGCGTGTACAGGAAGTGCAATTTGTCGCTCGGGTTAAAAGGTGTCAAAATATCTAATCCCTCGCAAGAATGAAAGTAGGTATTGGAAATATATAAAAATCAAGGCATTGCTTGAATAAACATCGCTAACTTACATGAAGTTTTTTCAGTAACACGGCATCTGTAGCGCTTGTAGTCGGTTTCGCAGCCTTCCAGAACTGTTTTTGGGCAGAGTAACGATTGGAAGGACAAACCTTGAATAGGCAGTCTGCAAATCGAAAACACGGATGTGACAACACGTTTAGCTGTTAAATGCATGCACTAAATGGTGTATTTAACGGACGATCAAACGAACCCACCTCGGAACTTTTTCGGTGGATTGTTCAGGTCGCCTGCAGAAGGTTGCACAACACATCTATCATCGATCAGCCTAGTAAAGTAAAACTTGATTAGAGAAGAAAATATGACACGAAAAGAACAGATGAACAGGCGAATAACGTAATCTATGACTCGGCCATTTACCCAAGTGTGCTAATAAATCCATTTACAGTTCCTTCGGCGAACAGGGAGACTATATCACCAATGTGTAGTAGGCTTGTCTGCTGGGTCATGTCGAAATCTACGGAACCCGCAAACTTCGAATTTCCGCGCGTCGAATCACAGAACAATTTCAAACATTGCAATTCCACATAAATGTGGATGCCGCTGAAATAGTCATCTCGTGATGTTCATGGCCGTTTCTTTGCGCTGCTCTACAAAGGAATCTAACGTAAAAATAAACAAACCGAATATAAGCAAGTTGAATAAAAGATGGTAGCTCTTAAGACTTGCTACCCTTGAGAAAGTTTACATAGAGCCTGGGTTCAAGGGGGGAAAGGAAAAAAAAAAAAGAAAACATCCCCACGGGACCCTTCTTGGTATGGAATATATTCAGTTTGGTTTCCGGTTGGTTGTACTGGTGTTGACGGTGGCAAATTGTGACAGCAGATTTTGAATTTCCACCCTCATTTAAAGTCTTTTATGGCTTTATTTTGTGTAACAAGTAACTTAAAACGTGCAAGACCTTTTATGTCGTTACTGAGATCGAGATCGATAAATACTTCTTCATCTAGAGATGTTCAACTCAAGTTGAAGACAGACGCCCAATCAATTTTTCATGCTGCTCTCGGCGCGGTTTCTCCTCAGGAGATGGTAAAAAATAACCTTTTGTTTCGTCAGAATATTCTGTCCATCATGGATCATGAATATGTTGTCGATAAAAATGTCTCCGTGGTTGCGTTTGGGAAAGCTGTGTTAGGAATGACTAAAGCAGTGGAGGATGTTCTGGGAGATCAGATTGTCCGGGGGGTGGCCAGTATTCCCGTAGGACTCCCCCACGCCATTAAGGTAGGTGTAGATCCACAAAAATATAACTTTTTCAGTGTTGGAGCACCAAATTCTCTTAATCCTTTACCTCCTACGAGTGAGCAAGACAGAAGTTTTCCTTACTATATCAATAAAATATCAAGCAGACAAACGATATGCAATAAGAGGTTTATCAATTAGGGACTATTAATTGATCTAATACAAAATTCTCCTGCTAACTTTATATGAATTGTATAGTAGACAGTAAGAAGAATTATTTATAAAATCTTGGAAGTAAAAAGGGTTTACTGATTTTAAACAAAATTTAATGCAGCTGGAGAGAACAATTGTATATCAAATCTTTGATGTTGTTGAAAATTATTGAAACGATATACATATTTGTTACTTCATACACAGGCTTCTGGCAATAAAGAACTGATTGAAAAGTCCACCCTCAGTGAGCTCAGCACAATAGAAATCATTGAAGGAGCAAAGAACAACCTTCCAGATGAAATGGCTCAATATGCCGCTAGCAGGATTAAAGAAGTAGCAGAAAACATGAGCAACCAAGACATTCTTTTGGTCCTTATCTCGGGAGGGGGCTCAGCCCTCCTTCCATATCCTGTTGAGGGAATTACACTGGAGGAGAAATTGAAAACAATTAAAGTATTAGCATCAAGAGGGGCTACTATTCATGAGCTTAACACTGTGAGGAAAAACCTATCTGATATCAAAGGAGGAAAGTTGGCCGAAGCAGCCTTCCCTGCAAAGGTCTATATAACACTTAGTTTGATTAATACATTCATAAATTTTTCTGTCATGTTCCTCAGAATGGTAATTACTTGATCACTAACACACCAACCACAGACGGAATCACTGAATGGCCCATTAACTGACTGATTAATCTAAGCAATAACTTACTTAATAAATCAGGGACTGAGTCACTAATCAACTGACTCACTAGTGTGCTGATGCCCTGATTGATAGATTGTATATCAATGCTAACATTTTTTCTCAAACAGGTGGTGACACTCATTCTCTCAGATGTGATAGGTGATCCTCTTGACATCATTGCCAGTGGTCCAACAGTACCTGATCCATCAACTCCAGCTGATTGCTTAGAAATATTCAAGAAACTCAATGCAGAGGAAGAGATTCCAGATGCAGTTATTCAGTATCTACAGCAATCAAAACAGAAAACAGAGAAGCAGGAAAAAGTAGAACTGAATAATTTTTCTCATGTTCAGAATGTCATCATAGGAAGTAATCGCTTTGCGGTTGATGCTGCTGTGAAAAAAGCCCTTGTGCTTGGCTATGCACCTGTGGTGCTGTCCACGATGTTAAGTGGTGAAGCAAGAGATGTAGGAAAAATGTTCTCAGATGCAGCTAATTTAGCTTGGAATGGGCATCTGTCAAAAATGTCACCTTATGGCCAACATGTATTGACTAGCAGTATTGTTAATGAGATATTAACTGCACGTAATGAGCAAAAGCCAGTTTGCATCATTGGTGCCGGAGAAACCACAGTCACACTGAAAGGGAAAGGTATAGGGGGGCGTAACCAAGAGATGGCGCTCACATTAGCAATAGATGTTTATGAAAATCTAGAACAGTTTTGTAATGATGAAAACAATGGTGGTTTGGTACTACTCAGTGCAGGAACAGATGGCCAAGATGGTCCCAACCCAGCTGCAGGAGCAATGGCAGATCCATATCAAGTAACTGAAGCTAAAGAAGATGGACTTGATGCCAAACAGTTCTTGGAAAATAATGATTCTTTTTCCTTTTATTCAAAATTTAAAAATGGAAGGGACCATGTGGTGACTGGATTAACGGGAACTAATGTAATGGATATTCAGATTTTACTTGTATCTCCACCTTCATGACCACAGAAAAAGAGTGGTACATGAAGTGGTAGAAGACCCAGAGGGTGGGTCTGAGGGCTCTGAATCCCCACCCTATCAGACCCATAGGTTTTTTTACTACAAATCTGCCAAAAAAATTCATACAAGGACAGGATTGTATGTTACTTAATTCTCAACTGAAGAATTTCAGTTTATTTGTATTTAAATATTTCTTGACTTAACTGGGCTGTAGTGTAAATAGAAATTTCTGTCTTTTTTGAAATCAAAAGTCAGGTCCCTTCCCTGGATTCACCCCTGTTCCTTGGTTTTGGTTCCCTCAACTAGCATGTAAAATGGTTTACCATTTAAAGACAGTAGATAGCAAATCAAGTTTTCATTCAAGATGAATACTTGGATTTTTCAAAAATGCATTTTGGTGGTATAAATTACAAGGTTTGTATAAAATCATGTTCTTAGTAGTTGGGTGTCTGGCGTATTGAAATTGAAATAAGTATTTTGGATTAACAATAATTTTGTTTCTGAAGAAAAGGCTCAGTAAAAGTTCAGTCAGACATTGTTTTGTTTTGTTTCTTTATTTTTAAAATATCTGTTTGTTTGAACTGGGGTGTGCTCTATAGCCCATTTCTGACCTTTTAAATACGAACCTCAGCAGTACATTTAGGAGACAATTCACATTAATCCATATTTATTCATTTTTAAGCCCTAATTAAATGCCAGAGATATTGCTTTAGTTTTCATTTGGTGCAGGAAACGAAAACTCGTCTGAAGTGGACAGTTTGGGAAAACCTTCTGAGATGTTCCGCTATCCTCTCGTTGAAGTCCATTCCAACATTATATAAGTACGATCTCTCATATGTCACGTTTCCAAATTTGGAAGATGACGCGCTTTCGAAAATACCTCGGGACCTCGGTAACCGAACGACGCTGTTGATTATTGATTCGAAGAAGAAAGAAATTTGAATCGGCCCATAGTTCGCTGAGTAATCGGTGCTTGAAAGGACAACCTGGAAAGAAATCGGTGATGGATGTGTAATCGATTTGCAAGAAATTCTGAAGAAAGCGTTATTGGTAGCTGATGAGCTTATCAGTAAGTTAGAATTTTTGATGAACAGTGAAGAGGGCTCGGATCGAACAGCTTTGTTCGAGCCGTTGATATTTTGTAAATGATAGGGCACTGATTCTGCAAGTGCAGCCAGAAAAATATGTTTGCAAAAGGTACAGTCTTCCCAGAGCTTCAATCAAGCTTTCCATTTTTTATTTTCCTGCATAGCGACTACGTGTTATGAATAATTTTAGCCTCACTTAGCGATAAACGGCTTCGATCGGCTAGCGCACTTTATTAAAGTTTATTTAGCCCATATTGTGTAGATTGCAGAGTGCGAATTCATTCAAGTAATTGGAAACAGTTGCCAATATCTACGTCTGGTATCAAAACACAGGCTATCTTCTTTAGATTCTAAACCAGACTCATGAAGAAATCGTAATAACTCTGATGTATCAATGCCGATAAATTTCACAAGGAAATATTTCAAACGAAAAAAACTGCCGTTACGGCCTTTGTTTTCATCTTTTGTATTTGTAACCATGAAAACAAGGAAACGAAATCCGACCCTTGTAATGACACGTTTCTACATCGGTGTCTTCCACCAGATTAACTTTTTCATCTCACAGTATTTTTATCGCTTGGCAGTGTTTGGAACATTGATAGATTCTTATACAGCATAATTCCGTTTAAATTGAAAACCGCAACAGGTTTGGTCGGTACACCATTCATGATGATTTCATTTAAACATCTGACTTCATCATCAAAAATGATATTTTCAATCCCTCAAACATATCTACATTCCAAATTATCCGTTTGACCTGAGATAACAAGGAGAAACCAAATGGTAATTCAGATTACCACAGGAGTGCTTACCTTCTGTTTTAAAAGCGGCCGTGTTCTGTTCACATTGTATTTGTATTCCAACCTTGCGTGTTGATAATTTTCTCTTACTTTTATTTCAGCCACTTTTCAATCATGGTGATCTTATCAAGAAGGCAAGAGTGGATCAGCTAAAAAAATTATTACCCTGGTGTGCATTAAGCAAAAAAAAGAGATAAAAGATGGATAAAACAGCATCTTTGTATTGTCTACCAATTGAAAGGACGTCTGCATCGTCCTGTTGGACGATCCCTCGATGTTGTTGTAACTGCCCACAGATGTCTGGAAATTCAAATCCACGTGAACAAAACTGCAACAAAAACTTTCTGAAGTGTACTCCTTGGAGAAAAAAATCACTTATAAGATCTACTTCAAGATGGACTTTTCTGGAATTAATTTCGTGTTTGCTAAGACTTTTACTGCTATTTTGGAGCCTATCAAACACTGTTGGCAGTGTTTTCAGTGGAATTATATCTGAAAAGGGTATACCAAGGCTTAGACTGTGGTGGATATTACTGATTGCCAGTTTGTTTGGCACAATTTTGTTACCAGTTGTATCAAGTCAAGAAAGTGTACAACCTAAACCATCTGTGAAAAGCAAAGTGCTGCCTAATGCGGTTGTCTATGTTGGATCTGTATTTAGTTACAATATTTCAGAGGATGTATTCGATTGTAATGTGAACAGCATTGTGGTAAGTTGCACCTAAAGTATACAGAGTTGGTGAATGTAGCTTATATTGCCGCATTCCTTAATGTTTTGTTACCCAAAGCCAAGACACCACACCCCATTGGTAGGAAAATTGCCCCATAGTGTTTCCATGTCGCCCCATACTACATGTAGATTGGCTCAATTTCATCATTAGTCATGACAATGTTTACATTCCCAATGGGAATGCTAAGTAGAGTACTGCATTTACATAAACATAATGTGAATGTGGTCCTGGACTGAGAATCCTGGTAAAAGAATAGCCACAACTTTTTCAACCTGCAAATTAATTTTCTAGCCTGTGGATGCAAGGAACCTTTGATTGTGTTTTTGAATAATCCTTTTATTTTTGCAGGTTTCAGAAACAGCAGATAGATTTCTCTCACACTGGCTGTCATATAGCAGCAACAAGAAACAACTATATGGTGTTCCCTCAGATAAAGATAAGGGAACTTACAACATCCTAGTTGTAGCTTTGACAAAGGACACTTCACTGGGCGGCCATGTTTGTGGGTCACAGTCATTTTCCATTGTTGTTATGTCTATAAGTGAACAACTGCCAGTATCAGTTCATCTCAGCACTACAGGCTTTAGCAGCAATGATCACAAACCTGCCCTTGGTTTGTCATGTCCTCCTGGAACACAGGCAATCCTGGGAACAGTGGTGTTGAACATGGACATACAAAGCCTTAATGGGCATCAGCGCATGATGTTAGTGGTTAAAATGGCTGACCATCTCAGTGTGGACTCTAGCAAATTAGGCTTCTTCTCAGGTGAGATTTCCAACCCAATAACACAACAACTAGACAATCCCACTGTTATAGCAGCTGGTGTGGGAGACGGTAGATTTGCCAAAGGCATAAGGAGTTTCATAACCTGGAACATGGCATGTGGTGCATTAAAGCTGACAGATGTAGGTTTTTCAAAACTTGAAACTGCTGCTCAAGATGGAACCATTAGCACACTAATGGGTGCCCCAGTGGTGGGGTGGCATGTCTTGTCTGGAACTCAAAAAGACATGGTACGACGCAGAGTTCGAAGACAAGCACAGGGGATTATTGCTATTACTCCTACGCCCTCTGCATCTGGTACCCCACCCTCCAGATTGTCAAATATGTCCACTTTGGTCATTGTCTCAAAAACTGTTTCTTTAACATCTGCAAGCCAGAATTCCACAGCTTTACTTCCAAGTGTTACACCAAACAGAACTGTTACCAAAACCACAAGTGTTAACATCAACTCAACATTGTTCAGTCACTTAACAATGAAAAGTAGTCAGTCTTCTACCACTGGCTTTAATTTGACAGTGTCAAGCCTGCTAGTAAACAAAAGTATGTCATCATCCTCCAGCATACGCCTCAACTTGACAGAATCAAGTCAGCCACCAAACAAAACTGCTTTTGCATCATTTAGTCTAATTTCCACATCTTCTAGTGTTAGCATCTATCCAACAACTTCAATTCAGTTACCAAACAGGACTATTTTCCCATCTTATAGTGTGAGCATCAATTTAACAACTTCAAGTATTTTGCCAAACAGAACTATAATCCTATCTCCAAGTGTAAGTGTTAGCTTGACAACATCAAGTCAGTTACTCAGTGCCACAGTATTCAAGTCTTCAAGTGCTGTCAATATAAACACCAGCATAACAAGTATCTTAACCTCTTCAAAGCTTCTGTTGACAGTGAACAGTTCTTCTGCATCACGTCCAACAAACATCATTTCTGCCAATAGAACAATAACTATATCAGAGAGTCATACCCCATCTCTGAATTCAACATTTGTCACTAGAACAGCATTGACCAAAGTGCCTTCCCTGTCTTTTACACTTAGTGCTTCTTCACCCAACAAATCAACCATTGTATCATCACAGAATAGATCAATCTTGAGTTCGCTGACAATGATAACACTGAATACAAGTCAAGCTGTAATTTCCTCAACTACAGTTCCTTCCGTATCCCAAGGAAACATTTCCATAGCAGTGAGAGCATCTTCACTGACTGCATCTTTCAACAGAAGCATTCTAGTCACATCTGTTAGTATTTCATCAAGTTTTCCATCAGTTCTTACTACGCTTCAGTCAACTTTTCCAGCAACATCCACAGCAAAGTTAAATTCTTCAATTCCAAATGTGTCTTCATCAATGTTAATCACTCAAGCAACTGCATCAGTGACTGTAGTTCCAAGTAGCTTTATGCCTGTTGCTAACACATCACTGCTTATCACAAGTGCAGCCAGTCACACAAGTTTATCCACTGTGATATCCACTACCAGCTCAAATCTTTCATCCATCACATCAAACAGTACTTTCTTGGCTTCTTCATCAAGTTTAATTTTGCTTCCTCCAAATACAACTTTGGTTGAAAATTTAACATCGTCTGCTAAGACAAGTTCCTTTGTAACAAGCAGCATGGTAATCTTGCCATCAACTCCTCAACCAGGAAACTCAACTGAATCAAAGGCAATTTCACCAATGCCAACATCATCTTTGTTTACAAGCCTCGTTTCATCAACAATGAACAACACTGAGATATCATTGGTCAAAACAAGTTCACTGGTCCCATCATTGTCAAGCACATCTTCAGTGATGTTGTCCAGTTCTGCAACACAGATGTCAAGTCCTTCCATGTTGCTTCTGAGTTCTACAATAGTCAACCAGACATCTGGGGTACAAATCTTCTCAAGCAGTACCTTGCAGCCCAATCTCACTTCCTCAAAAACTGCTGTTCTGCCATCATCGATGTCTTCACCTATTGTAACAAATGCAAGGTGAGAAACAAGAACTGTTCAATTACAAGCACAAGTAGATGTTGATAATGAGTTGTCGGAAGAGATAATGCAATTTTTAAATAAGTGTCAAAAATAATTTGGGATTACTTTGGTTTTGCCTTACTTCACCTGAGATTGGTCCCAAAAACTTGTCCTTCTTTCAAACCAATCGGATTCAAAAATAAGACCAATAGCTACCTGGTCATTCAGGTTTTCATCCACTTCAGACAGATTGCTTTTTTTCAGTCTGAATTCTCATTGTTTTTTTTTCTTTTGTGGTATTTTCCTTTGTTCTGATTGGCTTTTGAGATCTAAGTGGGCTCTATTAAACATAGCTAAGAGTAAGCAATTAAGACTTTTGGCCAATAACAAGTCTGACAATGTTCTCTGGGGAAAGTTATTCGTTAGATCCAGTTAAATTTATGAGAATCCTTACATGTACATTCGCCAAACTAGTTGTTCTTGCTTATATCTATAATTGTCTGTTTGTTTTCACTGAATTTATTGTGTTTCATCTTGATTTTCAGTGAGGTGACATCTGTGAATGCAACTACCAGTAAGTCAACCTTGAATTTGTTTGATATAAAAAAAAAAAATTGGTGATTATCAATAAATTATTTCTTAAGTGCACTCTAAACATTTCATCGTCAATCCTCAAACGCCTTCACCAACTATTCTGTAGTTAACCAGATCCTTCAAGGTTTCCCTTATCTGTTTGGAATTTTTCGCATCATATACATAGCAAAACGTTTCAAATTACACGAATTGAAATATTTTTGATAACCTCCTTGACATCTTAGAACCATAAAGAAAAGAGATAATTTTGTACTTGTGATGCCAAATTAAGAGAGTACGGAATTTTACAAGAAGATTTGTACTTATTTGATGTAATTTCTGAGAGGGCAAGGGTACTCCTATAGGAATCAACAACTTTTCTGTAATTAGTAGCCATCACTCAGAAAACAGTGCAAAGACATGTACTCTGTGTACACATGCAGTAACCTCTAACAAACACGCCTAGGGCAACGGTCTCAGGAACAGAAAACTCTTTTCTTTAACACGCTATAATTTTTGGAATATTTCCACCTGTTTGTTTTGTTTTGGTTTTTTTTTTCAAGCTAGTTTAACTCCAACTAACTTGATATATTCATAAAGCAAAAATACTAACTTTCCTCACAACTTTTCAGCCGACTTTTGCCCTTATCTTCTTTGATCGAAATTCTTCAAAACTTTTCATCTTTCTACTCATTTTCCTCTAACAAGTTTTTTTCCAAGTTGCTGATCTATCCTGTAACATCACGCAATCAGCAGTGCGCCGAGCTCCAGAGTATGCTGCATGAAAAACTACATGAAGTGTCTGCATGCTCCTTCCTCGAATAAAGTATGGTAACTTTGACTGCATGGAAAAAACGAATGGAATTCTCATAATGTCGTATTTTGTTCCTAATCCATATTTTCATTTCAAAATTGACCTCCACAGCCAAGAGGACTGCATTGGTGAATTCAACATTTAAAATCAATAGGTCATCGTTTATCGCCGTAACTACGTCGGCGTTTCCGTTAACAAGGACGAGTGGTACCCGAAGTTTTCCGAGCACCTTCGTCGCTAATCGAAGTGTTGTCTCTACCATCACTTCGAAAGGATTTCAAAAATCGAGTGTTAACATTTCGTTCAGTCCAAAAATCACAACAACAGCGTTCGTATTTAGCACAATTTCACCATTGAGTACTTCTCAGTTTACCAGCATGTTTTCAAGCATTGATCTGAGACCTAACTTAACTAGAATTACAGACTCGTCGTTTTTCTCAATGTCTGTAAAACTGACTACAAGCTCTGAAGTTCCTGTGAATTCCACGATTGCTTCAAGTACTAAAGGAAGTCCTACAACGGTATCAAGTGCTGTCACCAAATCTGTGGACTCAACTCTCTCAGCGAGAAGAACGACTTCATCGGCAAAGTCTGTTGTTACCAGCTCAAGTGGACATTTTAACGTTAACTCCTCGTTGATGCCGTCAGTGCTCTCCAGTGGCAAACCGATTGTTGGATCGTCTTCCACGTTGATGGCAAATTTAAGCAGTTCAGTTCCTGTGTTGGAGTCAAGTACCGCATTTTCTGTTGTTTTTACCCCTGCAGACACCTCTGTAATGAATTTATCTACAACAGAGATGTCAACTACCCAAATCAGCCCTACAACTCTGTCGTCCATACCCACTTCAAGTTCAGCATCCTCACTTTTAAATCCACAAGACCAGACAACTTTGCTTAGCAAAAGTGATGTTAGTGAGTCCAGCAGAATCGTGCAAAATTCGACGACGTTGTTCGGCGCAAGCAGAACTGTTTCGATGAATTTCAGTTCTCTTTCGTCGACCTCTTCATTAAGAAAATCAACTACTGGAATTGACAGCACAATGTCACGAATGTCCTCTGCCATAAGTGTGGTAACCTCTACTGTGGTGTCACTACCCTCAATCACAGTCATTCCAACTTCTGTCACAGTCCCACCAACATTTGTCACAGAAATACTACCTTCAACTACAGTCATACCAACTTCTGCAACTGCGATACCAACCTCCGTTACAGATACTTTGATTCTTTCCACGCACGTTACTCGCGGCACGCGTGTAGTGAACTCCAGCAGCAGACTTGACAGTGTTTTCAGCAGGACACCCAGCTCTGTCCAGACGAGTACCGCAGTCACACCCACGCCGGTGTACAGGACAACCAGCATCTTGGAGACCAGTGGTAAGATACCAATGAGTTTACGAATTGCACGTTCGCACCACGTTAAATTCATCGAGCACTGCACTCAATCACGCGTTAAGTTTATTCGTCATCTGAATCACATCCTTTGTCTATCCATATACGTCCACTGAGCCTTGACACCATTCCTTTCAAATCTCTGTATTTCCTCTCTCTCCTCACGGCTTAAATCTCTTTTTGATGTTGGTTTGCTCAATATCCACCTCTATCACGAGGCGTACATTCGAACACAAACCTTGACTCACTCTTTACTGTCAACAGGTCTTCGCTTTTTCCTTAATTTTTTCTCACGTCATTCTCTTTGTGATTCGTTTCTCGTACGTTTTGTTGTTTCATTGAAATATTCTTATCCACTAATCGCATCAAACGCCACTGTATTGCTTGGCCGATGAACTTAAGAGAGCTGTGATGAGTTCTCCGGGCGCTTACCGGCCAGAGCAATTCAATTCAAGTCACCAAATGTTTCTTGCGTGACACTTTGTAATGTTACCTTGTTTCCTCTCCAAGGTTCACCCTCTTTCGCGTCACACAATACAACGAAAAAGACTCTGAGAAGCACTGAAGTGATAGTGAACTCGTCCTCTACACCCAGTTACTCAATGGTTGGATCTCGAATGACCACTACTAAGTTTTCATCAGCACAAATTAACAGCACTACTGTCACGCAAGTTAATCTGACAGCTGTTACACATAGTTATGTGACACCTGTCACGCAGAGTAATGCTACATCTGTCACGCGATTCAGCACTCTTCAGAGTAGCACATTTGTAGTCACACCTTCCAAGTTCATTGGATCGTCGATAAAATCTAGAATTACTTTCTCAGACACAGTGAAAACTTCATCTATCACGCAAATGACTACTTTAAAGTTGATTCAGACCAGTAAAACTAGCACTCGAACGCCGGTCATCACTGATTCAGGGATCAGAATCACGCAATCGACCGTGGAAATAGCAACATCTTCAAGGATTCCAACATTTTCGTCATCAAGGTTCGAATCGATGGCAAAGAAAAGTATTGTGACCGATAGTGCCGCGTCACGGATAGTCAGTAGCGTGATATCTCTCATGACATCAGGTGTGACACTTGATCGAACGACCTCTGTTACTATGCAAACAGAGTTCGCTGTCGAGACACTTATTTCAAAATCATCGTCAGGAACTCAGAAAATGTCGTCGGCGAGGTCGACAGTTAACGTGACAAAATCCTTGGATCAGAGCTTTGTGCCACCTTCACGAAGTATGACCTCATCTACCTTACGGTCGTCGGTTTTAAGGGGTCTAACAGCCTCTATATCTACAAGTATTTTAACATCAAGCACCAAATTCTTGACAGTTGTGACCAAATCAACCAAATTAGCAGCCACATCATCATCATTATCATCATCATCATCATCAACTACTACCACAGAGAAAGGTGCTCTTACATCAAAGCCCAGCTTAGTTGCTGAGACAAGTACTCCGCACAGATCTTTTACACTAACGACACTCAAAACAGTATCCTCGCCATCCTCTTTATTAGATAAATCTTCCGTTGGAAGCCGCATTCCGGCTCTCTCGCCTACAGCGGCTTCTTTCTCTTCACGTAAGTCTGGTACAGACAACTCTTCCATGAGCTTTTCCTCTTTTGTCTCTGTGAAATTTCTAATCTCATACGAGACCTTAGTCAGTACTACCTCGTTTTCATTATCGCGTGCACCTACCTCATTTCGCGAAAATTTTTCCACTGTTGGTAATTCACAAAACCTCCGCTCGGATTCTCTTGTCACCCAATATCTTTCCACCCCCATTAACACTAACAACATAATCGACACCCCAAAAAAAAAGTTCCGGAAGTTTTCATACTAGCATCTCCCAAACTGTGGTTTTAGCTACAATCCCCCTGTCCTCAAAGCTAGTTCCTAATAGTGCAGTAATTTTCCCTCGTTCTTCTAACCATTCTGGCTTTTCTTTTCATTTTTCTTCCATTTTAGGTCCGCTTCCAAGTAGCTCATCTCTGTCTCCATCCAACTCGACCCAGACTGCAACACTGCCAGGCACAACTCGGACAATTAGCGTGTCACCATCGTCAACCTCTGTTGTCGTACCAACCACTGCCCCGCCCAATTCACCCCCCGAGGTTATCAACAACTTGGGCCGGGTGATAGCCCCCGCAGGTGTGGCATTACATTATACCATACCCGAAGATACTTTTTATGATCGGGAGGACGGCGCCGACACGCGTAACCTGTCGCTTTCGATGAAACTTGCGAACGGTTCATCGATCCCGGAGGACTTTTGGTTGCAGTTTGACAGTGAGAGCCAGACTATTGACGGATTACCGCTAGACACGCATGTACCTGATGGGATAATGGGTCAGGTGCTGGTAGTGTATGCTCAAGATAGCCGCGGCGCTGAAGCCTTGGACGCCTTTGAGGTTTTGGTTGTTCCATCGGAAAATCCAGTTGTGCAAGAGTTAAACATCAGAATTACAAACGAGTTTGTCGAGTTTAGCCGCAACGTAGCTCAGAGGCTTTTACTGTTGAAAAAGATCGCATCATATTATGAGGATGCGGATGAATCAAACATAAGAGTGTTGAGTTTCAAAGCGGGGTCAGTGATAATGTCATGGACGAATGACTCGTTACCGACAGAGAGATGCGACGAGGAAAAATTACAGTACGTTGCGAATAAGATACTACTTTCCAATGGCGAAGTAAGGACGGAATTTAGGGAGGCTTTAAAAGGCTTTCCAGTTGTGAGTGCGAATGAGGAACGAATGGGAGTTTGTAACGGATCTTACCCCGTCATAACTAATGCACCAATCGACGCAGGCGCACGAACGTCTAGTGAAGAGGGTGACTTGTGGTACAAGCACGTTCTCGTTGGTGTGCTCATCGTCCTTATTTTAATTGTCCTGGCCGTGCTACTGATCTGGTACTGTAGGAGACGGAGACCAAAACCTTCTAACGAGAAGCGTACCTTTAAGAAACGCAAGCCCATCATTCTGGAACCGGAGATTGAGTTAAAACCAATTCCTGGGAAACCACTTGTTCTACCGGATGATTCCCCGAGTTTCCCGCCATCATATATTTCGGAAACCTCGCTTGATAAGCCTGTTTCTTCCGATGAAGATGACGAAGAGGATTATGGGAAAGGTAGCCCTAGTGTTAGGTACGAGCCTCCCCCGCCTTTTTATGGAGTCCTCGATGACGAAGATCCTCGGAACACTCCTCCGCCGGCCTACCAGCTACCGCCAATGTTTTGAAGATTTTAGTTGCCACATGACACGAGTAAACTAGCGTTTTTTTCAGCAGACTTCTGAAACTAGGCACAAACTTTTGCAGCTAATGTGCTCTCGTATCTTGTCCTGCCTGCTCTCTAGAACAGAAAAAGGCGCAAAACTACTTCTCTGAGGTACTTCGAAATAAGGCGGTTTACGGGTCAAATCTCAAACGTTTGTTGCAGTTAAAGCTGAATTTAGCGTGGGAAAAAGGACATCTTAATTTTTACTTTAAGGACAACTATTTTTAAGTTCAATAACTTATGATTTAAATGTTCAACGAGAGTTCAGTTTTACATAAATTTAGGAGAATTTCTGAGATCTTTTTTACAATTGTAAATTTATCGTCGATCCAAATTTTATGTTTTCGAAACTTTTAGTCACGACCAGGATGTTGAAGATACTAATCGGTATTCAAACTGATACTTCAGTGAAAAAATGCCAAGTTACTTCCTTGCTGAGAATGAAAATGAGATGAACCATGGGCAGTGAATGTTTTATTTTGGTATTTGAACATTTCAACAAGAACGAATCTGAAAGAAGTGTAAGCAACACTGATAATCTCATTCTGTAAATAATAGCGCCGAAAATTTTTAGAACTTTGATGCAGTAGATAATATGTCAATTTGTACAAATTTTTGTTCTTGGCTCATACGGCTGTAAGATAGCCAGGACTTGAAAAAAAGAAATGAAAATTAGTGAAACCATCAACAGTGTCCAGTTTTTCAGTGCACGTTCGATGTTTTAGTGCAAGCCCAAGACAACTGATTCGAGGTCGAGAAACATTAAGCCGAGGCCATATTCTATACCTCAGAGCTCCTCACTTTTCGTGGACGGGAGGATCTTGGGGGGATTTATCGTGCCACGGTGAGCGAATCTTTGGGTTCTGGGGACGAGGGTAAGGCGAGGCTTACTTAGTACTGATGTAGAAAACAGCATACAATACTTCCTTTCCCCGTTTGCAAGTAATACTGCTTGTTAGGCGCTAGGACCCCGCAGAAACTAATGCCAACCGATGGAGGTTTTTTTTACCTTTCTAACGGTAGCGAGCCTTAATTTTGTCCCTTATCTTGACATCTCGCGCGCTCAATTCACTAGCTTACCTCGGTTTGAATCTAATCTTACCTGTCATAGTGTAATAACAAAAGTTTTCTGGCGTTTGAAAATATGCCATGATTTATATTTCATGTGATTTTCTTGTTCAAATGTACTCCTTAAAGAGAGTTTTGCGCTCAAGTTGGTTTCCAGTGATGACAACACAGGTTTCAGTGACTGTATTTGTCAAAACTAAACGAGAAATTTTTTGAATCTGGACAAGCAGTGTTAAGAAGGAAAAAATTCGAGCTCTCATCTCCGTGAGAGGAAAAGAATGGATAAAGAATGGACCCTTAAGGTGTGGAGAGGGAGGCAACAACGGCTTGACCAACATAAAACACACGGTCTTCATGTGAAAAGAAACAACAACAATAAACGCCTCTTTATTTGAAATAAATTTTTACATGGCCAGAATATCAGCCCTCTCCTCAAATTAATATCAAGTCATTCTCAAATTTGAAGTGTAGCGCGATTGTAACTACGCTAGCGCGGCTTTGGAATCACTTGAGTAAACAGCTAAGATTCGCGCTCTTTGCTAAATCTCTGAAAACTTAATACATCTCTTCTTTATATGAAAAAAAAAACAAAACATTTATACCAAGGATAATTCTATTTACAAATTTTAATTTTAACTGGTAACTATGCCAACCCACCATAACTTCGGTAATCAAAGATGTAAAAATCCTTTAAAAACGTTTGCTGAACAAAAGTGAAGCAAGCGAAAATTTACTTAAAATGTGGAACTCAAGCCAAAGTATCGAGTTTAGATAGGTTTAAATGCTATTTCGATTAATTTCGCTCGAGTGCTTCCGAATCTTTGCAAGATTTCTCGGAAGGTTTACAAACATTTCCACATTTCATTACAAAACAAATTATAAACTTTTCCTCTGAGAGAGTACAAAAATCTGTACACAGAAGTATATATTAAAATAACATTAATTGTTTCAACCCCCCCCCCCTCCCTTAAATAAAAATTTAAAAATGAAGTTTCTCATAGTCACTGCGGAACCAAGGTTAAACATTTAGTTCTACATCTACTATGGCGCCTGAAAAACGTTGTAGAACGCAACAATCTAAAACAAAATTTAGTACGAAAATGGAAAGGACAACTTCCGAAGAGGAGGATGTCACAGAAGCAAATTGACTTGGAACGCAAAGGAAAAAGAAGCCCCACCCTTCCTTCCCACCTCTTACACAAGGTGTCTACACGTGTCGTCACATGGACCGACCTACAGGACTTGAAGGAGTACTATTACTAATCTGACTACGAATACTGTCACGCACAGTTCTCACGCATGAGAGAATCTGGAGCCGAGTGTGGGTCATGGAACCTGCATCCCAGCTCCGCGAGCGTACGGCTCGCTTTCGGGGGGTGCCAGTCGAGCGCGGTGGTTCACGAGCCTGTGTCTCCATATATGGAAAATCAGTTGAGGAGTCTGACATTGGAGTTCCCAGCGGTGTTTGGAGAGACGTTTCATCTATAAAGAGGAAATGAAGCAGAAAACACGTGTGCAACTCCCATTGGATAATAACGAAATCGTAGTTGTGACTGCAACAAGCAAAGAATGAGACAAACAGCTGGCACGCGCGTATTGCAACAAGCTAACGCACCTTCGGGAGTGGAACAATATGCCACTGCCGTAGTTTCCTTACACATACTTTCAGGATTCGGCTGTTTTAGGATCAGGTTTGTTGCTTCCCTTTCCCTATAATAAAGAAAATAAAAGATTGGTATTAAAAAAGCGGCTTCCAAATATTTGGAGTAATTTCGAGATCCTGTTATTTACTTTTACATGCATAAACGTATGAGTATACGAGCGTATATGCGTATGTGAAAACGTGCACACGTGTAGAAGCATACGTACGTGCGTGCGTAATTGCGTGCACACGTGCGAGCGTATGTATGCGTCTGTTCAAACTCCTTACCCCGCAAATGACGTCAAAAACTCTTTAACATTCATAACCCCAATCTAAAAGAGGAAATAAACGAAAAAATTATATCTTTCGAATGAGGAAGAGCACAGCTAAAATAGATTCTAATGGCCCATTAGAATAGGAAAAATTTAATCTGCACTGGCTGATAAGCTCACCCCTCGCTCAAAGAACCACGGTACTTCCATTCTGTTCTTGTCCATATCTGTGATCAAGAGAAACACTGATTTTAACGAAACATGCAAGGATAAGCCATTATTTTACATGCTGAGGAAGGGACATTCCCTCTTTTGTACTCGTAACATTGGAGCATACTTAGAGGAAAAATAAACACGAACTTTAAATCCAACGGAAATACAAATCACTTCTCATTGTTCTGTGCTGCAGTTCGGCTTGAGTCTGGGTGGTTCGAATCTTTCAAATTCGTGATAGAGGTACAAAACCGGTACTACTGGCCTGGCTTACCATAGCTGTTGCTCAGTGGTAAAACATCGGAGCGCAAAATCTGGATGGTATGGATTTTCTGATGGTACTTCGGTTTCGATTTCGATAAGGAGGACAATGACTTTTTATTTGAACCACGCTCGTAAAAACGAATAACACCCTTCTTTAAAATATCATAGGCAAAAGATTTCTGCTGACGCACCTGACAACAGAATCACGTGTCTGTAGACAGACACAAGTTCAATTTGTAGCTTGAGCGAGGTCTGTAAATAGCGCTGGGAAGACGGAATGCCTTCTGTTACGTAACCCTGGTCGAGAAGAACAAAACAAAAGCATTTTGAAATCAAATTGGTTCGAAAAATTGATATGTTCAGCATTCAAATTTAACAAAATTCCCACTGTAGTAGTTAGGAACAAAAGCGAGCTTTATTTGGCGAATCATGTTGACTGCTACGTAAAACAAAAACAAAAAAACGAAATTTCTTTTCGACAATTCTCAAGGTAAACTTGCCAAAGTCGCATTTCACAAGATCTTTCCGTTTACTAATATCCTTGTTCAAATACTATCGGTATCGGACGTTTCAAGGGAAACTCGTCAAATTTTTCCAACAATTTTCCATAATTTCTGGGAATGTTACCAATGAATATGCAGCTTTCGACGATAACCGTAAATCCTCTCACCTTTTGAAGAACTGTAACAAAACCTTCGTTCTTGTAATCGCGTAGAAGATTCTAGGGGAAACACGTTGAATTCAATTAACAGTGGAAGGGATAGGGGGTTGGGGAGAATATAGAATCTTCAAATTATACATATCTTCTTCAGTCATGTAACTATTCCAAGTAAGGTCTCGAATCGATGTGTATTCAAGTGCACACATCAAGATAAATCCCACGCCATTGAAATTATACGCGAATTACCTCTCACTCGCCGCATTATCTCTCGCGCATGTCTTTACAAAATTGAGAGAGTAAAGTTTTTTGGCGAGCTACGATGAACGTTACCGATTAACTCATTAGCACCCTTTTGCTATTTTGATAATGAAGCTGCACGCCAAGCAACACATAAAAAAAACTAACGAACAAAACAAAAAACCAGAACAGAGGTTAATCTGTCCGTTTGGCGAGAGCTTATTGGCTTATAAGATAAGCGGAGCATAACACTTCAAAATGCATGCAAAAGCGCCGACTACGTGAACTAAATTGAACCAAGAGTGAACTTACCAGAACTCTGGAGTCTCTTCTCGTCAGTGGCCTGTAGCAAATTAAACCAAAACAAAAAAACCAAAAAAACGCAGGGATTGAGCGGAGCCAACGCGATGACAGGTTTTCTGAATAACGATAAAAAATTGACGAAGCCAAAACTGACTCACCTGTTCAGAGAAAGTTTCTTGTAGCCATTTCGGCTGATGTTCAAGACCCAGACGAACTTCTGATGAACTAGGCTTTGTTCCTTTAGGTAGCGTAACAGAGCATCAAGGTGATCTACGAGACGAAAGTAAAGCAAGAACGATACGGCTTAATAGTCAGGCAGCGAGCGAGAGAAACTTCCGGCTGCTGAAACACGATCAACACAGGGCTGAAGAAATTCAAACCAGGACTGTACTGGGACCATTTAACGCTTGTGGTACAAGTGAACATTTAAGACTGGGCCAGAGGACATAAGTATCCCTAAGAGGTGCCGCATCTATATGTAACCCCTCACCCTGTCGCTCCCACCCAATCCCCTACCCCCCCCCCCATCTTACCTTTCACTCTTTCACTCCGCTCACCCCTCCCTCCTCTTCCCCTCTCACTCCCCCCCAAAACCGTCTCACCTTTCACTCTTTCACCCCCCTCAACCTTCCTTTCCCCCCTCTCGCATGCAGATGCAGACTGTCCATAGACTCACCAAGTTGAATTGTCTTCAGAAAGTTGTCATCGGCCAGCAAGGCACCACCCGAAACAAAGATGTTCTCGTAAAAACGGCTTCCTTCTGTCACGTCTACAAAGAAAGACGACGTCAACTCCACTCAACTAAACTAATCAACTACATTTTTGTGACGTCCCTTTTTTGCAGTAAAGTTAATAGCAGTCTAACGGTGAGGATCAATTCGCACTTGGCATCATGAATGTTTCGCATACCTGTTAAAGTGTTAAACAGGGAGAACTTGACAAGTGATGACATCTTCAGTCGGTACAAGTTGGCCAACCTGGTGACAAAGAGGTAAATATTGAAAAATCTTAAGGAATATCGGCAATTTTACAGTGAGTACAGAACACAGGAAGAGGATGATAACATAGCCCATTAATCACTTGTCACAGAGACATTCACTCGGGAAAAATTCTGGGAATAACACGCTCCGAAAACAGATTTAGCCGTGCCAAACACCAACTATTTCTTCCCCAAAAGAGACAAAATAAAAGACAGAAGCAGCATCTCTTTCAGCACTCCGGCTAAGTGAGTCGCACCCTCTATCTTGGAGAGGAGCCACCGTGCCCCCAAAAAGCAGAAGAAAAATAGTAGACTAGGTGAGACAAAACCATACTTATCTTCAATTCCTTTATTTACCTGTGAACAGATGGCAAGTGTTTTTTTCTGATGAACACTTTCAGCTCTCGTGTATTTTCCTCCAAATATTTGGAGTTCCTGACATCCACAAGTGTTCCACCTGCTCTCAACATGTAGTTCTTACAAAAGAACAAACATACGGTATTGCAACCTTAAACAATTGAGCAACAGTGTACTATTGTTATCATAAAGTGAATGGCATGCATAGTAACGAGGATACCGCGGTTTGATATGTGCGTTGGTTAAAACCTGCACAAACTGTCTCAGTAAAGGGACATTGATTTCTAGAGCGTTAAAGCTTCAAACCGCTAAAAAGCGAAGGTCTGCCGTTCGCTTCATTGTTGGGGACTAATCTTTGTTTCACAAACGTGACACCCCGAAAGATCTTTCTTTAACTGCGACTCCTTTCTAAGGAAATGGCACTACATACAACATACAACATACAACATACAACATACCTTCAACGCTTCACACTCCCTGTCAACGTCTGGTGAATACACAAAGAACTGGAACTTCCTGTTAACACCTGGCTTTTGACTTCTCTTCTGAATAGAAGGCTTCCCTGATACTAAAAGAAAGTACAACAGCACACTATAACACGATTTTCACAGAGGAACGGAAAGTTGACTGGCGTTGAGGAGTCGATTCTGGTTCTCAGTGTTGGGAGGGCACCGCTCTCAAAATTGCGCCATTTCTGCACCCATAGATTTGATACGTCTAAAAATTTTTATCACTACCTCAGATCAGTATTTATAAATAAATAAAGTTAACGTTCAACTAGAGCGCTCAGAAAACAGAGAGGGATTTCGTTCGGTGTGGAAAAGCCCCCCGAATAACAAACTACTTTTCGAGATGATACAAAACGCTATGTGCCTACAAAATACTAAGCACATGCATTTCAATAGTCAGTTTGAACAAACAAACATACCTCTACCGAGGTAACAACGTGCATCACTCTTTTCATTTGTAGACAGCCACTCTGGCTGCCCTACTCCACTTGGAGACTGCCCATCCAACGACCCCGTTCTGCAATCCTTTTCCTGTGGAGGGTTCGCTAAATGCGTAATATTGTTAAAGTTGAATACTCTGGAAGGACCCGAAGCTTCCTCCCCCACAGACACACCGCTGTCAGAGGGGCAGCTGCTCAGCTCCAAGTAGCTGCAATTTGCTTGACGAAGAATATCCTCCAACGAAGACACAGTTAAGGCAATGGTTTCCTCTGCGATGCGATCAAACGTTGACGATTGTCCTAACAGGTTTCTTAAGCCACCTATTGAGCTGAAAATGGTCTGCTCAGCACTCGCCATGAAGAGCGGATCAATGGGGCTCAATAGTTGCTCTTCAGATAAGTCTTCCTCCAAGTTTGCTGGTTCTTCTGCTCGTGGTTTGTAAACAGAGACAATGGGATTCTCCTGATAATTTTCATCTGTAACATTCTTCCTCGTTTTTCCTTTAATACCAATTATGCCTTCCTGTACACGCACTTCATCCTTCGCAAAATCAAGATTTTCTGCTTGCGATCTCCCTGATGTACCTTTAGGATTTTCCACCAAATTATCTCCCATCACCATAGTGTTATTGGGGATAACGTCAGGACTATCTCCACTTGATTTGTTGGAAGTGACTGATGAACACTTCAGCAATGACTCCACATCCACTTCCATATCAATTTTTCCTACTCCTAGATCATTTCGAGAGACGCATGAAAGCGTTTCTTGTCGTTCGTTACCAGAACAACCTGGAATCTCCTTGAGGGCGTCATTGTTCAAGAGTTCCTGATCCTCGAATAGGTTTGCATCAACATCAGGATTCTTCGCTGCTGATACATCTAAAGATTTCCCTACCGATACCTTATCATCTTCAGCATGCAATTGAACACCAGCTGCTAAGCTTTGTTGGTTTACAGTGTCAGCAGAATCCAACTTGGCCGGCTTATCTTGAATTGAATATCCGTCAGAGCTTTCAGATCTCTCAATAACTATAATGGTGGCATTTCTTTCCTGGTCAGAGTCTATTTCCATATCACTTGTTTCTTCATGTTTTCTGTCGCTCTTTTGCACTGATTCCATACGAGTCGAAATGCAGACACCAGAGTTCGTTTTGGCATTATCTTCCTTCTCTTTCAAATCACTGTTTCTGTTGCCGTTTGTGTTATTGATTTGAATTGAATATCCGTCAGAGCTTTCGGATTTTTCTTGATCAGAGTCTATTTCCATATCACTTGTTTCTTCATGTTTTCTGTCGCTCTTTTGTGCTGATTCCATACGAGTCGAAATGCAGACACAAGAGTTTGTTTCAGCATCATCTTTCTTCTCTTTCAAATCACTGTTTCTGCTGCCGTTTGTGTTATCGATTTGAATTGAATATCCGTCAGAGCTTTCGGATCTTTCGTTATCAGAGTCTATTTCCATATCACTTGTTACTTCATGTTTTCTGCCGCTCTTTTGCACTGATTCCATACGTGTCGAAATGCAGACACCAGAGTTTGTTTTAGCATTATCTTCCTTCTCTTTCAGATCACAGTTTCTGTTGCCGTTTACGTTATTGCTTTCGGTGTAAAACTGCATCAAAGCCGAAACCACCGAATGATCCATTACACTCTTGGGTGGTCGCCTATCTTCATCATCTTCATCTTTATTGGCGACTTCTTGCGCCACTGAATCCGATGGAAATATTGTTGAATTGCCACTTGCCTCTGTCAGAGACAGAAGTTCTGAACCAGGAGGACAACTATTAACAGAGCTACATGCAACATTCCTCGGGAGCGAAGGACGAAGAGGAAGAGGAGGGAGAGGAAAGTGTGGAATGTGGGTTTGGGGAAGAGGTTCCAGGGCTGAGGGCACTGTACCTGGAACTAGTTTTAGCACACCAGGATCACAAGACGTCAACATACCAGCAGCAGCAGCAGCAGCAGCAGTCGTTGAAGGGGTTTTGTGGGCTTTGTTGAGCTGATCTGAACTTATACCGATTGAAGCCTCAATTGGCAATGCATTGGCAACAGTGGAGGCTGTCCTCTCGTGACCTGAGCCATCTGTCTTCTCTTCTGCTGCCAAGGTTTCAACAGGAGCTTCATTCGTGTGATTCTCCTTCCTAGTTTTAGGATCGGAAATCTTAATACCTGCCCGTTTTTCTCCTTCTCCTTCTCCTTCTCCTCTTCCTCCACATCCATCAGGACCTAAGTCAGGCTCAGCGAACATCTTTTCTTCTCCTGTTTCGCCTTCATCAGGAGACTTTGGAGTTTCATGACCAAGACTACCTTCCTCACGAGAGTTATTTTCAACATCTGGGGTACTCTGTCCTGCTAAACTTGGTTTTTGGTCTTCGAAGATTACAGATCCACTCCTCACAACCACAGCTTCGTCGGTTGTACTTTGATTCACCTCGACATCTTCAGTAACCTCCTTGACGTTCTGTGGCGTATCGCTTGTGTCTTTTTCATGTTGTGAATTCAAATCCAAAGAAGAATCTCCGATCGACTTTAACTCATTCACATTCTTCATATCAGCAGTTACACACAGGTTTGCCTGTCTGTCTTTTGCTTCACGATTCCCCTCAGAAACAGCATGGTGTAACACTACATCATCTGCAATATCATGCATATCTATGTCGAGCGGTTGATGCTCTTTATCCTCACTAGAATCGAACACTTTGGTTGGAAAACTCTTAATTACTGCATCCTCTTTATGAATGCTATCACTCTCTGCACCAGCTACCGGCCCTTTTTGTACGCCATCTCTCCCACACTCATTTCCCTGATCCCCCAACGACACATCGTCGTGTTCTTCCTCTTCTTCAGACGAATCTTTACCCAGGTGAACATGTGAACAGCTGGTCTCTGGATGATTTGGATCATCGTTGTTTCCAGTAACTCCTTCCACCTCTGTAACCAAACCTTTTTCGAAAATAATTGAAACTTCTTTATCACACAACAGATCATCCGTCTTGGGATGAACAGAATAATCGCATTCAACATTATCATCAATGTGCTTTTGTGCAAAATTTTCAACCGGAGTGCAAGGTGATACCGAGTGATTAACATGCGCGCTTTGTACAGAACATCTCTCAACATTCCCATCTTCCTTTGAAACAGAAACAGAACTGGAACTTGCTTCTTTATGAAAAGGAGTAAAACTTTCACACTGCGTCTCCGCGTTAACGTCATCAAATGCAGGTTCTGGAGTATCTGCGTCCTCTGTACACGGCCTTGAGCTTTGACATAATCGCCTCAATCGCTTCTTAGCTCGACGATATAAACGTTCTGAAGATCTGCGTTTAGATTCTGGGGTAATTTCAACAGTGCAAGTTTGGTCCGTTCCAATGGTGGCCAGTTTAGCCCCGTGGTTCTGCCTTCGTACCCAGTTTTCAAGCTGCACTTTATTCATCCACGCAAAAACATATATGTCCCATTTTTCTGGCTTTTCAATCCCGCCAGATTTACCGTGATTAGCAGTTTCTGCATCTTGAACCACCTTAGGTCTCTTGTCAGGGCTGTCTTCATCACAACCAGAATTTTTTCCAGTGGCGCTTTGACTTACTAACTTGGAATCTAAACCACCAGAAAGAATCCAAACAATTCAAAAAAAAAAACAACAGAAAAAAAAAAAAAATATATATATGTATATTTTGTAATTTCATTCCCTAATTTCCCTCAGATGATAAGGAAACCATGCCTTTCTGATTTCACTTCTATGCCCTCAAACGAAAATCATGGGAATGACACCTCTTGCTGGGGTTTATTAAAATTTGTCCACGGTGCTATAGCACTTTTCGATTGACTATGGAAAGTAATCTAGAACTGCTTTGGTTCTGCTTCAATGCGCTTTGTTATCAGTAACGAGACCAAATCCTAGCTTTTCAACCAGTCAGATGCAGAAGTGAAACCAAACCTAATTAATTTCATTACTGTTCGGAAAAAAAAGATAAATTCAAGGATAAAAACACATCATCGACAGCTACTCTCAACTGTTCACAATCTCTTTGAAAATATCTCTCAGGAGAATATTTGTCCTTTCAGTGGCGCGCTGATTCCTTTCCAAGGCCGAGTACGCGATTGTCAAAACTCGGGAACCTAGCTAGCCAGCCAGTATGGATGAACTGAACTACCAATCACAGGAGAAGAAGGGTAAACAGTAGATCCTCGAGCCCATCTTCTCTCCGTCTGTGCCTACGTACTAAGTCCTTCGACAGATCATCAACCCCCGATGACTAATGACACAGAGGTGACACATAAAAGTTAACCCTTTCACTCCCAAGAGTAACTAATAAGGAACGCCTCCCTACAATATCAACTTATTGTCCAGTGGAGAGGTGATTGCAAAAAGGGAACTTATTGACTTAGGTATGCTGTTTGATCTAACGCCAAATTCTCCGAGCGAAAACTGAAGGGAAATAAGGGAAACTGTAAAGAGAACCGATCTTTTGATCTTGGGAGTGTAAAGGTTGAGTGTTTGGTTAAGATTGTGAACGAGCATTGCTGAGAGTAGCTGATTCAGATGTATCCCTAACCAAGTGAATACAACACCTGCCTTCTCCCCCAGCTGAAGTTCCCTGGCTGTGTGACGTTCCCTGGCTGTGTTTGACCTCTTCACGGCTCTTCCACGGATATCTTTTCTCGCGAATTGTTGTGCGATGCTTTCCTTCCTATCAGAAGATAATCATTCAGGTAAAAAAAAAATTACACCGTATGGACAGTAAAAAATATTTCTGGAAGGTTATTTTTATCGAGAAAAAACAGGCCAAACCTAATTGTATCCAGTAGTGCTGATTACTTATCGTTTTGTTGCAAAACTGCCTTTTTTTCGAGACTATAAAGCAAATGTGGCCGAGTAACTTAATTCAACTACCTTCTGTGTTCCTCTGGGTGGTTTTTGGGCGCTATCCCTGTGTGACTTGTAATGTTGGTGTTGATGATCAGGGAGTCCATGGCCATATTCAAACACTTCAGACTGAGGAAGCTCTTGACCATACCTTGAAATAAAACAAGGAGAACAACATTTCTGAAAGTAGAAGGCTGACAGGCCAGCGTGGACACTATTTTGTTTCTTAAGTTATACATTGAGAGCTACTCTGTAAAAGATGTCGTAGGCGTTCCAGGAACTTCGAGTTAATCGTCGGGTAAATTCTGAACGTGGAATCCATTCACACATCTTAACCTATAACTGGTAAATGGTGCACGGAAATTTGTGAATGTGAACCCCTTCCGTTTCCCTTTGAAAAATCCAAACGACACCCAGTCATTATCAGTCCTATTCCCTAAGTAAAAAGAGAATGGTTCATCTAACAAAATAAAACCATTGGTCAACAAACCTTGCAATGTCCTCATCACTTTCGTGTGCAGACTGTGAGATATAATGACCAGTGCTGTCATCCAACGACAAAGATTCTTTGTGAACTCTGGGCACCACCAGCTCTGTCGGACCCAGACTTCCCAATCCCAAGTCACGTTCCTCAGAGGTCGTCGTCTGGCAGAAGAAACCCTCAACTAAAAAGCAAACGCAACGAAGCTTAATTTTGCTTCCTCTGTCTCAAGTCGTGGATCTTCCAATATCACGACTTATGAGCACTTTCTCCAGAAGTGGCACGCTATAATATTATTCAATGAGGCTTCATGTACATGTCATACAAGTCAATGCTACGCTTTTCCTACTGTGACAAAAGGGGCTTCCAGATGCGGTTATTCAATTTCCTTGGGTTCTTTGCTTTCATTGTTTACCTCTCTCTCTCTCTCTCTCTCTCTCCCTCCCTTCCACATTTCGAGGTGAGCAGTTATTCCATAAACCGGTTCGTCGGTGTTGAGTTGATAGAAAGAAGCGCTATCGCTCGATGACCTCTAGGTTGCTAAGGTGATTCCTACCCTCCTCTGTAGCTACCTTCAATTTACGGTACTTTCCCTCTAATACTATTAACCATGAGTTTTCACTCTTGTAAAACTGATTATAAGTCTGAACATTAATATAACCAAGATACTAACCTGGCCAAGATGATCGTGATATACAAGGTTCTTGAACGACATCCTGAATCTTTTCCTCTCCAAAAGCATACGGTACTTGGCTTTGTTCCACCCCTTCAAGAGGGTGCTCTTCAAGGTATGCCGGTGGAGATAAAGTTGGCGACAACATCTGTAAATCGGACACCTGCTGATGTTCATCGCTAACGACAGCTCCAGCTGGTTTGGAAACGTCATTTGATTTCAGTGGTGCAGCCCAGAATCCCAGACTCGGGTGAGTAAAGTCCATGGCTGGAGTGGCCGTTTCAGGTGTGTCTGGTGTGGTTGGCCAGCTCTCAAAATCAGAACTGAGCTCACCTGGACTTATGTCTTCAAGGTCACTGTACTCCATGTCAGTTAGTGGTCGTTTCTTTGTTGGCAAGGCAAGATACGGATTAGAACTTACTTGTAACAGGCCTTTGGGGTTTCTAGTACATTGTAGCATGAAGAACACTTAGCGGAAGTACTATTTAGCGAACTAGCTATTTATGTATTTTGCAGGAACAAATTTTAGCGACCATGATCATAATAGTAAATTCCAAAAAGAAAACTTTGGTGCGTTGTTTCTTCACCTATTCAGGTATTTTTATTAAAGGAGGAACAGATTCTGCAGATTGGGTGAAGTTTGATCACACGACGAAAGTTATCTAAGCACGCTTGACAGGGTTGCATGAAAGATCTACAAAATACACGCCAATATATATTTGTTTTCGTCTGAATGTGACTCACTTTTTCTGCTTCTTCTGTTTCAAGCAGATCTGCCTCTTCCTCTTCCACTTCTTCTTCTTTCTTTTCCATCTTTGAAGGATCTAACGAAAAGAATGTTTCAACACTTGGTTATTTCCTTAGAGGGCATAACCTTTTAAATAGTATGTCTGTGGAATGTAAACAGGCCAGATTTTAATTTTACACTGTTTATCTAAGCACCTTCTTTTTGTCTGTACGATGTGTTTCACAAGAAAACATCAGAAGGGTAAAAGAGAAGTAAACGAATATATAGTTTGGAGTTAGTTTGGACGCAGAGTTCTAAATTCAGTTCACGATTACATACTGTAGCCTACGCTTCTCTAAATGCAATACACACGATGCTAATTTGAAGCTCAGTCACTGACTACAAAAAGATGATATAAATACACTCATAAAAGAGGGGGAAAAGGAAACCGATTCAAGTCTCGATAAACGTAATATTTGAATTTCAAAAAAGACAAACGATCCAAGCAGTTTTGTGTTTTGGTTTGATTGAGACAATTCTCAAAACGAATTTGTAATGATTACAAACAAGAGACCAGTTGATATCAAACCTAAAAAAAAATTGAAAAATTTAAAAACACTTCTACTTTAAACAGTATGCGTATCAACAGGTTCATCGCATCCTTGTCTATCTTCAACTGACGACTGGAAATGGAAAAACAATTAAAATGTTTTCTTCTGTTCGCAGTTCCTCGCCTATCTTGCTCTACCCTTGTACACTTCCCTAAAGCGTACTAACTTGTAAATACTAAATTTAGTTACCTTGTAAAATGGTGATCTTCAATCCACCCTTCAAATCGCTCACAATTCGTGGAGGCAGTTCGCGCCTCGACAAGTTGGATACGCGCTCCTTTGGTTGCCTGCATGGCTCTTCGTTTAACTGCCTATCTCTGTGAGAACCATCCCTATGGGAGCCGGGGGATGCCATGCGGCCTCTCCTTTCGTGTACGCTCTTCTTGCTTCTCTTTGTCGGAGAGGACAACTCAGAGGAGTCATAATCTTCGCTTGAACTTTTCCACAGCTTTCTTTTTTGTGCTGGAACCGTCACGTACCTTTTCCGCGCTTTGGGTCGTTCAATGAGGGCGCTGGAACTATCTGCTTCATTTCGGACCACTTCTAGTTTAGGTGTTATCAGCTCTTCAGGCGTTTGGGTTGGCACACTGGTTGATGCTTGATTGTCAGTATTGCGAGTTACTTTCGATGACCATCGCTGTTTTAATTCAATATCGAAAGATCCATACTCTGTAGACGCAAAAAGGACAACATACGAATCATCAGTTGTTTACATGTGTCACACTCCTGGCAGACTAATGCTATTTTCACGTTACCATGCCTCAGAGTCAAGGTCAGGTCTTGACGGCTTAGTGGCCAATAAAAGCAAAAGCTTGTTCGCGGTTTCTGGTCTATTGGAGGCAGCCATCCCCTCCTAACCCCATCCCTACGTATCTTTTTATTTCCTCTTAGATTTTTACCCTTAGATGGTGGAAAGGGACTAGCCCGGGTCCCGTGCGTGGTCGCTGCTCTTCACACTGAACAAAGAAAGTTAAGTAACGAGTTGTGTCTGCACCTAAGCTAAGTATCTCATGCAGCCAAGGTGTTCCATAGTTTCTGACGCATGAGGTAACCAGGAGTCTTGAGACTCCCCCTAGATGAGATGCCAATCCATTGTAGGTCATACGGTTTCCTTGAAAAATTATTTGCCGATACCCATTTATACTCCTGGGAAGAGAGTGGCACTGAGCAATTAAAGTTTCTGACCAAAGAACACAACACAATGATAACACGCTAGGTGACCGCAATTCCAACAATTTGACAGGTTGAAAATGAAACAATTTCAACGAATTGAAGGAGCGAAAGGGCAGAATGTTTCAAACCTTATTACTCTCTCTTTGAACTAACTAATATCTTCGAGACTGAGAGCAGTAACAGAAATCAATTAAATGACCTCTTTCCACAGCAAAGAAAATAATGTCACATTTTAACATCAATTTTAAACTTTCGAATACTTTACCAGGAAGGTCCCTTTCTGGGGTTCCTTCATCAGATATATCACTGACATCGTCGTATTCACTCTCCCCTTTAGGCAACGTTTCCTGTGCTGTTTGGTGCGACGGCAAGCTACTGACACCATGTGCTCCAGTCTCGTTAGCATTAAGGGTTGAAGACTCTTCAGGGCCTCTTTCCTCAGTGCTTGTCTCAAAAGATCCTAAGTCAAGGAGCTGAACAACACGTAAGCCACTCTCCAAATGGATGGCTCTTTTCCTGGGGGAGCTCTTCTCTCCACCAAATATCAGTTTACTCTCTTCTGCAAAACCTTTAAGTGAAACCAATCCCTCATCAAAATAAACTCAATCCTAAGTACTGCATTGGTAAACAATTTAGTAAACAATACAGTAGGTTATGATAAAATAGTTCTCTATTTGGTGAGACTTTTTGACTCTCAATCTATACTCACCCTCTTCGTGAACATACGATTCATCAACCATGGCACTAGGATCTGGATTATCAGGGTTGCTATAGATGTCGACATCCTCTAGCTCCTCTTCTGCTTCCTGTTGCACTTCCCCTTGCTTCCCTTCCACCTCCTCCTCCAACCTCTCTACCTCCTCCTCCACCCCTTCTTCCTCCTCCTCCACCTCCTGCTCAAACCCTTCCACCTCATCTTTCAACTCCTCTTCCTCCTCCACCTCTCCTTCCACTTCCCCCTCCACATCTCCTTCCTCTTCCTCCTCCACCTCTCCTTCCACTTCCTCCTCCACATCTCCTTCCACTTCCTCCTCCACATCTCCTTCCACTTCCTCCTCCACCTCTCCTTCCACTTCCTCCTCCACCTCTCCTTCCACTTCCTCCTCCACCTCTCCTTCCACTTCCTCCTCCACCTCTCCTTCCACCTCCTCCTCCACATCTCCTTCCACTTCCTCCTCCTCATCTCCTTCCACTTCCTCCTCCACCTCTCCTTCCACCTCCTCCTCCACATCTCCTTCCACTTCCTCCTCCTCATCTCCTTCCACTTCCTCCTCCACCTCTCCTTCCACCTCCTCCTCCACATCTTCTTCCCCTTCCTCCTCCACATCTCCTTCCATCTCTTCCTCTATCGCCTTTTCTGCACCAGATCTGGACTCATGAGCATTCCTTCGAAGAATGTCATAGATCTTACTGACCGCTTTAGATCCCTTTCGTTCTGCTTCAGTTCGATAGGGTGTGGTGGGCAAACACAAAGGATGGTTGATGTCAAAAAGGTCAGAACTGTTTCCAGAGATGGACACATCACTGTGTTCATCAATACTTCCAGGAGGTTCTGTTACATGGGTTTTGGATTCCTTGTATTCTGCATCAGTGTGATATGTTGTGGTGGTTAAACCATTGGATGGTTTACTGTCCAAAACGTCTGTACTACTTCCTGAGATTGCTATGTCGCTGTGCCTATTACTTAAAACACCTGAAGGTTCTGTTGAAAGTTGAGAGATTGAGATTTGACAAGCAGAGGCATCAGCCAGAGGAGGGTCCTTAGCTTCAGTGCTTCTTTCCTTTGGTATGTCGTCCACATTGTCATCTTCTATCAAACCTACATTGTCAAGGTTTCCTGAAACATTACTGCATCCTTCTCTTGCTGGTTCAAGCACAATTTGATTTTTTTCATTGCAAATAGACTCGTGAGTTTGCAAAAGTTTCGTGGGTGATTCATTTGGCTCTGTCACATCCATTTGGTCCAACCCTGATGATAAGCCTTGCGTTCCTGCTTCATTTATTAATGACAATTTGATTGCTGATTCTGTAGGTTTCTCTAGTGTTTCTACCGCCTCGGTGCCTTCCTTTTCTGTCTCTCTTCTACTCTGGTCCACTCTTTCCATAGACTCCTTGGTTGGCCTGGTTTCAGTCACGTTCTCCTTCATAGGCATTTCTTTCTTGTCTTTTTCGCTACCTGTTATCTCTCTGTCCTCTTTTGAAGAGTCGAAAACTGTCATCTCTGAGTTGCTTGTTGCAGCATCAGTTTGGTCTCCTATTTGAGTGCTAGAGTGCTGTGCTTTGTTCATCGTTCTGACATCATCTGCATCGTTTTCATTTTGGCCCTCTTCAGCACCTTTCTGCCACTTTGCAAAACCGAGATGCTTGCTGTTTCCTTGCCTTGTCTCGTCTTTTTTAGGGTCTTCATCCTTTCTAAGAATTGTGGTTGCCAACTCCTTTGAATATCTTTGCTCTGTAGGTTGTGGAAACATTACGTTCGCATAGCCTTTAGCGCCTCCGCTGGGGGCAGAACCAGTTTTAATCGGAGCAACCCAGAATCCAATAGGACCTGGTTGTCGTGGTGGAAACTGAGGCACTGAAGGCCCTGCACTATACATGGGATGCACAGGCATCTTTTGTAGGGCTCCAGGAAGACCACCTCGATGAGGGTGTCCTGGCCCAGTGGGAGGTAGGGGAGGAACACTGAACCTCTGAACTGGTATTTGTGAAAATCTTTGGGGTGGCACAGGAGGCATCTCTGGCACTGGTCTCGGAAATGGCACACTTGGTGGGAAAACATGATGAGGTCTACCAGCTGTTGGTGGAAGACATGGTGGTGGAAGAACAAGCCTCGGATGAGGAGTGTTTGCAGGCCACCGTGGCACCTCAGATGGAGAAATTGGTGCAATGCCTGGTGGAGGTGGCATATTCGCAGGGAAGGCAAACCTCTGATTGGGTTGAAGAGGAGGTGTCCACTGCTGTTCATGGTGCTGAATGGTTGGATGCGAAGGTAGAGGTGGAAACGATGAGCTGCTAGGTGCAGGCCGAGGTGGTAGGGAAGTGGGTAAAGAAGAAATAGGTGTTGGTGAGATGGGAGAGTATGGCACAAACGTTGTGCCTGGTGGTGGAGGGGGAGAACCAAAGGGCAGGGTTCCACCAGGAGGCGCAGATGAGACTGATGGAGTCTGAAGTGCTGGTTGAGGACTTGTGCCAATAATTGACTGAGGTAGGAAAGGGGATGAAAATGGTGCAGAATGAACTGGTGGTGGATTTGGCTGACTTGTGCATGGTCCCATGCTCAATGTACTCCTGTAGGGCCCTTGAGGAAGGGGAGGATTGAATGGAAAACTCGATGACGCTATGGCAATCGGAACTGTTGAAGGAGTACTTGCTGGAGTTCCTACAGAGTGGTAACGTCCTTTTGAGGAAACCACAGTTATAGGACTAACTGATCCTGTTGGTGTGGTGCTTTGGGGACTCAAATCCATGGATACAGGTGACTTTCTGTCCCCTTGGATATCAGCTTTTTCCTCGTGCTCTGTTTCCTGAGACCGTTTTGTCACCTTAGGCTCTGGTGTTTGATTATGTTCATCACCAGATGATTGTGCAGAAACCTCTCTGGAGTCTCTCTTCTTAAGAATCAGTGTCAACTTGGGTTTTTTGGGTGGCGCATCAGAATTTGATTGTGGTCTTGTCAGGACATCGCAAGATGGAATTGCCGGAGGTGGGGCCTCAGACAATTCTGGTACAGCAGTCTCCTTGACTGGCTTACTATTGGCTGGTGTTGCCGGACCTTTAGGAGTACTTTTGTGCTGTTTTGACCCCTTCGTTGGAGAGTCTTCCATAGCTTTCTTTTCAGACCTTACAACAGGTGTCTGTTTTTCTTCCCTTCGCTTCTCGATACTTTTCAAGTTTCGCTCTCCAGATGATTGTGCGGACAATACTGATGCATTACCTTGATATGTTTGAGATCTTTCCCCTTTCACCTCTGTTGAACCCACACTACGGCTTCTCTTTATGGACTTCTCATCAATCGTTGAAGACATCGACGTACCAGCAGTTTTTGCTCCCTTTGCAGCGTCTTGTGCCTGACGTTTCACACTCTGCGACTCTAATTGATTCTTCATCAAGTCCAAGGTTTTTCTTATACCATCAATCATGGTGGACATTGATTCTTCAGGCTTCTGTGATTTCAACTTGTTTAACAGCTCTCTTAGAAATCCGCTGTTTGGGCTTGATTCTTCAGGTTTCTGTTGTTTCACCTTTTCCACAAAATTTCTTAAAACCTCACTGTTCGATTGATAATTCGTATTCGATTGCTCAGACATTGGAAATTTTACCTTAACCAACAACTCGTTCAGAAATTCACTATTGATTTGATACTTGTTCTGTTGATTAGCAGCTGTTATTGGTGATGTATATGCAACTGGAGCAGAATTCGGTTTCACTCCCCGAGCTTGCAGCGACGCTTGCGCATTAAAAGGCACACCATGGCCACTTCTGCTAGATGACGTGGCTGGCTCACCGTCAACAGAGCGCCTCAATCTCGGATCTTCCCTGTGTTTTTCTTTCCTCACAACAAGAGCTGGCGAAGGTAACACTTTGTCTTTCTTAGCCACGTCATCCAGTTTGAACTGTTGCAATGAGACATCAGCATGCTCTCCGAGAAAACCTTGATTTTTCTCTACATTTCCTTCATGTCTTTCAAGTTCATCTTGCTTTCCAAGGGCTACTTTCTGTTTCTCTGTGTTGGGTGTTCCAATTGGGATGTCTTGTTGTCCAGAAAACACTCTGTGCTGTTCCATATTTCCACTAGTTCTAAAATTCACATCTTGTTTCCCAGAGAACAGTCTCTGTTCCTCGTTATTACCACTTGATCTTGCACGCACATCCTGAAAAGGCAAATTTGGGACTACTCTGGGACCAGGAACATAAGTAGGAGCTGAAGAGGATTGAATTGTCGACTTCTGAAAATCTCCATCCATGCCTCCTAAAGGGTGTGGCCTGCTAAGCCAACTTTCCACTCTACGCTTCCATGTCACCGTTTGCTCGTTTGTCAAACCCTTATCACACGACACAAAATCAGGAACATCCTGCCTTTCCATGTGACTGGATGCCGGGGCAGCTAATGGTCTCGCAGAATCTAAACTGTGCCGTCTCGGTTCATTGAGCTTCTCCATGTCATCAACCTTTGTACTCAGATGTCTTTTCAGTTCCTTTTGAATTTGACTTACTCCCAAATCATTTGCGGTTACTGAGCCACTTTTCGCCGTGTTGATAACGTTCTCTACGAGGAGACGTAAGAAGAAAATAGCATAAGTATGACATCAGGAGCAACACAAATTGCATAGATAAGTAGCGGTCTACAAACACATCCAAATAAGGATTAGGACATCACTGGAAAAACAGGTACACCGAGAAATACCCAAAACTACGTCTGCATCCAGAGAACTTTTGTCACGTTGTACTATCTACAAGGAAAAAAATGCTTGCTTCCAAGCCTTTGTTTCCTCCATTAGGATTAAGGACCTGGTATTTGAGTGCTTACTTCCATCTGTTACTACATGAAATAATATATAGATTTAGCCAAGCCTAAAAGCGGAGCTCGCATTTTTTCCCCCGCACGTCTCAAGGGCACAACGCCTTACCCCGGCCAGGACTAGAACCCGGGTCGTCCGACTCGGAGCCCAGTGCACTGACCACTGGACTACTGAACAAAGCCGTGGCGTTGGCGTGCCCGCGGTACAGTTGACCACGCATGCTAAAAGTAGCACCTTGTACGGTCGTACGGTCGTACATCCATATTTTTTCGACAATCAAATGCAATCAAATGACGAGTTCGTAGACGAAACAAATTTTAGTACATCACGTAGCGTGTCGAAAGTAAACACAAATCAGTGTTTTTTCCCTGAATAAGGTAATGCGATAAATCTATGTTCATTTTTCATGGATGTTGTGTTGGATGTCACCACTGCTCCCTTTTCACACACCACTTGAATCTTTTAACTTCCAGAAGTGATAAAAATGTAAGTTCTCCCTACAATATCCATACATTACCCAACACAAAGGTAATGAGAATACCCAAACTTGTCAGGTAAAAGTGATGATCCTGATCTAACACCAAATTTCGATAACTAATTTGCGAGAGTAAGTGTTGTAGCTAAAGAGGAGAATTAACAATGAATCAGATCTAGGGAGTTAGAGGGTTGAAGTAGTTGTTTACCTTCATAAATAAAATTTTTTCTTATTTCTTAAAATCAAGTGAATAATTACACAGTTGTATGATCTGAGCATTGAAACACACACTTACCTCTGCCAGTTTTCTGTTTCTTCGCAAAGAGGAGAGCATGAAGTGTTGCTGGTGAATCTACTGTAGTAATGCCTAGGAAATAATCAATTTTGTAAGGACTTTTGGTTCCATAGCCATTCAGTATAGGCACAAAAAAGGCTAAAACTTCAAGCCGCAAGTCCAAAACACTCTCATCACAAAGGGAAAATAAAGCAGCTTTCTCAAATTCCTTTGGACAGTTACAATGTAATTAACATCTAAAATTACATGATCAAGCTATTTTAAGTAAAAACAAAGAAAATAGCAGTAAAAAAAGATACATTGTAAGGTGATGCTCTTCACACACCATGTAAAAACCTGTCTAACCTGTCAGAAAAGTTAAGAACACTTTAGGAAAAACACCCACAAGGCTATAGGATGATCACTCACCAAGGTCCAAAGTGATTTGAGAGGTTGGAATAAGAAATATTACTCTATTGGCATCTGGATTTTTGACAATTCCAGCCTTAAAAAAACAATGTCGACAAAGAGAAAAAAGTATTAAGAAATATTACACAGTTAGTTGATGTAAATGAACAGAATTTACTAAAATTTGAACTTTACTTATTGTGAAAATTACAAAACAAATGAACATATCTGTCTCATATTTCTATCACAACTACAATTTGTTATATTGATCAGCAAGTAGCATAACTCAGGACAATTGATCCTCATTCCAAAGGGGTTTTGTTTTGCTAGTACTGGTGTGGCAGGTACAAATCTTCCCTACTTTTGAGGGGGTTTAAGTTTAGTGTCCAGGATCAGACTCCTACAGCAGTGGTGTTGATTGAGATGTTGACTTTGTGAGACTTGCTTCTCTTTGATGTTTTCACCACCACCAAACAACTGATATGAGCAAAAAATCTCACAACAATCAAAGATTCCAAGTATTTAGGGTTCTATCTGTGCGTTTTGTAATTCATCATGTTGCTTACCCAATTTTTCTCCTGGAAAAACTTAACAAGTTTTCTAATTTTTCCATGGTCATCTTCAATTGGAACTAATTCACAATGCAAAAAGCTTGTCCCACCAGCTAAAGATGCTAAAAACACAACAACAAAAAACTAATTATATTTGGAACTATAAGAAGAAATCAATTTATTACAATGTCAGAGCCTACATTCACTGGAAAATAAAAATAAAGAAAAAACAAGAAAACCCCAAAAAATTGAAACATCTTAAATACTGGAACACTACCCTGCTTTGTGTCTGTTTTCTTGTGAGTGAGCTTGTCATTGGTTGCTACTTACATGGGAGCATTACTCAACCCACCAGCTCACTTTCAAAGTGGCAGCCCCTGGTTATACCAGGCACAGAATATACATCACATAATGCAGTTGTTAAATTTTTACAAACTTTCCTGTTATTATTTAGAAAGTCTTACATCTTTCTGATAAATGGAATGAAGAAGGTGAGCAGGTGAAGGTTCCTCCTAGGGATGAGGACCAAAGTAAATGATTCTCTCTTCAAGGATAACATGAGTTTTCTATTTTTAAGACAAAGGCCATGTAAAATTTAGAAAAAAAAATTTCATTCAAAAATAAAAAAACATTACCTTTGCACACTCTAGACACAGAGGGTGGACCAGAGCGAAAAAGTGGGAAAGTCAAGAATGGTCTCAGCTGCTGAAAGGAGATTTTCTCCTTCATAACAATCTTCTTACCACTGAAAGCAAAAATTTTGCATCATGTAAACATGTGTTGATGACAACATTGACAACTTGATGAAAGATTGCTTTACAGTAAGAAAAACCTTCATAGATCAATAATAATCTGACCTAAATAAAGTAAATCTTGCTTAGTGAAAAATGTCAATCTCAAAAAACACAGCCAATAACATGCAGATTACCTACTTCAACAAGAGACGTGTTTCCAAGCCAAAGTAGGTATAGTGTCAGAGGAAAATGGGAAGCTTTATGAAATATCTTACTGATTGGGTGCATATTAAATTTGACAGTTTTTTTCCAAAGATCAACAGCTGCAACATGACCAACAAATGAAAAGGTCTCTCGCCAAAAATGGTTTACTTCACCAACACTCAATCATTGCTAAATTAACTTACATTTCAAAGGGAAGCTTGATTTTCTGTACAGAATGACAAACAAGCTGTGCATCAGCCAACAATCTGTCCTTGTTTGTGATCTTCCCCGTCCAAACAACATGGCTACTTCTTCCCCTTCTCTTTTCTGGAATTCCTAACCATAATAAATTTACATCATTAAGTGTAACGTGCCACTCATGCATTACCGTCTAAAAATCAAATCCTTCTTTTTAAGTGTCAAATGGTTTACCAGGGTTCTAAACAGGATAAAAACTAAGTGTCTGCCCATCGCGATTATTCATAGTCATTTTTTTCAAAGTCGCCAACTGGAAAAGTTAAATCATAAAATGGTTGCCAGAAATAAAATTTGGGTGCAAAATGAAAAGAAAAAAAATCAATTATACACTGTTAAAATACTAAAAGGTGCCACCTTCTTTTGAGAACCCTGGCCTACACATTTAAAAAAGAATGAGGTGACATACAATATAATTTCAAAGTTTAACTTACTTGTCTCGCGTCTTACAAAACTTTTGGCTGGCAGTGAAAACCCACTATTGTCCACACCTGGAAACTCCTCCTAACAAAAATGCATAAAATCAGAAATTGTATGATAGAGAAAAAAGCTGACAAACATTACATTTTGCTTTCACCTCACCTGCGCAATGGATGATTCTTGATGAGGACCCAATGAATCCCCCACCAAAAAAGTGATAACAGCATAAGGAAGACAATGTCGCGGCCTTTTTACATGCAGGTCATCACCTTCCTCAGCAAACTCGTAGAAATAATACTGTTTAAAAAATAAAAATAAAAAAATTTCATAGACATATAAATTTCTCAAGGCATTAATAAAAAACATCAGTTAACAGCACAACTTAATCCATGCTTAATTTTCCAAGGGAGAAGTCTGCAGTAAAAAAAATATTATAAAATTTCCTAGTTGCAATAAATCCCCAGAAGCAGCAACCCCTTGAAAGTGATAAAACAGCCCTCTAACGGCCTGAAATTGTCATGTTGTTACTTTTATTAGAGCTGCTGTAGTTCTTAACCCGATCAAACAAATCAAGTAGTACAGGGAACAAAAGTTGACTGAGATTGTGTATTTAGCGACTGAGTGGGAGGGCCATGTGGGAAAATATTTGGCTCTTGGTCAAGATGTACAGACCTCGCTGCCATCTGCCCCACTTTAAACCATTCAATGAGCATTTCATCATAAGACTACCACCCCCTCTTTTTTCCTTCATGTTTTTGCTCCTTGTTTTGGCTTTCCGATGCCAAACAGCTTATTCTGCCCTACTCAAGCCACTGTACATGACCCAAGGAAGGGAGATATTATACAATGTTTTTCATTAAAAGCATAAACAAGGCTATATAGGCTATGTGATGAGTTTAGTTACCACACATAAACAAACCCTACCACACAAATGATGTCCTTCAAACCCACCTGTGAGTAATCAAATACTTGGTTAAGTGGGCTGTTTGCTTGAAGATTCTGAAGGGATCTTGAAACATGGCAGTCAAAGTTTGGTGTTGGCTCAAGCAGGTCACCAGCAGTGGCTGCATTCCGCTCTGTAACTTGTTTTACCTTGCCCTGTAAGGTAAAAGGAAAAAAGAAAAGATATTAATGCTCCAAAATATACACTTCCTACAGTTTCACAACCAAAGAATATAGCAGTGCTTTCAGTAAGTTTTGAAGTACTTTTGACCAATCTTGTGGTTAAAGGAAATACATGATACCTTAAGAATTTAAGGTTGCAATGTACTGCAGAACACTTAACCCTTTAACTCCCAGAACAGGTTTGTAATTCTCCTTACTGTCAACCATAAAATTCTTATAATGTTGGTTCAGAGAATTTAGTATTGGATCTAATCATCCCCAAATTGATATTTTTCTTTATTCTCGTCACTTATCTGGTTGACATTGTATTGATATTGTAAGGTGAAATTCTGTCTGAGTCACTCATGGGAGTTTAAGGGTTAAAGGATGATTTTTAGTCAGCAATGAGTTCCTTTAAACAATTTAGACTGCACACAAACCTTGATGACTTTGAAAACTATAAGGTATCCCAGAGAACCTTGAATAAGAGGTTTCCTGGAAATGACGTCAGCATGACGGCCAAGATACACACCTGAAGTTTTAAATGTAAACACAAAGAAACTGCATGATCAGTTGTAAATATTACGAATCATTAAGAATGATTAATATCAATTTCACCATAACATTGTCAGTGCCTTGTCTAATTAACAAATTGACAATTTTCCATTACCAAGTATTTCTTCGAGGTTATTCATCTTTCAACTTTGCAAACTGAGAACTGGACTTTCTATTTCTACTTCTCTTCCTCTACTTTTTTCCCCTCACGACAAGCTCTTCTACAAAAATTTCTAAGTCTACCAGTCTTAAAACTCAGAAGTTTGTTACTATCCATATCTCAGAAATTTGCAATTGTTTTCACAAGATAAATTTTTTATCTGACATGGCGAGGATTGTCGAGCATTACATCACACCATCTTTGTTGTCTATAATCTTATTTACAATAGTTCTTGGCCGATGAGAGCACAAGAATTTCTACAGTAAACCATTATTATGACAAAAAACACATACCCATTGATGGATCTCCCAAACATGATAATGATGTTGAACCAACCTCCAATCCATTTTCACATATTTTTCTTGCCTGATATAACAAAACCAAAATAGGTTAACACAATACTGAAATGAAACAGTGTTTCCCTACCTCCCTTCACAATAATTTATTTTGCAGAAAGAATAAACTTTTTCACAGCAATTCAAGCTTCAACCATAAATGTTGGATGCTGAACATTTGTCAAGGATAACCATGCCCTTTACATCCTAATTTTCTCCATACTGTTCTCTTTACATTTCCTAAGTAGCTGTCAAGGAGAATTTCTTTAACAGTCAAGAAGTTCTTTAGTTGGTGATCATTTCCTTAGTCTTGTGACCTTTATGCGTAATTCAAGGATGACAATGTACAACGAAATGAGAAACTAGTCACTCTTTAGGACTCAAGAGTAAATGCAAATGACCAAAATATTTGGCAAGGAAAGATTTTGGAATAACCCCATGCTAATCTAAAACAAATCCTTTGTCCCAGAGGTAAGCTACTAGTTCTGTCATTGCTTTCTTTTATCAAAGCATTGTAAACCTAATGAAGATGAGGGCTAAACAGAATTCTTGCCACTAGGCCTCAAAATTTGCCTTCGCATCTTTGTGCCAAACACAAAATCAAACAGCTGGTGCCCAGAATGAGACAAAACAGGCTTAGAGTTTGTTTCCCTCCATATCATAATGCTATGAGCTTGATAAATGTCAACTTATGAAATAAGTCATCAGATTTATTTCTGTGCAAAACCATTCCTAGAAATAACGAAACCAGATTTCTCACGTAATACGTAACGAGGCAATTATCGGAAGCAGCTGGGATGTGATGAAAAATTATTTGCTCCTTTAAGTATCAAACTAACCAAGGACACCAGTTTGGTTCATCTAAAATCTATTTCGCTTCTCTATTCAACTAGAGGCACAACTAAAGTTTATCAATAGCGATTACTACGAGAGGAATCGAAATTTTTCACAAAATTGTCCACTCAAGCATTTTCAATTCATCTAAAAATGGAAGTCTGAATAATTTTAACAACAATCGTTCAAATAAACATAGCAAGTTTCTTTCGAGGTCAGGGATTCATGAAATCGTTTTGGTTAAATTTTGTCTCCTTGTGAAAACATTAGACGTTTGTGGAACAAAAAAAAAACATTTCACTTAAGTTATCCTGTACTTTCACTTGTAGCGAAGCTTGTGTAAGAAAACGAAACACTCGCTTAATTTTGCAAAAACCGCATCGCATGCCATAAAAAGTATAATTGAGCTTAGCTATTCAAACCTCTTCACGATCAACAGTGTAGAAGAACGCATGTTTGTCTTCAAGTTCTTTAGAATTTCGCCATTCGTTCCGCATAGACTGTTTTTTATCCTGGTACTGTTGATTAAAACAAAGCCCAAACAAAGATCAGAAGATTGCTGTGGAACGTTGTTTAAATAAATCCATAGCTTACTTCGGACTTGGAATGATTAATGATCCAAACTCACTCACTGAATGAATGGAACGATTAATAATCCAAACTTACTCACCTCTCGGGACAGCTGGTCATTAAATACAAGCTCTAGCTTTTCAAATTTCAGGGTAGCGCCAACCACAGGATCTCGATATGATTGCGCGACATTGCGAAGTAACTCCTTCCCCTCTCTAGTATCAAAACTGGAATGCTGAAGAAGTTCTTTAAAAAAGAAATGCCAAAGTCAAACCAGATCAGTGTTTAAGGGCCGCAAATACACCCCGTTCTGAAGGGTTTTTACGCAAAACTAACGATTAGCATAAAGGCGAGCAAGAAATTTTAGCACGTTTAAAAGTCACACCACTGATCAAAAATGCTTTAGCTCAAAGATCATGATTAACTTACCATTTGCTTGCTTTTTCTTTCGTGGGATGACAAATCCACCCTTCTTTTGAAAAGAAGACCGTACCCGCTGCTTTCCTGTAGTATTTGTACCGCTATTTCCTGGCAAATTTAAACGCACAGCGAGCGGAATGTCATCTTCCGAAACTTCTGTAATCGACCCGTCCTCTGTTCGTTCAGAATCGTTGTCCAAATTCAACGCTTTCGGAGCAAGCATTTTCTTCAAATAATTGCAATAGAGTTTTCTTTTCCCTATGTATGCTCCTCATGGCTTTTAAACAGTGTTAATAACCTACATTTCGCAAAGAAATCAGCGCATTCCTGTCCGATCCTATGCTTTGTAATGACCTCGTGAGCCTCACTTTACGTCTCTTACCAAGGTTTCTCAAAGAACTTCGGGACAAGCGCGGGAATGGTAGTTATGCTTACTCTCCGGGGGAAGGGTGAAGTAATGAATCTCTTCTTTTCTTTCGAATCCCCCGAGCATGTAAAAATTTGTGCTTGAATATACATTTTTATAACCTAACCTCATAAAAAATAAATAAATAATTTCTATCGACGTTTTCTTCTTTATTTCAATAACTTTACCATTTGAAGCGCAAAACTCTCACCACTATCCTAGGGGAACAAATGTAATGCTGCTAACGCAGCCAGGCCTTGTTGATAGTAAAAACGTATCGCTTCGCCTTTTCATCACAATTTAACATCATCTTTGCACGATCATCGAGCACCAATCACGGAGCACAATATCTACTGGAAATCACACGAGAAGTAAGTGATTACAAGCCCTCTTCTAAGATCTAGTTTCCTCGTACTTTTGTTGTTCCTATACTTGCTTCGAGGGATTATTTCGAGAAATATGGTGACCACTTCTTTTTTTTTGCAAAAAAATGCAGTTCAGGTCGTATCATTGGTACATTGTTTTATATCTATTTTCAGTATCAATTGCGTTCTCCAATAGTGACATAGTCATTATAGTAGTTCTACCCGTGTCTCCGGCATTTCTCCTCTATTTCACGAACTTAAGACCTTTCGAGTCATGTTGCATGTTGACGAAGGCAAAGCCCGAATCAGCTCGCACGAAAGCGGAAATCCAGTTGTTTACGTATAAATCTTTTACTCGTTCAAACTTTTATTACAAGACAGGCTGATGTTTTAATGTTATTTTGTGCATACTCACTGTACTATGCTTTCGACAAGATCAGCTTATGAGTTCGAGATCTCGCTTGCGTGCAGTGGATGAGAGCGAAGCCAGAATGAGCTATCGCGCAAGTAAATCGAAAGCGAATAATCTAATTGTTTCAGTATGGAGCCAATGGTCGTCCAAATCTTGACAATATGACAGCCTCTGTAATTATTATTATTTTTTTTGTTCACAGCCACACATTGTGAGGCTACTCAAAACCTCTTTAACAAAGGGATTCCGTGCTTCCGTTCGTCTGTACAGTAGTGTACTTGATCATAAATGACGTCACGAACTGTCATACACAGCTGCGCCTTCTGTGCCACTTTTTCGTTCTTACCATATTTTGACGTCATCTGTGATCAATACTATACAGATGCATAGAAACACAGAAACCATATAGTGAGTGGCATCGCAGTGTGTGGTTGTAAACAGTGTGGTGTTCAGTGCAGCCTTTCGTTGCTCTACTTTCCGTCCGTATTTTTCCTTTTTGCAGAGATAGATTAGCATAATGAGGAATAACTGTTGATGTAGATAATCTCACAGAAATCTAAATAATCAGTACTAATTCGAAAAGAGCATGCTTGTTGCAAGTGATAATTGTAATAGTTGTTATATCTCATAGGAGCAAGTCTTAAAACATGGACAAAAGTGAGTGTAACCTTTCCACCCCTTCACGAAGCAGCTTTAAATGGACATATCCCATGCTTGGAAATACTGATTGAAAACGGTGCAAATCTGGAGAAAAATGAAAACCAGTTTGGCACTGCTCTGCATGTTGCCTGTCTGCAGGGTCATGTTGGATGTGTGAAAGTTTTGCTTCAGGTTGGGGCAAACCCTAATTCCATCAGAAGGCATCGAGTCCCCTTGCATGCCACTGCAATGAACGGAGACGAGGTCTGTACAGCTCTAATTCTTGAGTTCAGAGCTAATGCTTATCTAAGAGACCTAGAGAGCAAGAAACCTGTTAACTTAACAACTAATGAGGCATGCAAAGAGATGCTTTTTGAAGCTGGTAAGGATTTAAAACTAATTTTAACCCTTTATTCCCATGAGTAACCAGGACAGAAGTTCTTCTTACAATATTTATACAATATCAAAGAGGAAAATTGATGATAATGAAGAAAAATATCAATAAGAAGGTAATTAGTCTACCCAATACCAGATTCTCCAAACTAGTAGCATAAGAATTGTATGGCAGACAGTGAGGAGAATTTCTAATGAGATCTTGCTTGTGAAAGGGTTTAATAGTTGATACTTGTATTTATAAACTAAGTGAACTGTAATTAAAAGAATCAATGCAGATTAAAGGAAATGTTCCTTTAGATTAAGAAATAAATTAAAAAGAGCTGTGTTGAATCACACAAAAACACACAATTTTGTGATACAACAGGACCAAATGAATGGGCGCATCCTACTGTGATATTTTTCCATATGTTTATGAACTCTATTTTAATTTTGTTCCCAAAAAATCCCTCCCAACTTCTTCAAAGCTGCCGTTGTCTCATCAGGCAACAGCTGTCATGCCCACCTAAAGACAAGATCCCTGTCCTACCCCTCCCTAGAAGCCTCAAGGATTACCTGAATCACTATAACTATTGCATGGACCACAACTGTATACAGCAGGAATGTCTTAATTTGCCTTACACAATACCAGTTACAAATTTAAAAGGCACTTGTGGATAGCTCATTTTTTTGAGTTTTTGAAGGCAGTTGAGAGTCAGTGAAAGGATCACCTATTAAGTAAACCACTCTGACCATTGCATGGACCATGGTTTACAGCAGTGATGTCTTTAGTTGCCTTGCACAGTGCTGCTCAAGAGTTGAAAAGGTGTTTTTTGGTAGCTTATTTTCCAAGTACTAAGAGGCAAGGATCAGTGAAAGGATCATAAAAACCTGAATCACTATAACTATTCCATGGACCACTTTGTTATAAAGCAGTGATGTCTGAATTTGTCATGAGCAATGCCACTCATTAGTTAAAAAGGCATAGCTTGTTTTTTAAGTTTTAGGAGGCAAGGATCAGGGAAAGGATTACTTAAACCACTATAACTATTGCACAGACCACCACTTTATAAAGCAGTGATATCTGAATTTGCCTTGAGCAATGCATCCCATTGGTTTAAAAGCCTTTTGATAGCTTGTCTTCTAATTTTTTCAGAAGGCAAGGATCAGTCAAACTTTGTTAAAAAGCATTGGAGTTGTTTCGTAGAATTAAAATTTATTGGGTGGGAAACAAAAAAGAGGGAGATTATTTGCCAAAAAAATAGTTTTAATGAAGTCTATGGGAAGACATATGCCATTAAAGACATTAAATTTTAAGGGCATTCAATACTTAAGCAACTAAATGTGAAAGTGATCTCGAACAAGGTTGCAATGAAGAAACAGCCCTGAAAATATCCTGGAATCATAAATAAAATGCTAGGAAATGGAAAATATACAGAAGTAATCCTAAGATGAGAAGGAACGGAATTTATTAAGAGTAATTTGTTGTGAGACAGGCATGTATGAAAATTGACATAACCAGTCATAGGAAGCCACTGGAGGATTTACAATACATAATATTTTCCCTGACCATTTCTTATCATCCTTTTTCAATTTAACCCCTTACACCCAAACATCAGTATGCATATCCTCCATAATGTTCTCTATACATTTCCTAAGGTGCTGACTAAAAGAATTTGCTTAACAATAAAGATAATTTCCTTCATTCTTGTGACTGTTGTGTGTGATTCAGGGGTGAGATATTGTGAAGAGACATTAGATGCTAGTCACCCCCAGATATCAAAGGATTTAAAGTATTTTTTGCTAGTATAACTGGAGAAAATTCACTTCAATGAATTTTAAATTTATACTAGCTTCATCAATGATAGAATAGTTTACTACCTGAACATTTGCTATTTTTCCAATACTTTGCTAATGCTATGTGTATCTTATTACAAGCATTAAAATACATGTTGTAGCTTACTAATTTTGTAAATTATATAATTTTTGTATCAGTTTTAAGCAAATTAGTAAGTGCAACTATGCTTTTAAAACGTAGAGGTGACTGTGTGTAGCTTTTATTTAATTGGGTACTTAGTGTAAATTCGATGGTTCAATAAAGCAAGTTTAACTGATGTGGACAACCGTTTTTTTCTTTTTTTTTATTTTCATGTTAAGGCCTTTTCGTACACACAAGGGTTTCTAAAAGGGTTTTTTTGTGCGCTCTATGTAATATACATATTTTATTTGTCGTTGTTAACTATATCAAAGCAGAAAGTGCCTTGCAAAGCGGGCCTACGTGAAAGCTATACAACGAGCAGTTCCTCCTTTCTGGTGAAGTTCGATGGGGGTGGCTATCGTTTTGGGGCTGAATCTTTTTTCTCGCGCACCGGACTTCGTCGAAAAAGAGGAACTACCCGTAATCCACGTGAAAGTTACACGATTACCTCAACTGTTGAGACGTCATAACATGTACCGTGTTTCAAATCTTTTAAACGCACGTAAACATCGGCGAAGGATGCCTAAAGTGCACGTAAGTGTACAAGAGTCGCCGAGGAAGAATGAACGTGGAAAGACCCAACGGAGGCGAGAGTTAGTCACTTCGTTTGCAACTTTCGTTATGATTTAAATTTCAAAGGCCATAGAAGGTGGATTTACCGTGTCGCGTTAGTTTTTCGTACGTACAACGTACGCACGTAAACGCCTTGGAAAAAACTTGAAATGGAAATATGACAACGTCTTGTCAACGGTTGCGTTTATGCACGTAAACGTTCAGTTCAAAGTACGTATTTTTTTTTGTTTCAGGACGAAAACGCGACAATAGAAATCTAGCTTAAAGACGGCAAGAGTAGGGAATTGCGACAACTTTCACCATCGCTAAACCTGGGAGAAGGAGAACCTTTTTCTATGCCTGTGCCGGCACGAAATACATGAAGAGGTATTGATATAAGAACATCTGAACAGAAATTGCTGGTTAAGAAACGCTGCGAGATAGACTTACATATAACTTGACCGAAAGGGTGGATATTACATTCTTTAAAATTTCAGAAGTACATTTTAAAAACAATTTGATGGTAGTAAGTTCATTTAAAAACAAAAAAATGTCGCATAAGGTTTCTCGAATTTCAAGTGCTACCTTTACAAAATTTAATACAATTAGATAAGATCGCAAAATATGAAAAGAAAACTAATACTGTCCTCTCTGCGAACACGTAAAAAGGGGTCACCGCAGGAAAATGCCTGGTGACTCGTATTTTTCAATTCTAATACCAAATTTAATCAAGAACAAGAATTTGACAAATTCTGGTTCTAGAGAAGAAGGAAATTGTCCGAAGCTATTTATAAGACGAAGAATTTCTCATCCCAAAGATTTTATTTAAACGTGAACTGAAACAAAACACAATACGAGACGAACAACTGTAAACGACGTGTCAAAAACCTCAAAAAAAACTTTTTTACAGCACTTATATATACACAAAATTTTTGTATGTACTATGTAAGAAAGTCGTATGGCTTTGAAACCAAATTTTCATTTAAGTTTATGGCTCATTATGTGGATAAACTAAATTTTTCCTAAATCACATACCTACGATTATCACTTAAATTTCCAAAGCATTATTTATCAATTTGATCACTAACATTACAAATGCAATATATTATTGCGTGTTATCATAAAATATTTTTCTTTTTAGAATATATTCGCCAGATATTTTGTAGGATATTACTGCTTGAAACGACAAGGAAAATCGGTCGCCAAGCGCTAATATGCATCAAATTTTTTTTACCAAAGAGATTTACTCCACGTTATCGAGGTGCAATGGTTGGCTAGAAGATATGCGTGCATTCTGACTTGACCAATCAGAATAAAGCGCTGTTTCCAGAGCCAATCAGGTGCTGTGCAAGCTAAGACTCACCGATTACCCGTGATTTTTTCCGCGCTTAGACCCATCGCTGTTTTTCATAGAAAAGGCGACGATCAGCTCTATTGATAGTTGAGAGGAAATTGCTCTAGTTTTTTTAGTATAAATTACAAGACATAAACAATATTATGGTACAGCTCGCTATAAAGTAGAAGAAATATTTTGTTACCGAAACCTGTCGGTGCGTCCGAAGAATCATGACTATTTTACCCGCGAAAGCAACGACTGTTTTTTTTGTTCGTTGTTGTTGTTTTTCACAATCCGCTTTTCTTCGCAAAAATTGAACAAGAAAAAAAGCAGGCAACTTTAGCATGGTAAATGCGACCTCATAATTTAAATCACTCCAAAATGGAGAAAATTCGACCCATCTCACTTCCTTGTGAAACCTAATAGGAAAATTAATAAACCTCTTTGATGTTGTAAATGTCCTAGCTAGGATTCAGTTCTGTCAACGCATCTCATACCAAAATTACAATAGCATCAAACGATGATGGAACCAGTGCTGGTGATATTTTGGACACTCATTGCCCCCACATAAACAATTTCCAACTGCTGTACAATCCGTGTAATATCCACGGAATTCATTCTTAACTAGCCGACCTCAGCGCGTACGGACTGTCCAGAATTTGAGGTGTTGCGTGACTTGAAACCCTGCGTAACATCAGAGATAAGTCTTATAGTTCTCCGGACAAGGTATCACGCTTCGAATAGCGTTCAACCATTGTTTTTTCTCCTGTTCTGTGGGAGCTTGTAACGTGTGTGATTGACCATTTTCTGCATCTGTACTTGATACTCGGAAAACGTGTTTGGCTGTTGAAAAAAATTCAACCATTAATGGTGTGCGGGAAAAGTTTGTGAAAAGGGCACTAAGCAGATTTTTATGGCCCATGGAAGATGGCTTTCATAGAACAGTTGATTGCGAAATTATTTATTTAGAGATAGTAAACAGAGCCTCTTTCCATCTTAATAACAAGACAGTCACGGAAGAATTTTAGCTGCGACAAACGCTGAAGTCTTAATCACTTGAAGGTTAGTGAACACATTTAGAGTGGCTTCTATTGCATTTTCTCGTTAGAATTTGTACTTTCATGGCAAAACAAAGAAAACGCTATCTCTTACCTGTACCAAGTCTTGAGATCGCAGTCTTGAAGGAACCACCCATTCTGACGTCACCATCTGAGAGATCTTCGACCAACAGATTCTCGACTGGGATTGGCTGACAAAAGCATTGGGAAAAAGTCAATAACTGAGGTGTACTGGAATGATCCGTTCTCTCTCACGCTCAGAATTGGTCCAAATACTACTGTCAGCTTATTTAAACAAAGTTTAGCCATTGTGTAACAACACCCCGTCCAAAGCAATCCCTGTTAAACAATCCCCAATCTAGCTGAACCTTTAATCGGAACATTTGTTTTTGTAAACAGCGTCAAGAGGGCCCAAGTTAACAGTGGAAGGAAATTTATTTAATTAAATCAATCCTCTTATAGAGAAAGCCTGAGGTTCACTGATTGCGTAGAACCTTAGTTGGTAAATAACCGGCCCTATAAGTTCAAACGCGAACCACGAACTGGAGGCTTTCAGGAAAAATTTCTGTGAGACCTTTGTAAACTACAGTTTTTACGAAGTCCCATTTTACAGCTGGAAAACCTTATGTAATAGGAACTTCATAAATTAAAAAAAAAAAAGAAAGAATTCGCCATTTCCATTTCCAATAAGAGGGAATCTCAGACCCACAACAACAAACTAACCTGTGTGAATACTTGATAGCTGGCCCGGTCCTGTCTTGTAGCCGGACGAGTAAGCAGAAAGACTGTCTCCGACAAAAACACATGTAGCTTCTAAATAGAAAGAAGTAGAGACGAATGAATAAAGGGATAAGTTTCTAGAGAAACTCTGACGTTGCGTCGATCGGGGGTTTTAATCAAAACACCTGTTCTTCTTACCGTTCCATGTTTATTTCGTAGTGTGCCGTTACATAAAAGCTTCTTGGACTTGAATACATGAGGGCACATCTAAAGCAAACAATAACAACAATAATTTACCAGAAAAAAATTATACATACTAGATAATGGCCAAGTAATTATATCGACGACCCATACCTCTTAAGGGGATAAGACCGTGAAAAGCGCTCCTTCGTTCAAAAATCAGTATAGCGCACCAACATATGTTTTCCCGAATGTTTCGGGTACCTTGCACTGGATGTATGCCTTTCCGCGTTCTGCAATTCTTGCATGTTTCCCGCGCTTGGCACTGGTTACAGACTTAAACGCTCTTAGCAACCTTTTCTTGCAACATGCGCTTGCGCGCTTCTAATATTATACTTTGCGCTTGGTGCTGATTACGTGCATTCTCGCGCTTACCGCTAGGTACCAGCTTTCGTCCTTGATGCTAGTTACATAGTTACATGATTTCCCGCTTTTTTCGCCGACCATATTTCCCGCGCCTTTTAATAATTAAAGATTTCCAGACATTAGAGTTTCCGAAAAACGTAACTGAACATTACCTGTCTGTCATCCAAGAAAACTATTCTACTAAGTACATCTTGACACTGCAACATAAAGACATCCTGGTTAAAAAACTGAAGACAGACTGGCAGAAAAAATTTACGTACACGGACTGAAAGGACGATGAAAAAAAATAATAAAACGGCCGTGAAACTACCTTTGCTTCGCCTGTTTTTCTGTCCACTTCTTCTATAATGTCTTGTAAACGGCAAATCTGCAACAGACAAAAGCTTAACTTAAGCTCCTTCATTGATCTTCTTATATCACATATTTCCTAAAATCAAAGTTTCTACAGATTCGTTCCGATCCTAGTTTTACTGCACGAACATACTCACGAACAAACTGGACGCTTTTAAATCTTGGTTGAGGAGCTTTACCCTCCCCTCCCCGGGTAAATTCCCCAATCTAAACAATACTCACAGCTCGTTCTAGTTTTCGCCAGTCGGAGTGCTCTTTCGGCGTCTGAAATATGAGCAACAGGATATAAGCAGTCCATTACAATAAAAATCCTTAGCTGTTATTCGCAATTTCACCGAAATAAAAATATCTTAAGTGGCTTCACTCTCGCCAACCCAAATCCGGTGCCACCATTCGGATCTCAGACATCTTTCTGAGTCACAAATTTTCGCTACAAAATTATCTCCTACTCTACGTGTCTGCTACCAAAGCGGGGTCGTGTTATGCTGACAGGCCGGAAGTTACAGCCCATTGAGGGAAAACATTAGCAACTAGTGAGGAAAGCAATAAAGCATGAGCCCCAAACCACAGGGAAGGAGAGAGGGAGGTCCCCTGATGGTTCAAATCCCAAGGGAAAGCTACTGGAAAGAAATTCCGCCCACTTAATGAAAGTGTTACTCACGTATTTCTGTATGCTGCGCAGCATCAGCGGGTATTTTACCAGGCGACTCCTGGGCGAATCTGCCGAGAAAGATAAACAACTAGTTAGTGATCTTAAGCGCGTTTATCGCCCAGATTACTCGATAATTGGTTTTCAATTGACTGCACGAGAGCGTTTAAGATTTCGAGATATTCTCAACGTTTCAAAACCACGCACACGTGATGCAGTTATCACACATCAACATTTTTTCAAGAACAAAGTAAAGGCGATGAAAGTATAAAAAATGATCCTAGGAGTAACTTTTCTGGACTTAAAATTCCTGCATTTTTTTTCTTTTTTTTCACAAAGACAGTCCTGTTCACCTTTCTATCTACTTAATTTCGTAAAGAATAAAAGAAGTTTAAAAAACCACTTTAACTCGTTGCCCTAAGAAAGTTTATTCAACACCACAGAGTGTTCACTTATTTGTCCTTTTTTAAAAACTTCTTGGCTACTGATTGCATCCACGTTTATGAGACCGCATTAGAAGTTTATTCTAGAGTATTCTTTTTGTCGTTTTACTTTTTTCCTTGTCCTTATTGCGTGAGAAACTGATATTAACCCTTCCCTTGCTAAACCAAGGGATAAGCGAAGAGGAAATCGTATTCGGCGTCAACAAAAATAACAAAAACACGCTTTGTGTGCGGTCAGTCAAATACGCGCGCTTGGTTAAGATTCAGTCAAATTCTCAATCCACACAACGAAACAATTTACCATTCTGATTTCTAAACATTTATGTGGATGCTACCTCGGATAATTCATCAGAATCTATAGACAGCTTTTCCTAATTAATAAGATTTTTAACGGTCCGCCTGCGTCAAAACTGTTGCAAGCGGAATGAAGAAATGGAAAGTTGGCCTTCTTAAAGGTTGTTGTCAGCTCTTTGTACTGGAATAAGTTACTTATCGGGAAACACCTCAGTGGCGCTTTCTTTCATCTCTGACTTAACAAACTTAAGCTACAAAAAAAACTTAAAACACCCTGAGAACACAAGGCTACTTCTGTTAAAACAATGGTTATCTTAACAAGACTTGAGCTGAAATGAAAGGTACTTAAACACCGGAAATTCCCTCCAAGTAATTGGAAAAGAAGCTTATGTGATGCGATGCAACCTACCTAAAAAGCTCCAAAGATCTAATTTCCGACTGAATGGCGAGTCACGGCATCTCTGTAAGAATTAAAAGAAAATGAGTGGATTTGTGGTTACAAAATATAAAACACACACGCGTGTGTATTCGTAAGTGTCATTTCCGCTAGATCATTTACGAGCGAGCGTTTAAGTATAGCAGTCGTTTGTTGCGGCCAGAAAAAATATTTAAACTGGGAAGGACACCCCAAAATATTAGTTTTAAATGGAGAAACACCAAATTGGAAAGGAAGCGCAAAAAAAGAAGGAGGAAGGTAAAGAATGAAAAGATTACAATGGACTGGAAGAAAAACAGCACAAACATTTGCGAAACTCCTTTCAGAGTGGACCACAAGAGATGGAGTGGCTGAGAGTGCCACAAGTTTGTTTTTCTGTTTTTTTTTCTTTAGGTCTGCACTTCTATGATCAAACACAATACCCTGAGAGAAGAAAGGATTGGTCGATGTTTTTCTTTGGTATATTTTTAGTTTCGTTCTATTTCTGGTTTTGTAGCACCATTTTACACGGCGGCTTTTGTTATCCGGAAATGTTTTTAGTATCACAGAAATAGTAATCTGCCCTTTAAAAGAGTCCAGAAAGCTCATGAGCTAGTACAACGCAGAACGCAGATACGAAAACAAGAGAGTTGACCACTCTTAGTGGGGTGTTCGCAAAAACCAATCACTATTGTAAAAATAAAGGGAACAACAAAACACACGCAAGGGCAGAAAAAAAAATCATAAAGAAAACTTCTTCAAAAGCACTCTGAGAAAGTGAATACAACGATAAAATTAAACAAAATTCCAAAATTCGAAAGACCCCCAAAATATTCCAAAGGCAAATCTTGAATTGACGAAGTTAAGCTAATGAAACAAATTAGCAACATTTTTGTAAATCTCCGGGAGTCAATATGAAAACCCTTTAAAGTGCACAATTTTTAACCGTGTTCATTGACTCTCGAACACTCGCAGGCGATTGAAATGTAACTTCTTCCCCACAATAGTTATAAATCGTTCAAAAAAACGTGATGAGAATTGTGTTCTATCGATAACCAGCAAATGTATTCAAGTTGGTGAGGAGAATTATTCGGATCAGGAGAGTTAGTGTGTTAAATCACCCGCCCATCTTCCGCTCATAATGTCATAACTTCTCTCCGAGAAAAAAGGAAAACCATAACCAAAGATTAGAGCAGAAACAAAACACGGGTAGGTGAAAAAACTGTAATGACGCGCAAACCGCGAATCTAATGGTCAGCACTCGTTCTTTTTCCGTTGCACCAGTTCCGTTGATTAAGGGCGTTTATCGGGAAAAGCTACGCAAACCACGCTTTCCGGGAGGTTTTTTGCTGAACCTAAAGTAATAGCACAGTTGACCTAGGAGATGGTACTTGCAAGGTGTGGTTGACGGAAGGAATTCCTTGCCCTTCTACGCAGATGTTATAAAAAGAGAGTAAAACGATGAAAAAAGCCAGCCCCATCCCACTCACCCCACAAGGAATCTATCCACAGGCCTTCGGATTTTGTGGTCCATTGCTTTACCACAGAGTTAGGGAGAACGTATTGCTAAGCTAGGCTATTCAGTAGGTTCATTTCTAAGAAACGTCCTGTCTACAGCCAGGAATCGCGATTTACCTGCAAAAAGTCGGCGACGCTTCCACCTTGACGAAGTTTTTCGTCGAGAATGGTTTTTGCTTCGAATTGGTTTGCACAATATCGTGCGTAACATCTTAAACCTGGAAACTAAAGTAAAAAGGAAACTCATTGCCAATACTTCGTTAAGTTAACAGCCAATCAGAACAAAAGAAAATGTCACGAGGAGCCAATGAGATCTCAAAATGAAACGATACAAAACCACCAGAAGCGCGGGAAAACGCGGGTGACCAAGACGCAATTGGTCTTAGACTTAAATCTGATTGGTGGGGGAAAAGAAGCGCGTTTTCTGGACCAATCACAGAGCGCAGTAAATATTTATATGAGCGACTGACTTGAGCAAAAAACACATCACTACAGAATTCCTCCAAATGAAATTTGGTGAATGTTTTTCACCAGATTGAAAACAGCGTTGTTCTGTGTTCTAAACAGGTCTAATAGTAGAAATATGCCATAAACACAATCATAAAACAATTTCACACACACATACCCAGTTTAGCATGATGTCTCCTATACTGTCCGTTGTACCATCGCTTGATCTTGCATTTTTTAACTTCGCGTGAAGATCTAAAGCAAGAAAATACGACAAAGTTCACGTCTCAAACTATTAATTTTCAAGAGTATTTTACGTAACCTTTTCAATCAAGTACTTTCTTCTTGAAATAGCAACACATTATCGAGCAGAAAAATGATGGGAAAAAACAAAATTCAACCTCAGGGGTTTTGTTTGAGTTAATACCAAATTCTCAGAGCTAACAGTATAGGATGAGTATGGCAAACAGTAGGGAGAATTGATGGCAAGGATCATAAAAGCACCCAAGTAAAACACTCCTCTTGAACCCCTTAACTCCTAAGAGTGTTCAGCAACTAATTTCTCCTTACAATATCACCCCTAAATAAAGGAAATGATCACCAACTCAAGAAGTTCTTGAATGTTACACAAATTCTCCTAGAAAGCACCTTAGGAAATGTGTAGAGAACAGTCGGGTGAATGTGTATGCTGATATTAGGGTGTAAAGGGTTATGAGGTTCATACCTTGATGGAGAGCTAATAAAACTTCTAAACAGCCAAAGACCTTCATGAATTCATATTCATTCATTAGCTTTAGTTTGTACATTGGTGCATAATAAACCTGTAAGAAAAAATAAACTTACAGTTAGCAGGTAAAAAACGAAAATTGTCGTACAAATGAAGTAAACCATAAATACATCAATAGATTCCTTGTGAGAGAAAGACTGGGTACTTCACTTTGGCAATTCCAACTTTTGGGCAAAGCCAGGAGAGAATTTAAAAAACCCACAGACAGAAAAATATCAAAATGCTGACAACACGAAGATGTGCCCACAGAAAAATTCGGACAACTTTTTATATAGTGTTGTAGTGTAACAGATTCCTAAAATTTATTTTGTAAAAAGACGGCCACCTTCTTTTCATTTTACAGACACTAGGTCATGTATCATATAAATTGTGGAGAGGCTAAACACTAGGAGGCTATTCTCTGGGCCAAGCAATCCAAGTTAGAGGACTGTTTGTTCTCACTGATTGTTTTTTTTTAAGGCTGCACATTCTAGAAAGTCTCTGTTATCACCCAGAACTACACAGGGAATATTCATGGCCAATTAAAAAAAAAGGCACTCTAAGAAATAAGTCAGGGTAGTTAATTAATGCTGTCATGTGCCAATATTAGTTTCCCTAAGCACCTTAAAAAACTGATTGTCATTTAATGTCATGGCAACAAGGATAAAATCTAGTCTGATACAATATTTAGGATTATAACCTGCTCACAATGATTAAGTAAAAAATAAAATGGATAGTAATGTAAAACAGGAGCTTAATATACATATACATGAAATATGGTGGATAACAAATGGCAACAACAGTTAGCAACTCTTCAAAAAAATAAAAATCTTCTTCTTTCAAGTGATAGTCACTTTCAAAGGGAAGTCACTCAAGGAGATTTAACAATAGCACATGAATAGGCTTTAATAAGCAGTGTGGCCCTTAATCAGTTATTCTCTCAAAGCTTTGCTGATCATACTAAAGTGCTTATAAGAGCCTGTTCACCCCATGAGTGACCAAGACAGAATTTCCTCCTACAGTATCAATACAATATCAAGCAAACAAGTGATGAGAATAACTTTAGACAAATGTCAATCAAGGGGATACCTAGTTGATCCTATATCAAATTCTTCAAATTAACTTCATAAGAATTGAAAGCAGGTAGTAAGGAGAATTACCACTAAGATCGGGGAGTGTAAGGGTTCACAGACTAGTTGAGCAGCAGAGTTTTAACTGAGGAAAGACAGCCACTTCACATCAAACAAGATAAGAATTCCAAGATACACAATTTAAATCTCTAATAATATCTTGAGATATCTCTTACCTCCTTTATCATTTTCAAATCAGCCACAACATTTTCTTCTCCCGTGCAAACCTCATAAATAGCCTGTCATCAGAAAAAATTCACTTCTTGAAATTTCAAAACAGGATATTGACTTCCTCAAAATGAAATCTGGGCCACGAAAATTTTCAAACAATCAAGTAAAGAAAAACTCTTTTCTTGCAGCTCAACATTTTGATGTCAGTTTGGTAATACCATTTTTGAGAGCACGATGACTTTAATAAATTAAATTCTGGTCTAGCATGAGTATAAAAAGCGTCTCTTAGATGGTGTCATGAAAACTCAAAAGCCTTATGTTTTCAGTTTTTCAGTTTGGCCTTAAAAATTTGCATCCCAGTGCTTGGTCAGAAAGAAGGGAAACTTTTAGCAAGATCTTTTGAAAAAATAATGTTGTTACTCATTTTGTCATGAGCTACAGAGAAAGAAAATATTTGAGTAAACAGTAAGAATTGGACCCCAGGGCTTCCAATTTTTCTGCACAATTCTCTACCACTGAGCCATGGAAAACTTTGTTTATAAGGGTGAATAAATTTTGTACAGCTTACATGAAAATTTCAGGAGACAGAAATTGGCTAACTGCTTGTCTGAAACTTGCTGAACTCACCTCTTGCCGTTTTATTTCAGTCTGTGTAAGAGTAGTACTAATTCCATTGCTAGAAACTGTCTCACTCCATGACTAATATAGGAAGACAACAACAAACCAAGAAATCTTAAACCTCTAAACTCTAAAACTGAGAAATTTATCAAATAAAGCACACCTTAAAGAACTTAGTTTAAGAAAACAAAATTTATTTCCATGTTCAGTTTGGCTGATTATAAAAATTATTCCTTTAGGTTTTTCTCACTGAAAATGTAAATAGCTATTTGTTCATATTCAACTAAATGATAAGTACTCTATTTGTCAATGTACACCTCTTCACTTTTATTATGGCGAGTGTTCATCACAGCATGAATGGACAGTTCGGCTTAGAGTTCACCACTGCCACTTACAAATCCTTAAGTTTGTTTCCCTGAAGTTCAAAGTTTAACACCAAAAGCTCTCTTAAAAAGCCCGCTAAATCAAATTTCCTGCAAGCTTGTTGGATTCTTTTACATCTTGTTATCTGCTATGTTTACTTTGCAAAATTAGCTTGTGGTTATTCTAATTGGAGTGTCCTATATAAAACAGAAGGAGTGAAAAAATACTCTCGCTTCTTTTAAAATTTTTAACATTTTCATTAACATCCATGAGAATAGGAAATAGGATGAACAAGGCAAAAGGTAACTTGAAAAATTGCGTTATTTCAAAGAAGCAATAGTCAGGCAAAAATAGTAACTTAGTAATTTTGGCATTAAATCTTATTAATCATTATGTCTAATCAGTCAAATGCAGAAAATAATGCATTGAACAATGTGGCCATTAACATTGTTTCTAACTAAAGCTACCTACAGCATTTATAAATGCAGTTAACACGATTATCTGCATTGGATCAGAGAGAGAGTAAATTGAATTTTCGTGTCAAAGTGTGGGCTTTCAACGCGAAAAAACAAATTGGTAGGCTTTAAAGGTCAAAGATTTTCTCATTGACAATTCATATTATGATGACCTTGTGAGAAAGTAACAATTAAAGCATTGTAATGTGCATGAGCCATTGTAGAAGAAATTTTCACTGCTTCAAGTGCAGAACAAGTTATTTCAAATCTCTGTAAGGAAACATGATACTTAAATGATAGCATTAAATTTACAGTCAGGGTCCCAAAAATACTCTAGTACTGTTGCATGACATCGGCTTTCTAAATGAAATTATCAAGATGTTTTTAATCCCTTAGGAATTAAAGCACACTGTTATAAATAAAAGAATTATTTACTCCTCTTTTATGAGCCCAATCTAGTTAAATTCTGTCTTTTATCCTTGGAATATGGAAAATTTGCAAATCTACATTTTTCTTTTGGCCCTGTTAACATACAATTTAACAAATGCCCAGGAATGAAAGGAGGTGATGATTCAGGGTGAATAATTGCGATATACGAAACTACACATGACATGTTACAACATGCAGATAAATTGAATGACAAAGACCATACCTTGCTTGGCCGATGCTTTGTTGGAGTAGGGAGAAGCCTATACCTTTTGGCAAAGTCAGAATCCTTGACTGTTAGACTGGATCGTAAACTTACTGATCGCTGAAAAGCAGAAAACCTCTGGGTATTAAAATCTTGAAGCAGTTGACAACAGGAGAGGCTGATAACCCTGTTAATTAACTAATGAGAGACAAAGACCTGACATCTTCATGAAAGTGTACGATTCTAAAAGCAGACACTGATATCAGAAAACATTGTAATTCAATTCCCTAAGAAAGAAGCATAAGTTTATGCTATTTTTGCTGAACCAGTACATTAGATTTCTTGAAGTTAAAGGCATCAGTTAGGTCTCTCCAGAGAAAACAGTTACCTTTCTTCAAAGAAGGAAATTATATTTCACAAAATTTTAAAATTTATAGTTGATTGATGGCAATTGAGCCAAAAAGGTTTAACATGTTTGGTTTAGATTAGAACCAGTGACATAAATATAAATACATGCCTTTACTGACAGAAAAATAAAATAACAGCACTATCACAAATTAAATTTATTTTTTGAATTTCATTTGGCATGTGAACAAACCTGTACTAAGATTCCTTTCTTGGCTACATCAGGTGATGCATCAGCTGACACAGTCATACTGGAAACAGGGCAAATCTTCTTTGTTGTAGGTTCCTGTGAGAGAGACAGTAAATGTTATTGATCAGTACATTGTTTTTGTTCCAAAAATAAATGATACAATAGACGTTTGATGAAAATGTAAAATATACTACTCGTAAAATCTTTAGACACCTGGTGAATCACAGCTCTGGTGGGTGAAGGAGCCGGCTCAAAGAACTGAGCGGCAGTGGAAATACTGTGGCGGCGAAGAAGCGGTTTGATCATGCTCTAAGTTGAGATGGTTTCTCCTTGAGAATTCAGGCAGAGGCAAAATTTTAAACAGACCAGATGTCAGTTGCGTTGAACTCAAATAAAAACCACACTCAATAGCAACTGTCGCCTGAAGTGTGACATTCAAGGTATTGAAAAATCCACTCTTTAGAAAGGCAAATGTTTGTACGTGTATATCATACTTGCTTGGATTAGATCCAAATCATAAATGATGCTTGGGCCATTTCACGTTGATCTCATTTGTGTGAATGAAATATGATCACAGGAATTCCACACAGACAAAGGCCTCATTTCAGTGTTAAATTTAGATCCAGCAGACATTAATGAAACATGATACAGCAAGCTAAGTAGAACAAATAGCTGAGACACCTTTGAAATGCAAGAGCTTTTTAAGAGTTAATTCCTTCCTTTATGAATTCACCACAAGCAAGGAAAACCACAGGAAAATCTTTCTCCCACATGTTTTAGGTAAATCCTGGTCAAGCATTTCTTAATGTGTTGCATAACTAATTCTGGTAAATGCTGTATTGTGAGCTGCGTAGGAGTGAATATAATGAACACACCTTTCTCTCAAATTTTGTGGAACACTATTAAATAAGATCACATCCAACATTCACAATTTGCTGTGAAACATGGCCTTTGATATTTTGAAGAAGCGTGATCACTGAGTTCAGATAAATTATGGTAAAGACAGAGTGTTCTGCCATCAATGTCAGCTATTGTATAAAACTGAGAGGGCTTTTTAAAGATCATCTTTCAAATTATTATAAGCCGTTCAGTGATAAAGCACAAATCATAAATCACTGCTGACATAATACAATGTTAGTCAAAAAGTTCAGTATTATGCTTGACAAGCACTGTGAAATAATCCACATTTAAAAGAAATTAATGTGCAATATTGGAAGGGCTAAGTATTTGATTTACAGTACATCAAGGTAATTTAAAAATTTGGGGTAAAAAGCAGTGAATGTTGTTTTTCTGTAATTGTTAATGATGCCCCAGACTTAGTTGCATAAATCTTTTTTTTTTTTCCATTGTCTAATACTGCTGGTTATTCTTCTTCATCCAGAAGTTTAACAGTCTACATTCTCAAGTATTTTAGAATTTTTTCCACTTGAAACTAAAACATGTGCCCAGTTTCTGACAGGTGATAAACTCAAGCAGCCATATTCTTAAGATCTTGTTAAGGGCACTGCCATTTTAAATTGTAGTAAGCTTGATCTTTATTAACTGAATTGAACAACAAAGCCATCAATCACAATTATGATTTGTGTCACTTGGCATATGCTTTTAAATATTTACGCTGATCCGCGATAAAAGAAACTTGCATTGATTCAAAATTACATCAGCCTCAAAAAAGACCATTTACAAGATGAAAACACTTTTTCATTGCTGATAAAAGCATCTGTTATTAATTCTGGTCTGGTTTGAGAGTTTGATCCAATTAACTCCTTCTCAAGTAAATCCATAATCTTCAATTACCCCAAATTGCAGTTTCAAAAATTGCAATGCTAAGCTATCAAACCTAGATAGAATTACCATACGGCTTGTTTTCATTCTACAGCTGTTAAAAAAAATTTTCCTATATATCATATCATAATGAATAAAAGTAATAATAATTGTGTGCTTTTTGTAAAAATTAAAACTTGGAACACATTCAAGATATTCATTTACAGACCTTAATCTCCATATTTGTCGCACTGTCTTGCTGATCACTGCGTTTCCTTTTCTGTAATTGTTTCTGGTGAAACAAAAATAGACCCTTCACATTAATCCTTTCACTCCCAAGATCTGTTTGTTAATTCTCTCCTCTAGCTGCTCCACATTTCCTTGTAAATTAGTTACGAGAATTTGGTGATAGATCAAGATGACAACTTAACCTGATAGGTCTGAGTATTTTCACAACCTTTCTGCTGGATAATGGATGGATGTTATGGGAAGATGTTATATGTTAATCACTTCTGGGAGTTTAAGGGTTAAAGACACATATTTTGCAAAGTAACCTCTCTTATAATAAGTGTCCTTACATTCTGTTAGCTTTTAAAACTACTAATGCTCCACACTGACACCAATTTGGTCACTATAACAACATGTGAGGAATTTTGAAGGTTAGTCTCCACATTGATACCATGTGTTTGATGCTTAATATGTAGCAAGCTTTAATATGCTCATGCATAATTTAGTGTTTAGGGCATCAAACTGAAGTTAGATAAACAATTAAATCCATAAATATCATTAACACTTCCTCATTTTCTTTTCACACAACATTGTCTGTTTCCCCTCACTTAATTTGAAGCTTAGGCACCCATTTGGCACCATGTTTTTGACACTTATGTTGTAAGCTGTAATCACTAATATGCTCCCAAATTAATGTTTATGGTATTAAGTCGAAGTGAGATAAATAACTCCATTAATATTACCAACGCTCTGGACATCACTTTTGTTTATGTACAAATTTGCCTCCTTCTTAATATTACCTCTTGAATTGTCAAGTGAAAATCCAAAAATGATTGTCAGCCAGGTTCTTTTGTTTGGCCACTAAGCTTTAACTTCTGACAGTTTGTTGAAAATTTTTCACTCTTTATAAAAGGAGGAGGCTTAGTCAAAAAACCCAGACAGAATTCCAAGCAGGTATAACTCCCAGGTCAGGTTTGGGGTAAAGCAAATTATCCATGTCCATAAACTCTTACTCTGCAGAGTTATTTTACTTCATAACACAAAAAAACATTTTCTTTTTCATCCCAATTGCATAAAATGCCCACCAACTTTAGAAAATTAACATTAAGGAATAGAAATATAACAGCTTGTTGCATGGTTAAAACACATCACCAACTTGGCAACTTTTGTGGAAAATTTGGCCCAGACAATTTTCCCCACTCACCATGGTAACCAAAAAAAGTAGCAGCTCAAGAGTGATGTAAACAATCCATAATCACAAATGATGGCAGGGATTATCATAATGAGAGAAAACAGAGAATAACAACCAAAAGGATAGAATATACATTCCAACCTTGATATCTTTGATGTCAAGATTCTTTATGTTTAAATGGCTGCCACGTTTCTGAAATAGATTTAGAAAAACAAACCCTCATTTAATTTAAAAAAATTGAGGGCACCTATAAAGTTAACGTAAAATTTAAGATCAAGGTCTGACTAATTATCAAAGGCTTAGAGCTTCAATAATAAAGATTGACTAAAAACTTGAGGCCAAAAATTCATTATCTTTCTTATGTGTGATGAGCTGACCTGGTTAAATGTAGCAGTATGCTTGACCCTGGCTGGTAATACACACCCACCCACCCCTCAGACTGGATCTGTTTTGTAATCTCCAAATGATGCAATTAGTTTGAAAATGTTCAAATCTGGGCTCAACAACTAATTTGAACACTTTCAGAATCAATACTTGTACTGTAACATTATTTGAAATTACAAAACGGAATGGATTCAATTTCAAACACCAGTAATGAACTTGCATGACCAGCCACAATTATTAGTAATGATATAATTAAAAGCAGTTTTATATATCAAAAAGTATTACCTTGAAAGATCTCAAAGATCTGCAAAGAATGTCGTCTTTCTTTCTTACACTTGAATCTAGAGCTTCACTTTTATCCAAATTCAGTGTTCTTGACATCTGTGCCTGCCATGATAAGAAAAAAGATATTTTGAAAACTGCATGAAAATCAAAAAGAAGTTTATAGACCCATGAGCTGATTGCTGCTTCCAATTTAACTCACAGACAAACCAATAGACACTGCCTTTGATATAAGTCCACCAAATCAGAAGAATACTGACATATTATTGGAGGATAAGGTGAATATATAATGTTATAAGATATATGAATTAAAGAAAAACGGATGGTACCCAGAGTTTTTGCTAAGCGCTGCATGTTAACAAAATTTGCAGTATGAATAAGCAGTGATCACCACAATGGAATTTTGGCCAGTGATCACTCAGTAAAGCACAATGGACACTTCTCAGATTAAGCACAATCGTTGGATATCAAATTGAGCTGCCTCACTTGGAATTTCAGTCAGCAACCTTATTCCTCAGTTACATTCAAAGCAAGAAACTTAAAACTTTAAACATGTCTCTGTTTCATGTAATGAAACAAACACTGCCCTTAAATAAATGTTCCAAATGATAAATTAAATTATTAAGCTATACTCTATACAGACACTCTGAAAACTGGCTTTTTATTTCCAAAGAGAACATTCCTACTGACCCCATTTTGTATAAGTTGTGATTATGTACATGTATACAACAGTGAAATCTTCAGAAAAATTATATCTCTTGTTAGTTACACAAGAATTTTAAAAATTGTTATATGAATTCTGTAAGTCTAGAATCAAAAGCAGCATACAGTGTATTAAAACACCTCAAAATAACTTGACCACAAATAACCTGTATTTCAAAACAATATCAAATCTATTAGGTCTATTTATTCTTCATAACAAAACTGTTTATAGATAGCATAAGGGATGACCTTGCAAAGATTTTGTTAAAGGTTGATAAAACAGAGAATATCTTAACTCTCCTGACTTGTTAGCTAAAAATATCTTCAAGCATTTTTAAGGTGTCAACATTAGTTTCAAATAACAAAACTCTTGCTTACGTTTAGTTGAAGATACAACTATTTTTATGTTGCTGATGGGTTTGTTATCATCATCTTGACAGCATATAAATGTGCTTCAGTTTTCATAAATTTGAAAACAGAATTTAATTTCCTCTCAAAAGAGCCTAACATGTAGTTATACACAACACAAATACTAACATACCTTCCATAATGAAAAACATTATGCATTGGGTGAGAACAGAAATCTATTGTAAAGTTTCTTTTCACTGCGCAACTATTTCCTGAAGTGTCACCCGACTGCTAATTTTCCCAATGTAACAAAGTAGTCCTGCATTGCGCAGGATATATTTTCCTGTTTTGAAAACTAACATTAGACTTAAGTAAAGTTTCCTGTTTAATGTTGATAAAACAGAGAATATCTTAACTCTCCTGACTTGTTAACTTAAAATATCTTCAAGCATTTCTAAAGTGTCAACATCAATTTCAAATAGCAAAACTCTTGCTCGCGTTTAGTTAAAGATACAACTATTTTGATGTTGCTGATGGGTTTGTTATCATCATCTTGACAGCATGTAATGTGCTAAAGTTTTCATAAATATGAAACAGAATTTAGTTTCCTGTCAAAAGATCCTAATATGTAGTTATCCACAACACTACTACTAACA